ATCAGCTGAGCTTGAACAAATTATCCACACTAGAGAAAGACCTTAAAGATGCTCAAGAGGATGCTAAAGGGCTTGATGAACGTGCTAGCAAAGCTGAGATTGAGAGTAAGATACTTGCAGAAGCCTTAGCAAAGCTTGAAGCCGAGAGGGATGCTGCGCTTCTTCGGTATAATCAATCCGTTGAGAAGATAGTGGATCTGGAGGAATCATTTGCTCATGCACAAGAGGGTATTAAGGGGCTAACCAATCGAGCAATTGAAGCAGAGGCAGAAGCGGAGAGTCTCAAGCAAGAGCAAAGTAGATTGCATACTGAGAAAGAGGCTGGCTTAGCTCAATACAAGCGGTGCCTTGAGATGATATCTACTCTAGAGAAGAAGATTAGAGAGGCGGAGGAGAATGCTCAAATGTTTAGTAATCAGTCTGCAAAAGCCGAAGATGAAATTAGAGCATTGAGACATGAACTTCTGAAGGTAAATGAAGTGAAGGAAGGATTGAGTCTTCGGTACCAGCAGTGTTTGGAAACGATATCTAAGCTAGAGAGAGAAGTTTTTCATGCTCAAGCAAATGTCAAAAGACTGAGTAGTGAAGTTCTGTCTGGAGCTGCGAAATTGAAGACTGTAGAGGACCAGTGTACTCTTTTGGAGAGCTCAAATGAAACGTTAAAGTTAGAAGCAGGTGGTCTAACGCAAAAAGTATCAGCTAAGGATCAAGAACTTTTCAAGAAGCAAAACGAGATTGAGAAGTTTCAAGCTTTAATCCAAGATGAGCACTCTCGATTTTTAGAAATCGAAAACAGCCTTAGAAGCTTGCAACGTTTGCATTCTCAGTCCCAAGAGGAACAAAAAATTCTCACTTCTGAGCTTCAAAGCAGGGTTGACATGTTGAGGGACCTGGAGACTCTTAATCATAAATTGGAAGGCGAGATCAGCTTAGTTAAAGAAGAAAACCGAAACTTAAGCAAATTAAGTGACTCTTCGACGATCTCTCTAGAGACTCAAAAATGCGAGATTTCTAGCTTGAAGGAGGTGAAAGGAAATCTTGAGGAAGAAGTTGCTAGACACATTAACCAAAGCAGTGCTCTTCAAGAAGAGATCCGGAGTCTGAAGGATGAAATCGACAGCTTGAATAAGAGGTATCAAACAATAATGGAGCAAGTGAAACTCGCGGGATTGGATCCCGAGTCCCTTGCCTGCGCTGTGAGGAAATTACAAGACGAGAACTCAAAGCTGACTGAGTTGTGCAATCACCAAAGAGATGATAAAGATGCTCTTACTGAGAAGCTGCGTGAAATGGATAACATTCTAAGGAAGAATGTTGGTCTAGAGAAATTGCTTCTGGAATCAAACACCAAACTAGATGGTTCTAGGGAGAAGACAAGGGATCTGCAAGAAAGATGCGAATCTTTACGAGGAGAGAAATCTGAGTTTATATCTGAGAGAGCTAACCTTCTTTCTCAGTTGCAAATCATGACTGAGAATATGCAGAAGCTCTTGGAAAAGAACTCGTTGTTGGAGACATCCCTTTCTGGTGCCAACATTGAGCTTCAAGGTGTAAGGGAGAAATCAAAATGCTTTGAAGAGTTCTTCCAGTTGCTCAAAAACGATAAGGCCGAGCTTACAAAGGAAAGAGAATCTCTCATCTCTCAATTAGATAGAGTCAAGGAGAAGCTAGGAATTTCGGAGAAGAAATTCACTGAATTGGAAGGAAAATATGCTGATTTACAAAAGGATAAACAGTTCAAAAATCTTCAAGTGGAAGAGTTAAGAGTCTCACTTGCCACTGAGAAGCAAGAGCGTGCTAGTTACGAAAGATCGACTGACACCAGATTGACGGATCTTCAGAGTAACGTGAGCTTTCTTCGAGAAGAGTGTCGCTCAAGGAAAAAGGAGTTTGAGGAAGAGCTTGACAGAGCTGTAAATGCGCAAGTAGAGATCTTCATCTTGCAAAAGTTTATAGAAGACTTGGAGCAGAAGAACTTTTCTCTCCTAGTTGAGTGCCAAAATTACGCCGAGGCATCAACGTTTTCAGAGAAACTCATTTCGGAGCTGGAAAGCGAGAATCTTGAGCAGCAGATGGAAACAGAGTTCTTGTTGCATGAGATTGATAACTGCAGGGGTGCAATCTATCAAGTGTTTAAAGCACTTCAACCCGAAGCAGATTGTAAGACAGCTGATCCTAAGATTACAAAAGAGAGAGTTCAAGTTTCACGCATCTTGGGTGAAATTAATGAACTAAAACGTTCACTTTCCGGAGCTGAATATGAGAAGCAACGACTTGTAATTGAGAACTCTGTGCTCTTATCTCTACTTGGACAATTTCAAGCAGACGGCATGAAGGTGGATTCAGAGAAAAGAAATGCAGAGAAAGATCTGGAGACGATAATACATCGCTATGGAATGCTGAAAAAGGACAGGCTCGAGCTATTGGAAATGAACCAGCAGTTGAAATCAGAACTGGTCGACAAAGAGCAGCGGGAGCTAGAGCTTAGAGCTGAACTACAAACTGAACGTTTTAAGTTTGAAAGTTTGCATGAGTCATTCATGGCTTTGCATCAAGATTACTCAAATGCTCTCAACAAAAACAAATCTTTGGACCTGAAATTCTCAGAACTGAAAGGTGAATTGTGTGTATTTGAGGAAGAAAACGATACAATTCTTCAGGAAGCTGTTGCCTTGAGCAACATGTCTGTTGTTTACCAGTCCTTTGGTTCTGAGAAGGTTGAGCAGGCTGAAGCTTTTGCTGAAAATCTGGCTAGTTTACAAGATATTAATAGGGGCTTGAAGCAGAGGGTTGAGACACTTGAGGAGAAGTTAAAAGGGAAAGAGGCCGATAGTCAAGAGCTTAACAGCAAGCTAGAAAAATTACAAGAAAGCCTCGAAGAAACCAATGAGCTGAGTGATCTCTTAGAACATCAAATTTCAGATAAAGAGGAGATCTTGAGACAGAAGGCGATGGAGCTCCAAGAAGCCGAAGAGATGCTCAAGGCTACACACAATGCAAATGCGGAACTGTGCGAAGCAGTTGAAGAGCTGAGGAAAGACTGTAAAGAATCAAGGCAATTGAGGGGAAATTTAGAGGTGCGAATTTCTGAATTGTTTGACCTTAGTGGGAGACAGGATGAAGATATAAAAAAGCTTAGCAATTTGAAGGAGAATTTGGAGTCGGAGGTAGAGTTGCTACACAAAGAAATCCAAGAACAGCGAGTTCGAGAGGAGTTCCTGAGTTCGGAGCTGCAGGAGAAAAGCAATGAGTTTGGACTTTGGGATGCGGAAGCAACATCTTTCTACTTTGATCTACAGATCTCAGCTGTCCGTGAAGTCCTGCTTGAGAACAAAGTTAAGGAACTCACCGGAGTTTGTGAAAATCTCAAAGATGAAGCTGCCACTAAGACAAAAGAGATAAAGCAGATAGAAGAAACAGTTCGATTCTTGGAATATGAAGTGACTGAGCTGAAGACTCAATTGTCTGCCTATGATCCTGTTGTAGAATCTCTTGCAAAAGATGTAAAATCCCTTGAGAAAAATGCGTTTTTGTTGATGAAACTCCCGGCGCCAGCTGATAGAGAGGTAAACTTATTCTTGTTCCTTCTATTTTACATGTTACTTCAAGTTATTGACCAATTTTGCTAACCTTATTAGTGGTCCCAGTGGGTGAAACCTGTGCCTTTTGCGATTGTGCTTCTTCATTCCTCATGAATTAAACTCTTCCAATTTCCTCAGGGCGTCCAGAATGATGAGCATCCAGAAGCAGTAGTCTCTCAAGAACCTGTAGGACATAGCAGTATCAACCAAGACAATGGAATAGTGCTTTTGCAGGACATGAAAACAAGAATTAAAATTATCCAGCAAGCAGTCGTTGAGGAAAAGAAGAGGCTTGGAAAGCAGAGAAGACGAAGCTCGTCGCACAGAAGCAGAGACCGCAGGCTCTTTGAAGAGATTGAACTTGAGGACAAATTCTCTGGTGAAATCAGACAGCCTAGATCACCTGCAGTGACTGAGGTGAGAACCAGTTCACTGATGAAAGACATTCCCCTTGATCATGTTGCAGACTCTCCTTTCTATGGAAGAAGCCGGAGAACTAGTCATGGCTCCAATGACCAAATGCTCGAGTTGTGGGAAGAATCTGCTGAACCAGAATCAAGCATCAAGTCTCTGATAAACAATAAAACTTCAAAGAAGCCTATCATTCCCCGTCTTCATCGCAGAAGCAGGAACCCCTCTATTGAATCGCAGTCTGAGAAAGTGGTTGGAGTTGTTGACAAGGTAGAGTTATCTAGAATCATTGAGGACAATACAAAGATACTGGAGAGACTTTTGTCTGATTCCCGAAGATTGGCAAGCCTTAGAATCAGCCTAAGAGATCTGAAAAGCAAGCTGGAGATGATCGAGAAACAAAGCAAGTTCACTAACCCCGATTTTGCTAAGGTGAGGAAACAGCTGAAAGAAATCGAAGAAGCCATCTTTCAGCTTACAAATACAAACGAGATTCTCTCCAAGGAAATTGAGGAGACAGGAGACGCCAGAGATATCTACAGAAAGGTGGTTATGGAGAAGTCAAGAATTGGATCAGAGAAGATAGAGCAGATGCAGCAAGAAATGCAGAACATTGAGCGAACAGTGCTGAAGCTTGAAGATGGGGCAGCAAAAAGTAAAGGAAAGACAAAGTTCTCTGAGAGTAGGACAGTGCTACTCTTGAGAGACATCATTCACAAGGGTGGGAAAAGGACAGCAAGAAAGAAGAAAAACCGTTTCTGCGGCTGCATGAGATCTTCAGCTAAGGAAGAGTAGGGTGGGATAATAACGTAACAGCATCTAGTTTACTTTCTATTTTTTTCTCTTTCTGGAGGTATTTTTTTACTCGCAGGTTTAGTTTCGAAAGAGATTTCCATCTTTGTCAGACCGATGTCTTACTCTCCGTTGTATGTTATTTTAATGAAAATTCAGATGACCAAAAAACAAAAAAAGTACTTTGTGGCATGGTTTCTGAAATATTAGAGCATATTTAGTAACCAAAATGTGGATCCTTATAACGTAACAGCATCTGGAATTACATCATCTGAAACCTTACAAAGATACAAATAATTGGTTTTCTTAGCTTAACCAGAATGGCTTTTATTTCACTGATTTGGGTTAAGAGAAGGAAAAGCTGGAATAGACCGTAATATCAGCTTCCGGCCATTACTTCTCTTCCCTAGGATTGAGCCAGATTCCGAGGAGCCAATCTGAGGAGGAGAGACTCTCTTGCTGTTGGGAGAGATGGCCTTGATGGTAGTTATAGGGGAACTAGTGAGAATCTCAGGCATAGTCTCTGTTTTGTCTTCGATGACGGTTTCAAGAGGCTTCTTCTCATTCCGTGGCTGCGTTAAGTCATTGTCTGGTTTTCTTAAAGAGGAAGAACCAGCCCCAAGGAAAAACTGTGTCGGAGGCAGCCTATTCTTAGACAAAAATGGCTGATGAACCACCAAATGTCTGCCAAAAACATAAGTAACAGATAATCAGAAGCTAAGCTTGTTTGCATATTGTTTACAAATTTTGATATAAGTACCTGTACGTCGGCAACGGTGTCGAAGGTTGATCAGACCTTGGGTTCTGCTCCTCGACTTCTTTCGACAAGTCCGAATTGTGTTGGATTTTAGCCGTTCTTTTCTCATATGTCTGGCGATCCTCCTCTTGTTTGCTCTCCATGATAGCAAGTAAAGAATCTGAGTTTGTAATCATGTCAAATCACAAGACTTTGGGATAATAAATTGTAATGGAGAATCTGAGCTAAAAGAGCTAACCTTCTTTTCTGCCGAATGCATTCTTACATCCTTCACATCTACAGTTTATGGAACAGCCGACTCCACCCTATAAGATCATCAAAAACAGAGTATCTGAATAAGACCATCGAAGATAACATACACAGATGAATATGCGAGTATAATGATGAAAGAAAAACCTGATAGCATTCACAGTATTTCTTCAGACAGTTTGATTTCTTGCAGTTGCAGCCTCGTTTGTGTCGCGCTGAAGCTGGAGTTTTACTTGCATCATCCTGTACAAGATTGCACGTTCAGAGAGAGAGAGAGAGAGAGACATAGAGAGAGAGACAGAGAGAGAGAGAGCTCTTACACTAGCATCCATGATGGAATCAGAGTTTCTGATGACTTTAGGAGCAAATGCAAGCGGATTTCGGGATTCAATCTGTTTGCGAGTAGCTAAGACAGTATCTTCATGGATAGGTTTGTTGAAGCAATCTATACATGAACATGGCTCAATGCAATAAACTCCAGCAGCAAAGCATTCACAGTAACTGCAGAGATAAAAGAGACTCAAACGAAAGTCTAACTACTTCAAGCCAATTTCAAATTTTGAACATGCAAAGATTAAAGAGGAGCTTACAGCTTCAAACACTTCGACTTTTTGCAGTTGCATCGCTTACACGACTCGCCCTCTCCAGCTTGTTCAGACATACGCCTGCACATTTTTTTTGCCAACAGATAAGAAAGAAGAACAATACACAAATCAGTTATGGAGCTTTTCGTAGGGAAAAACTTGCCTCTTTTTCTTAAGGCTGCTCGGATTCAACTGTTCGAACAAAACCAAAGCGTTGGGAGCTTCTTCTAGAGCTTGACCTTCCCCAGGCTCACTTTCTGCTTGGTCCAAAGTTTCTAGCACGGTGTCTTGGGAGTGAATCGGAGTGGTAGAGCCTGTTAAACTCATTTGAATCTCTTCAGATGTTGAATACTCATGCATGACGTTGATCTTACGGTCCCTTAAGGACATTGCTATGGCGTTTAGATGAAGACCAATACCGGGTACAACACATTTCGAGGAAGATTCCGCCTTATTTTCACACACAGTTTGCTGATCATCAGCTATATCCTTCTTCCGCTTCCCAGGCACCTCAAAGTCTAGACAGCGTCTTCTCATGCTACCACGATGCAAGTGAGAGACAGACTACCACAAACAAACACAACAATTAATCAAGAGCCTAAAAGATAAACTAATATGCACAGTCATGAGGGCAAAAAACAAGTTCACTTTAAAAATGCATTCCTGAATTCACCTCGTTGGGAAGCACAGCCAAAGGCTCGTTATCATCGCTGGATCCATTGACTGGAATATCTTTGGAGATATCTTGCTCTTTCGTAGACTTGACACCAGCGCAGAAACGTCTTTCTGAGCTAGATATTTTATCAACGAGGCATCTAAAAGCCTCTGAATCATTCGGAGATCGAAACACCAACAGTTCACTTGCATCTGCCATCAAACGTCCACAACCAGGAGTGTTATCCTCTTCCCGAGCATCAACCACCTTCTGGAGACTCATTTTGACATCCTCAGAAGATGAAGCATTGTCTCCCCGAGGAGTATCAGATGGATCTACCAGTACTTCCTCGACAACATCACCGGCGCAAGGAGAATCACCTCGATCAGGAGTTTGGCTGTCGGACTTCAGGACTTGTGGCAGCTCACAAGACGCTTCAATGGAAGCTTTTTCTTCTTCGTTTTCTTCTTCTTCCAAAGTAGCATCTTTGTTTAGATCTACATCAGCTGATGCTACAACTTCTTCTTTCGAATCCAAGGCCTTTGAACGATCAGCAGAGTAATGACTGCAACGAGAAAAAAACACCAATTACACAAAACCATTCTCTGTAGAAACAACAATATTCAGGGGAAAATGTTTGTAGAAAGAAACATTCTATTTACCATCTGAAGAATCTGGATTCTCGGTGGAAACTGGCGTGAGGAGAGGTGAAAACAGGAGGAGGAGATGTGAAACTGAGAGAGCTAAACGTCTGAGCAGTGGAGATGGATTTGACCGGCTCAATGGGAGAGAGATTGTTAATATAGTTGAACACTGGAGAATCCTACATTACACAATTACAATTAAAACTCACTACTTTCAAATCAAAGCTAAAACATAAAGGAGACAGATTTGCAGACCACAACAACAAATAAATGTTTGTCAAAAAGACAAAAACTCTAAACGAGTAAATTTGGTCAGTTCACACAGAGCTTGAAAATGAAATTGACCTCGTCGACAAAAACCCAACAATAAATGGGGAAAAACCCTGAAGCGAAAACCTAATTAGCTCGGTGGAAATTAAGGAGCTAAACCCAGAAAACATCTTAGACGAAGAAAGGAGTGACCTTTGAGGTAAATAAGAGATGGGTGGTGAAGAAAAAAACCTCAAATTTGGATTTTGGAGTTGGGGTTTCCATCTGAGAGGAAGACTTCTTCTGGGGATTGTCCATTTTACCAGGAGAATCACAACTACATTGCCTCTATGCAGACAAGTGATTTAGGGTTGATGGATTTTCGAACCAAAAAAAAAAATTTGTCCGCGCTGGTGCGAAACAGTGCGAAGACCACACACACAGTGGAAAAAGGAAAGGTAAAAGATTAAAAGTCCAAATCATATATTCTCACATCAGTCCACTAAACGACAGCATTCTTTTATATTGACTTGGATCTATACACCTCAGGCCCAACCCTTGCACCATTTTTTTTTTTGTTGATATTGTTGTTTAATTAGAGGAACCCTTAATTACACCAATTTTTGTTTTGTTTTGTAGATTGTTTTTTTCTTTTTAAAAAAACTTTTTTCAAAAAATGCAAAAAATACTTTTAGGTGGAATAAGAAAGAAAAATATGTGTTATAATGATAATAATATTAAAATAATTACAAAAACGGTTACATTTTAAACGTTAAATTTTAATCAAAAATAAAAAAAAATTCCAAATTTTGGATTACAAATAAACAGTATAGAGAGCGAGTAAGAGCATCTCCATCAACTATTTTCAAAAGGTATCTCAGATTCTCAATATTAAAATAATTAAAATGTTGGAAAAAGAATTAAGAATCGAGTTTGTTTTCAAATTTTTTGAGATATTCATAAAAATCCCTCTTAATATTTGTATCTGTTTATTGGTTTATTTAAAATTAAATGAAATTATATAAATAATTTTGATATAATATTAATATCTTAATTGTTAAGATAGCCAAATAAAGTTTTAAACTATTTGAGATGCTCTAAATCAAGACAACCTGCGCATTCTGTTCACCTGATAAAAATATTTTTAAGCTTTTGTCAAGACAGCCTAATTCTTCAAAATTTCAGTTTCTAAATATTATTGTTGTGGTCCTTGTGGATTTAGGACATTATAACAAATATAATTTAAATAGAGGAAAGAGTATGATACATATTATAAAACCAAAATACGAAGCGAGTTTTCTATTATGAATACATAAACCGTATAAAATTGATTAAATCCTAAACAGACGTTATTTTAACCGGTAGAGATTAGATTGACGCCTACTTAATGCTTTAAAGCTTTCTTATTACACTAACTTGTGGACAAACGCTAGTTGTTTTGTAAAAAAACATTAGACAAATTTATGTCAGTTAAAAGCTTTTACCATCCACATCTTGACTATGATAAATGACTAAACTTTTTTTATTACACAACCATTCGCAAAACAAACGCAACTATGCTACTACTAAACTAATAAAAACGTATGTTTTGCGTATGCTGTTGTGTAAGTTAAACTACCAACTAGAAGTTGACTTCATCACAGTTCAAAGATTCAAAGAATTTTTAGTGGTGTGGAGTGAGAGAAGGAAAAGTTGGAATTGACAGTAACAGCTTCCTTCCACTATTTCTTCTCCATGGACTCGACTCTGATGAATCGAGATGAGACACAGAAACCCTTTTGCTGTTGGGAGATACGGCATTTATATTTGTAGTTATTGGAGACTGGATTAGATTCTCAGTATCCTCTGCTCTCTCCTCTGTGATTGTCTCAATCCTTGAATGAGACAACAAACTCATGTCTTGCTTCCAGAAAGATTGGTACTTGTATAAGGAAGCTCCATGAAAATGTTGAGACTGTTGAGTAAGCAGAACGTTGTTGGATGAGATGGGAAGTTGAGCCAATGGTTGCCTAAATTAGAATAAAAAAAGGTTAAAGCAAAATCAGGAGCTTTCTTGATTGGTTTACCACACATTGATTTGTTTGAGAGATTGTTTCTTACCTTAATGGCATTGGTGTTGAAGGTGGAATTGGAACAGAATTGAACAACTCGGCGTGATGTTGTGGTTTCGCTGTTTCGTCATCATGTTCAATATCCATGGCGACAAATGAAGACCCTGCAGAGATTGTAAGTTTTGTAACAATGTCAAATCTAAAGACCTTGAGATATACATTAGAGGTTATGAAAGATGGAACAAAAAGACTAACCATCTTTTCTGCCAAATGCATTCTTACATCCTTCACATCTACAGTTTATGGAACAACCGACTCCGCTCTATAGGATCCTCAGAGAGACCAAATGTATCAAAATCAATCAAAAAGAAGAGAATCTTTACACAGATGTGTCATGGAGTTCAATGATAATGTTAGAAAACAAACCTGATAGCATTCACAGTATTTCTTCAGACAGTTTGATTTCTTGCAGTTACAGCCTCGTTTGTGTCTCGCTGAAGCTGGAGTTTTGGTCGCATCATCACCAACTTCCATGATGGAATCAGAGTTTCTGATGACTTTAGGAGCAAATGCAAGCGGATTTCTTGATTCAATCTGTTTGCGAGTAGCTAAGACAGTGTCTTCATGGATTGGTTTGTTGAAGCAATCTATACATGAACATGGCTCAATGCAATAAACTCCAGCAGCAAAGCATTCACAGTAACTGCAGAGAGAAACATCAAAACAGACTCAACACGAGCTACTTTTAAGCAAGCCAAAAGATTAAAGAGGATTTGAGGTATAAAAGTTTACAGCTTCAAACACTTGGATTTCTTGCAGTTGCACCGTTTACAAGATGACTCGCCATCTCCTGCTTGTTCAGACTTGCGCCTGCGAGTTTTCATGCCAACAGATTGTTAAGATATGACATAAGATTCACCATTGATCTATTTAAGCAAGTTTCAAGATTAACTTACCTTTTCTTCTTTGGGCTGCTTTGATTCAATTCTACTAAAGCTGAAGACTTTTGAACCTCTTCTATACCTTGAGCTGTTGCATCTTCCCGGGTTTCATTTTCTCTAACAATGTCGTGTGAGTGAAAAACTGGAGTAGTAGAACTTTGCAAACCGACTTTTATGTTTCCAGAAAACGAGTACTCATTAGCAACATTGCTATCCTTGGAGGACATTGCAATGGCGTTTAGATGAAGACCAATGTTACGTACTACACATCTCGATGAAGATTCGCCTGACGTTTGCTTATTCTTCCCAGGAATCTCAAAGTCTAGGCAGCGTCTTCTCACACCACGATGCAGAGCCTATCACACACACACACAAGGAGAGAATCATTTCAGAGACAATGATCAATCAAGAACCAAAACTAAGTAATAATATTCACAAAACTTTACTTACATCTGAGGACTCAGGTTCATTGCTATTCGAAACAGGTTCCAATGTAAGCTTTTTACCACCACTTAAACGTGTTTCCGAGTTTGATTGTCTCTGCAAGAAGCATCTATAAGCCTCTGAATCATTCGGTGAGCCATAAATCAAAAGTTCGGAATCCGAAAACAGAGAACCCCAATCTGGAGTTTTGCTTTTCGGCTTAACATTGTGGTCACACATCTTCTGCAGATCCATTTCACCATCTTTACAAGAACCATCATTGACAACTTTAGGAGTAGTAGCAGTAATACAGTCATTCTTGATGATTTGTGTGCTCGGTTCGATTTCGATTGAAGCTTCTTCTACTTCTACTTCTTCTCCAATGGAAGCAAGTTCTGCGTTAGAAGCAGATTCATCTTTGGAAGAGTTATTATGACTGCAAACGAAAAACATTCCAATTAAAGAAGAAATTTATCTTTGACACGAAATTTAAGGAAGAGAAAAAAGAGGAGACTTTGATTTAACCTTTTGAAACGAGATCCTTTGTGAGAAGCCGCGTGAGGAGAAGTGAAAACAGAAGGAGGAGATGAGAAACTGAGAGAGCCAAAAGTTTGAGCAATTGGTATGGATTTGACAGGTTTGATTGGTGACAAACTGTTTATGAAGTTGAACACTGGAGAATTCTGCATTCGACCAAAACTTTGTTGTCAAAAACACAAAACTTTTTGATCTCAAAACCCCAAAATTCAACTCAATTCTACGAAATCGGTTAGAGATAGAAAGTACAAATTTTTGTAAACGGTTAAGTCCCATCAAACCCTTAAAAATCGTAAAATGAAAACCGTATTACCATTGTTGAACCTCTCGAATTCCAAAAAGACACAAATCCAAAATGGGAAAGTTGAGGTTTTTTATTTCCCGTTAAGTGGGAATTGAATCGATCTCTAGAAACTGAATCTTTGACTGGAACTTAACCAATTTGAAGATGGTATTGCATAGATTCCGTAATAAACACAAAAAAAAACATACACTTTTCTCTAATGCATCACAGAATCAGAAACAGAGGAACAACGAAACAAAACAAAAAGCAGGAAACTTTAACGGAGTTGAAGATAAAAAACCTCGACTTTGAGTTTAGAAATTGGAGTCCCGATCTGGGTTACAGTTTTTGGCGGCGTATCCATTTTCTAACACTCAATCTCAATCAGATCAATATGTGTATCTCTTCGATTCTCTCACCGCTCTCTCTCTCTCTATCTCTCTGTCTCCTTAGGGTTGAAGAAGAAGAAGGAGGAGATTCAAAGAGAGAGAGAGGCGGGAAGATGAGGATTCTCTCGCGAGGATAGTCCAAACCAAATCCAACAGAGGCCAACCACAACAACAAAAGTCGCTAATTTGACCCCAACACTTGTCTCTCTTTCTCTTTCTATATGTGTCTTCTATATATAAACACCTCTACGTGTATGTATCCCTCTCTCTGTCTCTATTCAATTACTCGAGAGAATTCACTTTGTCTGTAAAACCTACGTTATGAATATCGTAATCGATTAATTACTTTTTAGTAAAGTAACGGACATCACCTTGATCTTTGCTTGATTTTTCTTTTTCTTTCTTTGTTTTTGAGAAGAAAAAAAAAAAGAGAGAGAATAAACTAAGCATAACTGCAAGTAATAACTACAGTTCACTTCCTTCGCTGCTTCTATTTTGTTTGCATACAAAAAGATGAAAGGAAAAAAAATATTCCTCTTCTTTCTTTAATTCGTTCGTTTTCTGTTTATAAATGTGGTCTACTGACTCCGTTGACTACTTGTCACCGTTGATATACCAATTTTTTCTTCTTCTTTTCTCTTTTTAATACCTTTTTTTTTTAATAAAAATCTTCTAAATAAGAGGTTGATAAATTAACTTTGACCGTATCAACAGTAATTTGTTAAGATACCTAACCGAATTTATTACAAAATAAGAGGTTGATAAATTAACTTTGTCACTTTTATGTTTTTAAAAAAATTTCCAAAAGAAATCATGTAACGATGTTAACGTCTCCGTTTTTTGTGTGAACAATCAACATCTTAAGTGATTATCTCAAGTGATGAAATTAAATGTATCGAAGAAATCAATGATTTGAGGTCAATAATGGATGAAAAAACAAAGAGAATATATTATGATCTCGTAAAAATACATAATCAACTGGAATCCATGTACTACAATTAAAAAAATGGTACTACTATGCTAGTATAGAATTAATAGTATTTTGAACAGATTGGAAAGGAACACGTTACAAATTACAACTTACAATGCTTTTTAACCTGGAGATTTGTAATCAGTAAAAGATATTGCCGCTAAATCTGCTAATCACGAGAAAGCACTTATGAGTAATCATGACACTTAAATTGAAATTAATTGGTCAATTATTTGGAGTAATAGTGATAATCATGTACTATGATTTAGTAGTAATTTCTTATGTAACGTTCGGAGAATATCATACTTTTAAGCGGCATGGAATAATAATAATACAACAATCTCTACCGTTTTTTAACATATAATTTCTCTCTTATTCATTTTTGTAGGGGTTTTATAATCGATTAGTGTCGATCCAAACCCATAAATTCCAACAGAAGTCCCAAGAGTATACGTGTTTTCACTTGGTGACTTGCATTTTAGCTCAAACAATTCTAATGTCATATATATATATATATATTAAATAAATTTGCTGTCGAATATGATCTGGCAATGTGTTTCGCATAGTAAATTAATATTTCGTTCATCTTTTTAATGGAAATCTAAAAGTAAAAAAAAAAAAAAAATAATATTTCGAAGCTAGGTTAAATATGAATAGAAATGGAATTTTATTCAAAATGGAGTAATAATTATTAATGTTCTTGTGTATCGACATTATCAAAGCATTCAGCTATTGTTATACATAAATAAAATAAAATAATTAAGTCATTCAGAAAATACAGTGAAAATCAGAAAATACACAAATTCTATTTATTTCTCTATGAAAAATAACTAAAAATGAACTAATATCAAAGCAAAATATCCCACTACAAAGAAAATATTCATTTAAGTACCCTATTATATTTATCTCTCTCTCATCAATATACTATTAAAAAAAGCATTTTTGTGTTTAGATTTATTTAATTTTTTATTATTTTGTTTTTGGACAACTTGTCAAATATATTTGAAATTTTTCTTTAAAAATAATTTCAAAAAAATTCAAATTTTAATTCAGTTAATTTAGATTTTCTTAAATATAGGTTAGATTAATTCTTAAAATTACAAAAATTATTTTTTATTATCTTTATAAAAATAAGAAATAGAATATTAATATATATTATATTTGAATATTCAAATTTAAATAAAATTCTCATAATGATAAAATGATAAATGATATATTATTATATACTTTTCATAATCAATTTTATCTTTAAAAATAATTTCAAAAAAATGAAATTTAAATTTAATTAGTTTAAATTTTCTTAGATATAAGTTAGTTTAGATATTTAGATTTTTAAAATTAAATTTTTATATTATATGTAATATGAATGAATTGGGTAGAATTATGTTTTTATATTTATGATTCTTTTCAATTTAATCGAATAGATGGGTTAAAATTATTGTTTATATTCTAATTAAATTATCAAAAAAAAATAAAAAAAAATTTATCTTAACATAAAAATAAATTTGTGTTATTTTTTAAAAATATTATATTTGTAAAAAAACATAAATTATATTATAAAATTAGTTTAAAAATATAAATTTTCTGTGCGTCTTTACAGAGTAGAATCTAGTTCAATTTTATCACATATTTCGTTTATTCCTTTTGTATTTGGAATTTTAGCATTTGGAGCCATTATATTTATATGTTTTTTTCGAATGGCATTCAAATTATATTTATTCAGTAAACTTTGCAGCTAATAATTTCAACGTACAAGTATATATGTTGTAAGTTGTAACTAACAACTTGCAACTAAATTATTTCGCGTACGTCTACGAGTAAAGTAAGAGTAGTTGAAATCTTAAAGCATGTCACATTCAGTAATAACTATACACATGATGAATCGTGAATACAGTTATTACACACCTATTGTGAACTGTGAACGAGTGCGTACATGATAAAATATTTTGTTTTCCATATGATGTTTTAGCTATTTTCTGAAAAAAATATACTAGCTATTTACTTCTCCTAGCCAAAAAATGTCTTACCCGTGACGCCATAAAGCGAATGGTCCAAATGTTCGCTGCAGGGGGTTCCATTCGTTGGTAATACGTTAACGTGATATATCGAAAGGGAAAATGTGAAAGACAATTGATTTTTTTTTTCCATTTATATCCCAAAACCGATCATCAGAGAGAAAAACGATATACAAAAGTGATCGGTTTCTATTAGTGAGTCTTTTTTTTTTTTTTTTTTTTGTCAACCAAGACATATATTCTAATGATAATTTGTATCAGTATCCGCTGCTTCTTTAACAAAGAAAAAACTTAAGTATCCATACATTTCATCAGCTTGTTGATAACAAAATAAAAAGAACAAATATTTCCAAGTATAGTTCTTATTAGTGTTCTTCAGTATTTTTGTAAATATAAATTGTAGATCTATTTTTTTTTCAAATAATACACTTTTGACTGTATACTACCTGTATTCCACTACAAATTAATTTTATTTATTTTAAATCTGATTGTTCTAATCTGTTAAAATTGAGGTTACAATTTTCATATATGCTCCACTGTGTGCTTGTTAATTAGTTTTTTAACCACATATTAAATCAAAAATAAAATTATTAGCCCATTCTATTAGGTTAGAATATTGAAATTAATTATGTATTTCCTGGATTGGCACTAAAAGAGTTTTAAAGAAGAAATTAATTAATGGTTGACAAGAACAAATTAAGATGTAACCGACTGTTGTTTTACATATATAAACTGATTACTTGTAAAGATCATAAATAATTTTCAGCTGCAACTTAACTACAAGCAGTCGATTTATTATAAGTTTAATTATAACCAAAAACAGATGTATTCACACAAAACCAAAAGAACAAAAGTTATTTTAACCCCAAAAAGCCAACATATTAAAGTATATAATAGTATATAGTTTCCGAGAATTGATATGGATATAACCAAAAGCACTTCTTCTGGCAAAAGGTGCCCCCATGCGAAAATCATAATGTCGACCATTCTACATTCATGCTGCTGCCCCTGCTTCTCAGTCACGTGCCACATGACACATCACGTGACATAAAAATCATAAAATTATGCATCTTTCATGATATAGGCCACAACATTAATTATGATTTAATTTTGTTACTTGTGTATCTATTTTTGTCAGTCTTTTAATATATTTTCAAGTATACAGTAGTACTAAATCAGGTCTAGTTAAGGAATTGGGATATTGAAAAGTTGTTCCACGAACTGTTTGTGCATGTCAGGTTGTTTATTAACGGAATATTCATAAATTAATTGAGAAAATAACTGTTAAATATATTTAATCAGTTAAGTAAAGATCCTCTTGCTTACTACAAATGGTCACAAGAAAAGCCAACGTACCAAAGTCATCGTTTAGCCTTTGCTTTTGTACCATCGAATCTCCATCCCTTTTGTTATCTGTCATCCATTTTTACATATAATTCATTTATGTCCAAGCTTTATTTATTTTAAAAATTAAGATGTTATAATCCAATGTACGATTCAATCACATCTATTTTCACGCAATATTTACATCTCAATAATCCACTGTTGTTTTTCTAATATAAATCAAGTCTAACTTAGTCTTGATGTAAATGTGTAGTGATCAAATTCACGACGTCGAGATCATTCCACCTACAATGTGCAACTCACCAAATCTGCAAGACTACAATGCTACAGTGCATAGCGGTGTGTGTTAATGTTGTTGCGTCACTAACCTAATATAAACAAACATAATACTTAACCCAAGAAAACACAAAAACACACTAACTACATATATTTGAAAAATATGTTTCTACGATATTTTCCCATAATATTTTCTATATATATCACTGATGTTCGAATCTAAGCGTTTTGTAGGATGTCAACAACGAATATTTCAAGAAGAAAGTGCACAATTCAGAACAAACGTTTAAAACAAATTTTCTATTAAATAAAGGAAACTCAGAACAAACGTTGTTTGGATTTTCAAAACGAATTTGCGCTCTTGTTGTTTGGCTTTTCTTGCACCATAGTAATCGGACTTTGGACAAGTATGAAACGACAAATGCATTTCTTTCATCTTCTTGTATATATGTTATTCTTTGTCCATATCTCTTCACATTTATATGCTGTTTTTTCTTTTTATATGTTTCATTTAAGTTATTAATTATTATTGACTATTCTGATTGACCTTGAACTTTGCAACTCTCCCTCCTGTCTGCTTTTCTTTATTAAGCTAAGTAAACAGTAAACAAATGAAATGGAGGTCTAACATCTTTTGACTTATGTACTTATCAAGTATACTTAACAACTAAAGCTTTAGTTTCATCTTTACCTATTTTTCATATCATGGTTTCTCGTATCTTTTTCTCCTGCAAGTCGCGGCACGCCATTATATAATATTGTTTTCTTTGTATCTAAGCTTTAGCATTAGAATCTGAGCTTAAAACCTTTAACAACAAAAACTGAGCTTTGTGAATAATTATCTAATACACGAGTAACACCGAAAAATATTATAACATTGTCAAATGTAATCCAGAAAATTCAAACGTACCTAAATATTATTATCCAATTTCAAACTAGTTGACTTGTATTATCTTGGATAAAATTGAACATTATCAAATTTTCCAGATAAAATACCACTCATTTTCCACAATGTAAAAAAGAAGAACATGCATGGATGATATTTATGTTCTTTTACTACATATTTTTGAATACCCATTTATTATGTTACATTGCTAAGCAAATTCTGGAAGGTACAAGAGAAAAAAAATGATCTAATTCTGAGTTATTAACAGTTGGTTTTAAAATTACTAAAGTAGTATATTGACAAAAAAAACAAAAATTACTAAAGTAATTACCTAAATTTAAAGGATACAGTTTTTTTTTATAGAGAAAAGGATGGAGTTTTGATATTCTACAATAAGGTAGGCCCATTTCATAATTTGGGCTTTGAATGAAAGTTACATGGGGTAACACAAAGTTGGGAATCAAAATTTATGGGCCTCTAGATTCTCAACGTCCAAACTCAGACATCAAACCAGCTTAATTAGTATAAAGTACTTATGGACAGTGGACACACATGTCTGATGTGTATTAACACAGATAAACCATCATCACATTATGTTTTTATCGTGTATCCAATTGTATTTCATAATGAAATGCTCAAAAGTCAAAACCAAATTTATCTTTTCATATGTAATACTTTTTCAGAAAAGTTTCGCAGTCCATTATGTTTCATGTGCAAGATGGTTAACAGCGTCTCAAATTATTGATGAGCTAGGCCTATTTTTACTTTGAGACCAAATCAATTTTTCGATAAGTATTCCATCAAATTCTTTTATATTCCAAGATATGGAAGAAATAATTCTTTAAGTTGTAAATTCATGTACCTGATCAGTACATCCGACATAACTATATTAATTATTGGTGATCATCATCGTGATTGCGAATAAACATTTGAAAAGAGAATCCATTGAGTGTTATTGTTGTTTTAAATTGAAATCTTATCTGTAAAGCACAATAAAATGGAAGAGACGACAAAGTCGTAAATTCGTAAATAGATACAGAAGGATGTCAACCTTATCTCTTCGCTTTCACGACAAAAACACAACGAATTTTAGATGGTACCTAACCTTGTACGTATCGTACTATTTTACTTCTTCTTTATACATTCTTTTCATTATTCTTTATTAAAAGTATCATGCAAGAGGCAAATACGTACATACGTAATGGTTCAATCACGCTTTCTACAAATGTTAATGACATGGTTTTTGTTAGTTATATAGTTCTACGGATTTACTCAAAACTACTTGATATATATTTTTTTTTTGGAATTTTTTTTTACTTGTCAAAGAAACTGAACAATATTAATTATTTCAGCGTCTTGCAAGGTAAGAAACTCATATATGTTTTCCTTCAGCCCATTAGATAATAAATTAATAACAACAAAAAATGTATAGGATAGTAATGAAAAATACATCAATTGCGACTTAAAAAAATAAAAATAAGGAAAATACATCAAATGCGCTGTATCACTGGGGGAGTCATGACCAGTCACACAGACAATGGGATAGACCATGTTGACGAAAATAAATTAAATTTTTTTTTTTGAATTCACTATATATATATATATTAAACTAGAGAAACTAATGCCTAATGGTTTCAGGAAAAAATGAAAGATAGTAATATGTAGTAAGTACAGTACCACAGCATTACTTTTGTAACACGTGTATTATATTCAGTTTCGAATCTAAGAATCCTAAAAACCTGAAAACATTCGGTTCGGTACGGCGAAAGTACATCGACACAGGTTATACAGTCTCACTGGCTAACTCTAACATTCTGGTCTTTATTATTTAAATAGTTTTTTTTTCACATGTAAAATTAGAAGAGAAGATCCATTGTTTTTGGTTCTCTTGATTAGATTCTGTTTAGAAGTCAATTTCCTTTCATTAGATCCCCTCAAATATTTAACTGGATTCCATATAAATCAAAATATAAAACATGTAGTAATGTGTTTTTTAAATTGGTTTACCAATTATAGGTGCACATTTAGAGAAAAAAAATACGATCGTTCAAAAGCTTTTAATTTTGTGGTTGTAATTGTATATACAGATGTCAAAATTAGGAAGTATATATTAAACAAAAAAAAAATTGTGACACCACAGTGCCCATACTAATCAATTTAAATGCCATAGTCTATAATTTAAAGTATATATATTTTTTTAATATTTTTCAAAATAAAAAATAATACAAAAATAAGAAAAAATAAATTAAAAATTTATAAAATAATTCAACTCCATAAATAGTTTTTAAAAATACAAAAATCACAATAAAACTAATATTTTATTGTTGAAATATGATCTTTTTGTATTTTTTTCCTACAAAACTGTTTATTAAATTTACATAATCGAGTTTTTTAACAATAATTGTCTCAATAGATAACAAGCTAGTCCATTTAATTGTTTTTGGTATATCGCAAATAATTATTTATCAGATTTAACTTCGAAAAACTTCTTTCAGCAATAGCAACCGATACCAGAACTGTCAATAATATGCGATATGAAACTTTTGTGTTTTGATAACAATCCTCCATTTGTTTCAAAAAATCAAACATTTCATTAAGCTTCCCAACTTTATTTGGTATTAATTTTCGGAGAATTTTCAATTCCATAAACAGACCATCACCAACAATGTATGCATACCATTCGTTAAGGAAATCTTCAAGTTTGCAAACCTATTTTTTTTTAAATATAATTTGTTACTATTAATCAATATTTTTTTAGAGAAAAGTCCATAAACATTACAAAAAAACTTTCAAATATTATTATTTTATAAGAAATTTTTTAAATTTTGTTTATTTATATATACTCTTTATATATAAAAATTAATCAAAATATACCCATATAAATTGGATGCCCTAATCTATCGTCTACCTTACCTATGCTCTGAGCCGACCCTACACCAAATTGTTGTTGTAATTTCTAAATTTTGTTTTATACAAAGAATACAGCTTACAAATATTAATAATGTAGATAGAACATTAAAATGTTGTCAAAAAAGATAGAACATTAAAAAATGAGGATTGCAAATCTAATTTTGAGACTTACCTACTGTATTAAATATAAAACGATGTAAAATAGTTGTCTTTTCTCTTCAAAAAAAAATTGTTGTCTTTTTCAGTTAAAAATAGCTATTAAAACGTTGTATATGACACTCAATATTCTGTACTTTATCACAAAGGATTTTAAATTTTTATTCTAGTGGAAATGGCTCACTCCGTATGAACCGTTCAAAATTTCATTTAGAAAAAACAAAGAGATTTGTTATCTTTTTGAAAAAGAGTTTTAAAAAGGTTTTGTTTAACGAATATCTTAGCAAGACTGATAATTAATATAAGATATATATTTCTTCCGAAGGAAGTTTTTTTTTTCATTTCATATTTTAATAACATATAGTATACCTTCCACTACCGGACTTAATTGGACTAAAAAAATTAATAGAATGCCATTTTTTATTTCCTACGGCTTTTATAATTTCCCGTTATAAAAAAACGAATACTAGAAATATATATATATATATGTATATATTTCCATAAAGTTGTCTTGTATATTTTCCAAGGAAAGGTATATTTTTGGCCTTATGGGGACAATTTCTTTCTCTCAGTAGAAACAAATTAGCAAAAATACGTATCCTTAAAACCAGCTTGAATCAAATCAAAGCCCATTCTTTCCTTCCGTCTTTTACTCTCCTCCTCTCCTTCATCGTTTCCGCAACCCAATTTTTTCTCTTCTCATCTCTTTCTTAGATTCCTTTTTTTTTTCTTTCTCAGATCTCTTCTTCTTCAGAACGATCCTCTGTTTCTTTTTCTTTTTTGGTTCCTCTCTCTCTGGGGTTGTTTTTTTTCGGAGGAAGAATCTCCTTTAAATTTTCCTTCTTCTACTGATCTCGTCGAATTTTTCAGATTTTTATTTATATTATGCATGGTCTAGTGGATGATGATTGATAACGTCTGATTTCTGGAATTTAGTGACGTTTCTGGGTATTATGATATTGTAGAAAATTTTGTGTTTTTTTTATTTTGTTTTTAATAATTTGGGTCAATGATAATAGTAGCCGGCGAGTCGGTTTCTTAGGGTTTACTTTTTCTAATTGTCTTTGTTGAATTATTGGATTTTTCTATTTTGGTAATCGATTTTCTCTGCATTTTTGATTTTTAATTGGAATTTCAACGCTATTATTGCAGAGAATTTCAGCTTGAGGAATTTGTTATTGGTGGAAAAAAACTAGAATTTTTTTTTCTATAAATATATTCATGTCATATTAGAATCGAATCTGGATGTCAGAAGAACGTGTGCATAAACTTGGGGTTGGTGTAATAGTTTAAACCAATTCTTACAACAACAAAAATTCAGGTTCTCTGCACAATTTTTTTTTTAACCTCCTTTTATCCCAAATTTACATATTTGCTATAAAAAAAAAACAATTTGATAATGATGAAAATTTTGATTAGTTCTGAAAATTTTTGAGTCTAATCTCGTTTGGTGATTTGTTTCTGCTAATTCTGATTGAAATTAGGGTTCTTTTCGTTGTGTGTGAGATTTGTTATAGAAGAAAGAAAACGAAAAAAAAAATGGAAAAAACAAATGAGACAAAAGCTTCACCGGAAAACAACCTCAGAAGCAGAGGAGCTGTTGGTAACAACAGCAAGAAAGACATGATTTTTCGAGCTGATAAAATCGATTTGAAGAGTTTAGACATTCAGCTTGAGAAACATCTGAGTAGGGTTTGGTCAAGAAGCATTGAGAAGAATCCAAAGCCAAAGGAAGAATGGGAAATCGAATTAGCTAAATTGGAGATGAGGAATGTCATTGCTCGTGGTGCTTATGGTATTGTCTACAAAGGCATCTATGATGGTCAAGATGTTGCAGGTCCAAAAACAACAACAAAAAAAAACTCATTTCTCTTTATGCTTCAGGTGTTCTTCTGTTTAAATTTGGTTTGGTTTTGAGTAATGGCAGTGAAGGTTCTTGATTGGGGAGAAGATGGCTACGCCACAGCAGCTGAGACATCAGCTCTTCGTGCTTCATTTCGACAAGAAGTTGCGGTTTGGCACAAACTTGACCATCCTAATGTCACAAAGGTTTAAACTTTTTTAAATCGTTATTAGTGATCTCTCTTTGGTGTATGTATATATGTGTATGAATCTCTGTGAATAAAAACAGTTTGTTGGAGCATCAATGGGAACAACGAATCTGAAGATACCTTCATCAGCTGAGACACAGAACTCGTTGCCTCAACGAGCTTGTTGTGTTGTTGTGGAGTATCTTCCTGGTGGTACTCTTAAGCAGTATTTGTTCCGTAACAGGCGAAAGAAACTCGCTTTTAAAGTCGTTGTTCAACTCGCTCTTGATCTCTCTCGAGGGTAATTTACAAAAAACAGAACACTTTTTTTCATTCTATATGAATCGTCAAGAATGCAAGATTTGTGATACACAATCATGATGATCTTATGCAGGCTAAGTTATTTGCATTCAGAGAGAATTGTTCATCGAGATGTGAAAACAGAGAACATGCTTTTGGATTATCAGAGGAATCTAAAGATTGCTGATTTTGGGGTAGCTAGAGTTGAAGCTCAGAATCCAAAGGACATGACTGGAGAAACTGGTACTCTTGGTTACATGGCTCCAGAGGTAACAAGAAACAGAAACTACATTTTTTTTCTTATAAAAGAAATGCGTCTTTGGGTTTCAAAATCTGATTTTAAGTTAACTCTGATTTAGGTTCTTGATGGTAAGCCATACAACAGAAGATGCGATGTTTACAGCTTTGGGATATGCTTGTGGGAGATTTACTGTTGTGATATGCCTTATCCTGATCTCAGCTTTGCTGATGTTTCTTCAGCCGTTGTTCGTCAGGTTAGTGGAACTTAATATATGAATCTTGATTCTTCTGAAACTTGCAAGACTTTTAAACATGTTTTTCTCCTGGCTTTCAAAATTCAATTGGGGGTGGATAACCAGAAATTGTTATTTGGTTTGGTTCCCTTTCCATTTGATGTAATCTTGGTTTAATTCGGTTTATTTTGGTTTGACTCGTTTTTTAGTTGGAAAATAACTGTTTATGGTATAATTTTTCTCAGAACGTTAACCGTTATGGACTAATTTTTCTCAGAACGTTAACTGTTATGGTATAATTTTTCTCAGAACGTTAACTGTTATGGACTTATGGTATAGTATTTCTCAGAACGTTAACTGTTATGGTATAATTTTTCTCAGAACGTTAAAATATAAATCTAAAATGATTTCTTGGATATCAGCTATCACATCTATTTTGTAAAGTACTGTATATAGCTATATAAAAAAAATCTGAATAGATGTTGGTTTATTTGATTCGATTTATTTTGGTTACACTAAAACCGTTATTTTCGGGTTTAAATAAAACAGAGCTAATGGGTTCATTATAACAGATTTTGGTTCAAATTCTTGTTTCAGTTAAGTCCTGTTCTAGTTTGGCTTGGTTATTAGTCAATGAGAATATGAGATTAATGTTTCTGTTTATTTTTTTGAACCGAATATAAACAAACAGAACCTGAGACCGGAGATACCGAGATGTTGTCCGACATCATTATCGAGCATAATGAAGAAATGTTGGGAAGCGAATCCGGAGAAACGACCGGAAATGGAGGAAGTTGTGAAGATGCTTGAAGGAGTCGACACCTCCAAAGGCGGCGGAATGATCCCGGAAGATCAGAGATCTGGCTGTTTCTGCTTTGTCTCCGGCCGTGGTCCCTGAATTTACTATTCTACCCCCTCTCGACCCATCTTTTCCTTTCTGCTTCTTCTTCTTATACCTTTCCACATTGAATTTTGGAGCAATGCTCTGTTTTTTTCTTCTTTATTCTGTCGAGATCAAAAAAAGATTTTTCATTACTATAAAAGAATATATTATTATTTTATATATGTCATTGTGAATTTGTGAATATGAATATTGGCGTTTTGCTTCAATATACAGCAGAAATATCAAATAGCAAAAAAAATATTGTTATAAGACGTGATCACTTTTCTTAGCTCCAATGTAGTACATCCGATTAATAAAAGGTTGATGCTTTAATTATTTGTTTTTTTTTATTTGTCGAAGAATCATCATTTAGCAAGATATCACAAACTTAGGAAAAAAATCAAGAAAACATCAAACGTTTTGTAAAACAACAAAAAATAGTTAAGCTCTTGTGTTAAATGGACGAAACTAGAGTTTTGTAGAAGATCAATTCTGCAGAAGGTAGCTAGGCCAAGGCCAGTTCATCACATTTTAGTTATTTATTGTAATTCTTTATAATAATCGAGAGAAATCTTAGACCCAAAAACAGATTACACTAGTTGCCCATATAGTCATATATATTTGTTAAAATTTAAGTTTTTTTTAATCACTTAAAACATTCACAATGGCCAACCATGATTTAGGCAGGATGATTCGAATCCTGATCTCAACTAAAAAAGTGAATCCCACCCACTAGATTACGAATTACGATGAATTAGTTTGAAGTTTTGCGTATTATTTTCATTATGACAAAGAATGTATTGTCCATTGCATGTTGGTTCACGGAAAGCTCCATACATTTACGCAATATATTTTAACAGCGAAATGAGTTTAATTACATTTCTACGCAATATAAAGTCAGAGTGGAAGGAAAAGAATTATAACATAAATATTTGTAAAACTATATATAAAAAAACATATAACGTGGATGGCCATCAAGAAAAGAAGAGAAAAACGTATAACGTGGTGCATGATTGGGTGGGTGATTTCCCACACGGCAGGCAAAGGAGTCTGTTTGCTGTCTGATCCAAAGTTTGCTGATAAATATCCACTTTCTTTTTGTTTACACAAATTATCCACTTTTAGTTAAAATTATTTTAATGTCTATTCAAAGATATTTCACTCGTTTTCCTCATTAGAAAAACTCATAAGTCGGTCCACAACCATATACCAACATTACCAAATGGGTTTATTTGTAATTTTCACATTTCCCATAACTTCGGCCTATAAAGCTCATGCGTCTTAGGATCAATCAATTCCAATCTAATATAATCTTCTATATATCTACCTAGTTCGTCTAGATCCAGTTTGTTCTTAATATATATTGAAAATTTATAGATAGAGAGGCATATATATGGGATCATTAGTGAAAGAGGAAACTTCGCCATCGTTGATGACGGAGTTTTTGGAGAAGTGCGGCGGTTATGCGGTGGTGGATGGAGGCTTTGCCACGGAGCTAGAACGCCATGGGGCAGACATCAATGATCCACTTTGGAGCGCCAAGTGTCTCATTACTTCTCCACACCTCGTCACAAAGGTCACACACACACATATATATACAGTCTATGTGGAATTGACTTACTCTTCTTAATTAAGATGCTTAGTCGTCAAAATGATGTTTACTTCTTGTAGGAATTTTTTTTTGTCATCTATATATTAACGATCCTAAATGTTTATTCCTATATAGTATTTACATCAAAATAACTAAAGTTCAACAAAGAAAAAAATTGAATAGAGATGCGGATAAATGTTTATTCCTACTACGGAAAATTAAAAGATAAATAAAAAAGCTCTACTAATATTTAGGTCTTGTGTCCTTCTCTTTTAATTTCTTTTAGATTGTTTTTTTTTTTTTGGTTTGTAGCAAATTCAAAAGAACGTTAATGAGATTTTGGCTTCATATCCTTTTTCTTTTTCCTTTCTAGAAAACAGACTACATAGAATCATATCAAATTATTATTTTTTTTTTCCAAATTTTTGTGAGATTTATATTATTGATCTCATTTAAAACTGCTTTTATTTATCTTTTATCCAAAGCTAATAATTCTTGTATGTTAAATCATTTTGAATTATATGAAAGATTAATTAAAGATATGTATTGGTATAAGTAACGTGTCTTTTCATCTCATTCCAACTATTGGCCGTCATCCCACGCCTTTTACTAGATTGGGACTCGATTTTTTCTCGTAACATACAGTTTGCAATCACTATATTTATTACCATAGCCCAAAAACGTCAGAAATTATTTTTCTGTATATAATATTAGTCCCGTGTATGTATAGGTGCACTTGGATTACCTAGAGTCTGGAGCAAACATCATCATAACCGCATCATACCAGGTAACTTGGCCTTTAATTAATTTCTAACAAAACATAATACTGTAATATTAAGTATGTGTGAACATTGAAAATCTAAGTTAAAAACAAATCAACCTCCTTTACAGGCGACGGTCCAAGGGTTTGTGGCTAAGGGTTTATCGGTGGGAGAAGCAGAGAGTTTGCTGAGGAGGAGCGTAGAAATAACGTGTGAGGCACGTGAGATTTTCTACAACAGATGTACCAAGGGTTCTTGGGATTTCGACCACGCCGGAAAAGATTCCCGGCGACCAGTTCTTGTCGCAGCTTCCGTTGGTAGCTATGGAGCTTATCTCGCCGATGGCTCTGAATACAGGTTATTTTTGTTTTATTTTTGTTATATTTAGGTATTATATTTTAAAAATTAAGTTTTAAATGGTCAAATCCAAAATAACTTAGTTACCCAAAAAAAAGTCTTGGCCATAGAAAACTAAATTTCATCCCTCTCATTATGGTTCTGAAGCGGAATATATGAGGATTCTGTGAGCAAAGAGACGTTGAAGGACTTCCATAGAAGAAGAGTACAAATCCTAACAAAATCTGGAGCCGATCTAATCGCATTCGAGACCATTCCAAATAAGCTCGAAGCGGAGGTATATATAGTTTTTCCTTAACTTTGACTATTTTCGTGATTCCTAATTAGGGTATTGGAATCCTCGTACTTATTAGCCAATAAAAACGCTTAAAATTTCAAAAGTATTTTGCACAGGCTTTGGAGATTGGTTTAAGTTTCACTGTTTCAGTCCACGATCACCGGTTTTAGTCTTGTGGCTGCGTTTTCGCGTCGTGATCATAGTTTATGTGCATAGTTACGTACTACTCGTCTAAATTTATTTTTAATAATATCAATGATATACGCTTTGGCATATATATAATAGGCTTATGCGGATCTTCTTGAGGAGAAAGACATTGACATTCCAGCATGGTTCTCGTTCACATCAAAGGACGGAGTCACTGTGCCACATGGAGAGTCAATTATAGAATGTGCGAAAGTGGCAGATTCTTGCAAGCATGTGGTGGCCATAGGAATCAATTGTACTTCACCAAGATACATTCACGATTTGATTATCTCTTTACGCAAGGTAATACACATACATATTAAAAAAATGATGGAATAAGGGTTTCTTGATTGTGCCTTGCGGCTGAAGAAACTGGCTTTTTTCTTTCCAGGTGACTCGCAAACCGATCGTTATCTACCCAAATAGTGGGGAAGTCTACGACGGTCTAAACAAGAAATGGATTGTGAGTGTTTCCATGTGTCAAACTACCTGATAATATATAGCAACTTACATATCTGATTTCTTATGGGAATTTTGTTGTTTATGCAGAAATCAGAGGGAGAAACGGAGGAGGATTTTGTGTCGTATGTGAGTAGATGGAGAGATGAAGGAGCATCGTTGTTTGGAGGATGTTGCCGGACTACTCCAAACACCATCAGAGCCATTGCTAATGTTCTCTCCTGTGACTCTCCGGCACCATCCAAACTCAAGTTCCGACAGTAGACTTGTCAACGATGAGTTTTCTACACTTGTGGTGTCAGGTTGGAGTTGGACATGTAGATTAACGCAGGTGTTATAATTGTGCAATCATATATACGTAACTTATGGTGTTTAATCTGTTTTTTTTTTTTCCTTTTGGTTATATATATAGCCTTTAAAAAAATGGTAGCTACGTTAGAGACAAGTGTGTGTATGGTCTCATGATGGGAGTATAAGTGATGTATTGATGTTGATGTGGAAGAAACATATTTCTACAAACGTGCTGTAAAAAAAAACGATTAGCGGATAGATTGTGTTTTATTGAAATGAATGGTATTAAACTTCTACTTGTCTTGTGTGTATATATGGGCAATGCTTGATGTATGCAGAACTCGATATTTGCGTTTAAGAGGAAATCAGTAACTCCTGAGCTGTAAAATAATACAATCAAGTGATATAGAGTTGTTTTGACATAGCACATGTCTAGAAAACAAAATTGATTTTATACATCTGCTGCTTCTTTTCCTTTTCAAAAATTAATTTGGAAAGAAATAGAGGAAAAAATATATATGAATAAATAGAATCCACAAAAAAAACAGTAAATGAAGGGAAAATCGTTTTTTTTTGTTTTTGTTTTTCTTTTTGGTCGAAAAAAATTGTTTCTTTTAATTATTTATATAAAAGATACGATTGATTCAGGAAACGTCAAAAACTCAAAACCCTTTTTTTTTACTCAGAGACAGAGAGTCCCATCGAGCCGTTTCTCTTCTTCCTAGGGAGACCAGATATCACAAAGAGAGAAATAACGAAGATGTCGGATCTTCCGTCTGATTTGGTAGAGGAAATACTTTGTAGGGTTCCCACAACATCTCTGAAACGATTAAGATCTACATGCAAACGATGGAATGTTCTTTTCTAAGAGCCAGGATTCTCAGAGAAGCACTTTCGTAAAGCTCCAAAGCAGTCTAGTGTTCTCATGTTGAAGGCATACAAGCTTTGTCCAATAAGCGTCGATCTCAACGTTGTTCCACCATCTGTAGAGTTTAAAGATGCACTTGACCTAAAGTTTTCCCATTCTAATTCAGGACAAGTAGATATAGCTCACGTTTTTCACTGCGACGGTTTATTGTTATGCATCACCGAGGATAATAAACCCGTGGTTTGGAATCCGTGTTTAGGGGAAAGCAGGTGGATCCAACACGAAATTGGTTACGATAGATACTGTGAGTTTGCTCTAGGATACGACAACAACCAATCTTGCCGCAGCTACAAAATCTTGATGTTTTGGAACAGTTTGTACTGGGAAAATTGTCAAACAAACAAGCCAGTTGGTAGATTTGAAATCTATGAGCTTAGCTCTAATTCATGGAGAATTGTCAATCCTCGCAGCTGCCCTAGAATAGGCATAAGATACCGAGGCGTGACTCTAAAGGGAAATACTTACTGGATTTCTAAAGATGATAATGAAGATAACTACTTACTCACTTTTGATTTTACAGGTGAGAGATTTAAACGTCTTTGTCTTCCGACAATTCAGAATCGTGGTTCTTATATGGCTTTATCTTCTGTTAGAGAAGAAGAACTCTCAGTGTTATGTTTAAACAGCATTGATTCACATGAGTTGGAGATGTGGGTGACTAAGAAAATTGATACTGAAGCAGAGTTTTCATGGAGCAAATCTTTTGTAGTGGATTTAAGAATTCCTCGCGATAATTCGTTGTTTGCGTTCACGAGTCTTTTAATTGACGAGGAGAAGAAAGTGGCATTGTCTTGTAATTCATTATTTGGGTACGGCAGGAACGTGGTATATACTATTGGAGAAGACAATGAATACTACACCGAAATCCGTGTTATGCTACATAACAACCATATTGATAGATCGTGGAAGCCATTCATTTTCAATTATGTTCCAAGTTTGGTTCAAATCCCGACCAAGGTAGAGACATAATTTATGTGGTGGTAATCTCTTGCAGCTCCTTGTTTGTGTTTTGGGATAGACAATGTCCTTTTGATTATTTATAACTGAACTGATCTAATATATTTTTTAGTTCTTTTTTTTTTGTTACAACACCTGTTACTTTATGATTCCTTTCTTCTTTGCATTATATATTACATTCAAATTTTTGATTAAAACAACAACCAGTTTGTTACATTCCGAAGTAACATATGTGCCTACGTGTTTTGGCAAGGCGGGGATCTTGCCAAAGATGCTGTTGATTTGTTATTCCAGATGACGATGTAATACCCAATTCGAGTGTTCAACCTTTTCCTCATATGTATATATAATAAGACTTACTTATCAAATTGGACAAATCAAGTTTTAAGTGCTCGAATCCAAGAAAAAAAACTACAAAAGTCTTGGCCTGTTGAAGAAAGATACAGTCACAACATTTGATTATTTCCTTTAGTAAGGTAGTTAGCAGACATGTATAAACAATGATGGTAAAATGGCCTTTTTGTCATATGTATTGTGCCTTGCAGCTGAAGTAACTTGCTTTTTTTTTTTCTTTCTATGCGACTCCCAACCCGATAATTGTCTACCCATGGCGAGGAAGTCTACGACGGTCTAAACAAGAAATATATTGTGATTGTTTCTGTGTCAAACCTGATAACTATATAACAAATTCTATAAATCTGGTTTAAACCTGATAACTATATAACCAGATTTTAACACGAAATTGGTTACGACGTTGTCAGTTTGCTCTAGGATACGACAATAACCAATCTTGCCGCAGCTACAAAATCTTAATGTTTTAGGAGTGTTACCAAGAATTTGAAATCTATGAGTTTAGCTCTAATTCATGGATAGTTGTTATTGCTCCCAACTGCTTCAGAATAAGCAATAGTTATCCTGGCGTGACTTTGAAGGGAAATACTTATTGGATATCTTCTGATGGTAACAAAGACAGCGACTACTTACTCAGTTTTGATTTTACAAGAGAAAGATTTAGACGTCTATATATGTCTTCCAACATTTCAGAATCGTTGTTTTTATATGGCTCTGTCAGTTGTTAAAGAATAGCTACTCTTTGTGTTATGTCTTAAAAGCAGCATTGATTCATCAGAGTTGGAGATGTGGGTGATTAAGAAAATTGTGACTGAAGCAGAGTTTTCATGATAGATCCCTTTTATGCTACATTACAACCCTAATGATAGATCGTGGAAGCCATTCAGTTTCAATTATGTTCCAAGTTTGGTTCAGATCGATAAAAATAAGTAATTTCTTGCAGCTCCTCGTTTTTTTTTTGTTGACTATCGTTTTGATTATTTTTGATTGAACTGAACTATTATTTTTTTAGTTTTTTGGTACATCACCTGGTACTTTATGATTTCTTTCTTCTTTGAATTACATTACATTCGAAGTAACATATATGCGCCTATGTGATTTCTTGGACCATCATGATCTCCGGTTACGAAAGGATCTTGCCAAAGATGCTGTTGATTTGTTTTTCCAGATGATGAGAAACGACGTTGTAATACCCAATTCGAGTGTTCAACCTTTTTGTTCTTCATAATAAGACCATAGGAATCAATTGTACTCCACCAAGATACATTCACGATTTGATCATCTCCTTGCGCAAGGTAATATACATACATATACACAATGATGCAACTAGGGTTTCTTCCCTTGACTGTGCCTTGCGGCTGAAGAAACTGGCTTTTTTTTCTTTCTAGGTGACTCGCAAACCGATCGTTGTCTTGTCTTAGTTGTCTACCCAAATAGTGAGGAAGTCTACGACGGTTAAACAAGAAATGGATTGTGAGTGTTTTCATGTGTCAAACTACCTGATAATATATAGCAAATTACATATCTGATTTCTTATATATGAGAATTTTTTATTTATGCAGAAATCAGAGGGAGAATCAGAGGAGGATTGTGTGTCGTATGTGAGTAGATGGAGAGATGAATGAGCATCGTTATGTTGTCGGGCTACTCCAAACACCATCAGAGCCATTGCTAATGTTCTCTCCTGCGACTCTCCGGCACCATCCAAACTCAAATTCTGACAGTAGACTTGTCAACGATGAGTTTTTTACACATGTCAGGTTGGAGTTTGACATATAGATTAACGCAAGTGTAACTGTGTAATCATATATACGTAACTTATGGTTGTTTAATCTGTTTTTTTTTCTCTTTTTCTTTTGGTTATATAACTTTTAAAAAATGGTAGCTACGTTAGAGACAAGTGTGTGTATCGTCTCATGATCATGGGAGTGTAAGTGATGGTTTGATGTTGATGTGTGTTAGGATTTGGCCTCTCAAAGGTTCTAGCTTTGAGTTGTCTTTGACGTGAAAACACCAGCCACAACGTAAAACAGAGCAAGAAACAAAACGAAGAAGATATAAGAACATAGCAGAAAAGAAAAGGGAGCACACACAACATTTAACGAGTTCACGCCCATAAACTCGGGTCGCTACATCTCGCCGGGATTTCTTCCCGGAATCCACTAGATGATAGAGTGTACAAAGAGATCCCCAAACCCCAAAAGCCCTCTTACAAAGGTTTCTCTCAGTTCTCACTCTTTCACTCTATATCCCAAGAACACTCACCAAGTTTACACTTTTAGTGATGTTCTCTCTCTCGATCTTTCTACATTGTGTTGTGCTATCTCTCTCAATTGTTTGACCGGCTCTATATATATACACGAATAGACCTCATGTTCTTTTTGAATCTTCCACCAAATTCCCTTGTCTTGGCTAGTAGCAATTAATGCTCGTCCTTATCTTGTAGTTTCATAGGAGACAAGACTACTTTTCCTTTTGCTTTATCAGACCTGCATCAACGGTTACTTCCTTGTGGTCCTGCAATTCTTTGGTCACGTGATTCTTGTATATTGAGCTCACAACTTCTTCTCCAAGTCTTTCTCTTTTGTATTTTGTCTTGATCTTCATAGCTAATTCCAACAAATCTCCACCTAGCAATGAGAGATCAAACAAATACCAACCACGAAATAGAAGAGCTTGAGATAGACATGATCATCTAGTTTTGTGGATTCCAATCCCGGTTCCTGAGTATGATTACTCAGACTTGCTCAATCCATACTGCATTTAACTTATGTTCCATGCCCTTCAGCTTTCAATGTTCACACTGCTGAACCTGAGCCACCAAAGCTTCTTGAGATCACCAGAGTTGTGAAAACCAGCTTCAATACCGACTTGTATTGAGCTCAACTCTCCACTGATCAATCCATGAGGCTTTCAAATCTTGAATGCCTGAAATAACTGCTCAGAAAAACACATTAACCAGTTTAAATTTCCATTAAACCAATTAACCACATCAGAACTCTCCATAAGCTCCACCGTTTTTATAAATTCTCCAAAAAAAGCTTTGTTTGCCTTTGTTTCTCTGCAACCTGATTCCCTCACTGGCCCTTTTTTTTTTTTGATTCTACTCATGTGCTTTAAGTCTTGAATCAAAATTCCTTGAGATTTATGTGCAGCAAACTCTGAATCATACATGTTTCAAACCTGAAACAATCCCTGATTCTTCTCTCTGCTTGAAACATACTAGCCTTGAGCACTTCTTGTACCGCCGTTATCTCTAACAGAACACGCCATCCAACTACCCTCAATGTTGAACAGACTTTCGACACAAGCTTGGTCCAAACACTGTGTTGAAACAAACCTGTTTGCAAAACACATTCTTCTTGAATCAAATACAAAGAACAAAGGCATTTTATCCTCCAATAAGAAGCCCTTTGGATCTCCTTGGAAACAACCCCAACAGCCTGTTTAGAAATACTGCATAATCTGAGATTGCCTTCACGTCAGCCTGTATGAACCAACAGCACTGAAACATCATCATTGTCAAAACCGTTCTGTTTAAACAGAACACCAGCCAGCAGACTTTAAGCACTACCAGCACCTTAAAACTTGTCTTATATCAACATAAACTTGTGATAATCCTGAGACGATCATGTACGGCTACTTCCACACCAAATATAGAACCTGCGATACCTCCTTTAGTCATAAGAAATGCCCTGTAATACTTCAACCAATATACAAGACTCCACCAAATGACTTGAATTCAGCTTCTGAAACATGTCTCACATCCACAACCATGGGAAACGCCTGAGACACCAATGTATAGCCCTTAGCACTTCACTCTAGAACCCTTGAAGTCACTATCTCGCTATACATATATACCCTGTATAGATGCTTTATCAGACCTGCATCAACGGTTACTTCCTTGTGGTCCTGCAATTCTTTGGTCACGTGATTCTTGTATATTGAGCTCACAACTTCTTCAGTCTTTCTCTTTTGTATTTTGTCTTGATCTTCATAACTAATTCCAACAATGTGGAAGAAACATATTTCTATAAACGTGCTGTAAAAAAAAAAAAGATGTAAAGCTGATAGATTGTGTTTTATTGAAATAAATGGAATAAACTTTGTCTTGTGTGTATGGGCAATGCTTGATGTGTAGTACTGGAAGTTTTGCGTTTAAGAAGAAATCAGTTACTGGAGCTGTAAAATAAATATAAAATTAAGTGATTTTTTTAGAGTTGTTTTGACATAGCACATTTTTTTTCCTTTTCAAAAAGTAATTTGGAAAGAAAAAGGAGGAAAAAAATATTTCCACAGAGGAAAAGGAAAGAGTAATTAACACAGATGAAGGGTAAAATCGTTTCTTTTGTTTTTTTTGGTCAGAAAAAAAAATTGTTTCTTTTTGTTTATCTATATATAAAAGACAGAAATGGTTCAGGTCAAAAATTCAAAACCCTAAACTCTACATAGAAGAGATCCATTTATCTTCTTCCTAAGGAGACCAGATCACAAAGAGAGAAATAATGAAGATGACATATGATCTTCCAAATCTTCCGGTGGATTTGGAAGAGGAAATACTCTCTAAGGTTCCGGCCACATCTCTGAACCGATTAAGAGCTACTTGCAAACGATGGAACACTCTATTCAATAAGCCAGGGTCCTCCGAGAAGCACTTTCGTAAATCTCCAAAGCAGCCTCGTGTTCTCATGTTGAAGGCATGTAGGATTTCTCCAATCAGCGTCGATCTCAACGTTGTTCCTCCATCTGTAGAGTTTGAAGATGCACTTAGCCTGAAGGATTCCCATTCTAATTCAGAGAAAGTGGATATAGCTCAAGTTTTTCACTGCGACGGTTTGTTGTTATGCATCACCAAAAACGAGAATAAACCCGTAATTTGGAATCCGTGTTTAGAGGAAAGCAGGTGGATCAAACACAAAAATGGTTACAATAGAAACTGTGAGTTTGCTCTAGGATACGCAAACAACCAATCTTGCCACAGCTACAAAATCTTAATGTTTTGGGAGTGTCGCCAAAGAAACAAGCAAGTTGGTGAATTTGAAATCTATGAGGTTAACTCTAATTCATGGAGAGTTGTTATTGCTCCCATCTGCCTCAGATTAGGCATAAGATATAGTGGCGTGAATTTGAAGGGAAATACTTACTGGATTTCTATAGATGGTAACAAAGCCAACTACTTACTCAGTTTTGATTTTACAAGAGAGCTTTACACGTCTACATCTTCCGACATCTTGTTATCATTATATGGCTCTATCAGTTGTTAGAGAAGAACAACTCTCAGTCTTATCTAAGGGATTTGATTCACCAGTGGTGGAGATGTGGGTGACCAAGAACATTGATCCCGAAGCTGAGTTGTCATGGAGAAAATCCTTTGCAGTGGACGTGTGCATCAATACGAGTTTTTATGTTCTCACGAGTCTTATAATCCACGAGGACAAGAAAGTGGCATTGTGTTGTAATGCTATAGGAATGTGGCCGGCATGAAAATAGACTACACAGTATTCTTTATTGGAGAGGATGATGAATATTACACAGAAACCAGCTGTTATCGAGAATCCACAAACAAAGTAGGTTTTGTTTGGCCATTTATGTTCAATTATGTTCCAAGTTTGGTTCATATATCCAATAAGGTAGAGGCAAAGGAAAAGAGTGAAAAGTGAAAACTAGTCAATAAAAATAAGCAAGTAGTTGGTTTCTTGCAGCTCTCCTTTCTTTTCTCTCTTTTTTTTTAATTCGTATTTATTTTGTAGATAAAGAGTCGTTTGAATAATTTAATGATTTGATCTTTTATGATTCCTTTCTTCTTAGTGTGTTTATAGTTTTGATTTTGTTTTAAACCCAAAAAACTTTAATAAAAAAATTTGATCCGATGATGATGTAAAACCTAAGAAGCTTTGATTATTCAAGTGGTACAGTGGATTCCTCAAAGGAGAATCTAAAGGAAACTAAAACGCAGAGAATGCTGCATGAACTGTTTCAAGGGCTTTATTAACTACAACAAGGTTAAATTTGTTGTGCATTTAACAGAATACAACAAGACTCATCTTGAAACCTGGTGTCTTCTCAGGAAACTTATCTCAAGGAATCTATAAGATGAATGTTCTTGGTATGTTCTTGTATTCTTATACCTGCAGGAAATTCAATCATTCGGAGGTGATTTGCAGATTTCGAACAAGATAGTGTTGAAGTATACTGTGATTCAAGAAGAAAAATTAGTTTGTTTAAGATCATGGTATATTCACCATGATTTCCGAAGTATGATAATTGAGGTTTTACTAAGGTTTTACCACTTACCCTGAGAAACTTTGATATAAAGTGGCAAACTTTTAAATTTGACGAGTGCTGGAATTAGTAAATTGCGAAGTGAGCTCAACAATGGCGATGTTGGGGAGTGTTCTTCTTCCCTCTCCAATGGTGTTAGCAAGCGAGGGTATCAAAAAAGTCACGACGACATCCTCATCTCCGATTAGGCCGTTAAAGAATTGCAAAACCGTGGATCAACTCAAGATGTTCCACCGTTCGCTCGCGAAGCAAGGCCTTGAGAACGATGTCTCCTCTATAACCAAGCTTGTTGCTCGAAGCTGCGAATTGGGTACTCGTGAAAGCTTGAGCTTTGCCAGAGAGTTGTTTGATTCGAAAGGAAATGGCGAATCTTATGGATCTCGTTTCATGTACAACTCTCTGATTCGTGGGTATGCATCTTCCGGGTTATGCGAAGAAGCTTTATCGCTCTTTCTTCGAATGATGGTCGACGGAATCTCTCCGGACAAGTACACGTTCCCGTTTGGATTGAGCGCGTGTGCGAAAAGCAGAGCGAATCGCGACGGGATTCAGATTCATGGGTTGATCGTTAAGATGGATTACGCCAAGGATATGTTCGTGCAGAACTCGCTGCTTCATTTCTATGCAGAGTGTGGAGAGCTTGACCTTGCACGGAAGGTGTTCGACGAAATGCCTCAGAGAAATGTGGTTTCTTGGACCAGCATGATTTGCGGCTACGCAAGGCGGGATCTTGCTAAAGACGCTGTTGATTTGTTTTTCGAGATGATCAGAAGCGAGGATGTTAGGCCTAATTCGTTCACAATGGTGTGCGTGGTATCGGCTTGCGCGAAGCTGGAGGATCTTGAAACGGGTGAGAAAGTTTATGCTTTTATCCGAGATTCTGGTATTGAAGTCAACGATCTTATGGTTAGTGCTCTGGTCGATATGTACATGAAATGCAGCGCAATTGATACAGCAAAACAGCTTTTTGAGCAATACGGTGCTAGAAACTTGGATTTGTGCAACGCGATGGCGTCTAACTACGTACGCAAAGGGTTAACGAAGGAGGCTCTAGGTGTCTTGAATCTAATGATGGAGTCTGGTGTTAGACCTGATCGGATATCGATGTTGAGTGCAATCTCTTCTTGTTCACAGATGAGGAACATTTTGTGGGGAAAGAGCTGTCACGGATTTGTACTGAGGAATGGGTTTCAGAATTGGGACAACATATGCAATGCCCTGATTGATATGTACATGAAGTGTAACAGGCAAGATACTGCATTTAAGATCTTTGATCGGATGTCGAACAAGACAGTGGTCACGTGGAACTCGATAGTCGCTGGCTATGTAGATAATGGTGAGGTGGAAGCAGCTTGGGAAACATTCAAAATCATGCCAGAGAAAAACATTGTTTCTTGGAACACGATCATCGGCGCACTGGTGCAAGAAAGCATGTTCGAGGAAGCGATTGAAGTTTTCAGGTCTATGCAAAGCCAAGAGGGTGTCAATGCAGATGGAGTGACAATGATGAGTATTGCATCTGCTTGTGGGCACTTGGGAGCTCTTGATCTCGCGAAGTGGATGTATTACTACATTGAGAAGAACGGAATTGAGCTTGATGTCAGACTCGGTACAACCTTGGTAGATATGTTTTCCAGGTGTGGGGATCCTGACAGCGCAATGTCGATCTTCGATAGTTTGACAAACAGAGATGTCTCGGCTTGGACAGCGGCTATAAGAGCAATGGCTATGTCAGGAAACGCTAAGCGAGCAATAGAGCTATTCAATGAGATGATTGAACAAGGGTTGCAACCAGATGGAGTAGTCTTTGTTGGAGCATTGACAGCTTGCAGTCATGGAGGATTGGTCCAACAAGGTAAGGAGATCTTCAATTCGATGGAGAAAGTTCACGGAGTTTCTCCACAAGATGTGCACTATGGATGCATGGTTGATCTGCTTGGTCGAGCAGGATTGCTAGAGGAAGCTCTGCAACTCATAAAGTCCATGCCTATGGAGCCAAACGATGTGATTTGGAATTCTCTTTTATCTGCTTGTCGTGGTCAGGGAAATGTGGAGATGGCTGCTTATGCAGCTGAGAGGATACAAGTCTTGGCTCCAGAGAGAACTGGGAGTTATGTTCTTCTGTCAAATGTCTACGCATCAGCTGGAAGATGGAACGATGTAGCAAAAGTGAGGCTAAGTATGAAGGAGAAAGGTTTACGTAAACCGCCAGGAACTAGTCTAGTAGAGATCCGAGGTAAGACCCATGAGTTCACATCAGGAGATGAGTCACACCCTGAAATGCCGAGAATAGAAGCAATGCTCGATGAGATTAGCCACTTAGGCCACGTACCTGATCTTGGTAATGTTCTGATGGACGTAGATGATCAAGAAAAGAGATTTATGCTTAGCCGGCACAGCGAGAAACTTGCAATGGCCTTTGGGCTCATCAGCTCAAAGAAAGGCACAACGATACGAATAGTCAAGAACCTGAGAGTATGCTCTGATTGTCATTCATTTGCAAAGTTAGCATCCAAAGTGTACAACCGAGAAATCGTTCTAAGAGACAATAACCGGTTTCATTTCATAAGTCAAGGAAAGTGTTCTTGCAATGACTTCTGGTGATTACATAAGTAAATAAGATGAAGCATTTCATTTCAATGTCTATAGTTAACTAACATAGAGACTTATATATAAACATCAATCCTTGAAAGGATGATTCCGAGAAAAACTAGATTCCAAAAAAAGGTGTTCAAGAAACTTGTTCTATGTTCGAGATGGCGGCTCAGGAATGATTGAGTCGATAAACGAGTGATACATAGGATCAGATCCCCAAAGACGAGCAATTTGATGATGAGAAGAAGTGAGTCTATGGATTTCTTCAACGAGCCAGATTGTAGCTTCAGCTTTCGAAGGATGAATGATTGAATCCAAACACTGGTCTTCAGAATCAGAGCCGATTCTTGATTGATCCCAACGTTGTAAGAGAACGTTCGTGAGGTAATGTAAAGGCTGACCATAAAGCTCTTTGATTGAGTTGCTTAATCCAACCCAGCTCCTGAACGGAATCACCGAACCGCGATTTGTCGGGATCGGAAGTCGCTTCATGTAATCTTGATACATCTCTGCTCTCATCAGCAATGAATCTGATGCAAAAAGAAAAAAAATCGAAACTTTATTCTTTGAGGTCGAAAATGGTATAAAAGGAAAGAAACAAGGGACGATTTTTAATCACATTACCTTCATCTTCGACGACTCTGTGAGATCTATCGACCGGTGAAAAGGCATCGCTGATCTCAGCTTCAGAAGAACCGGAATCATCTGGTGGTAGCGGATTCATCGTCACTACACTTTGGTCCTTGATTTGCCGTTAAATTCTTGACGGCAAAAATTAAAATGTACGACGGCTCCAGGAGGCCACCAAAATTAGGGTTTTTACTATTTAAGGGAAGAAGATGATGAGGATGGCTTGACACGTGTCAGTTAAAACGTCACTTTTCCGTTGTGTGAGCTAACCAAAAATCTAAAAAAGTGAAAATTGAACAAAATTAAACCCGCCCGAAATTGAACCTGGATCCGTATCCATTAACGACCCGACCCGGCGCAAAGCAGCAAGCTTTAGGTATTGTGCCTACTTTCAAACTTCATCGGAAAGACGAGTCAAATCGGAGACGAAATCTAAAAAATGCTCACGAAGTTCCGAATTAGTAAGCTTGGTTCGTATACTTTGCGTCGGAGAATCTACGAACGGCGATTTCTGGTGACGAACAATGCTTTCTCTGACGCTGAAGAGTCGCCGGTTGTTGCCGCTGAGTCGCCGGAGCTTCCGTCTTGGATCAAAGACTTTCTATCAAACAAGCCTTCTTCTGCAAATTCGTCCCTTGACGATGAAGATTTCGTTATCCCTTCTTTGGCGGGTTGGGTCGAGAGCCAGAAGTTTAGCCGTGAAGGAGTCTCAACGGGAAATGTCGCGAAGAAACCAGTGGAAGATATCGATAAAGTCTGCGAATTTCTGAATAAGAAGGACGCGTCTCACGGAGATATCGTCAACGAGTTGATTGGCTGCGATGTGGTGGTATCAGAGAGTCTGGTTCTACAAGTTCTGAGAAGGTTTAGCAATGGATGGAATCAAGCTTACGGGTTTTTCGTTTGGGCAAAATCACAAACAGGTTATAGGCATTCATCTCAGGCTTACAACGCAATGGTTGATGTGTTGGGGAAAAGCAGGAACTTCGAATTGATGTGGAGATTAGTCGATGAGATGAAGTGTGAATCACCCGAGCTTGTCACGCTCGATACAATGAGCAAGGTCATGAGGAGATTGGCGAAATCAGGAAAATACAGCGAAGCTGTTGATGCTTTCTTAGAAATGGAGAAGAGTTATGGTGTGAGAACAGATACTAATGCTATGAACAGTTTGATGGATGCACTTGTGAAGGAGAACAGTATAGAGCATGCTCATGAAGTTTTCCTGAAGCTTTTCGATTCGATCAAGCCGGATGCTAGGACATTCAACATTTTGATTCATGGGTTTTGTAAAGCTCGAAGATTTGATGATGCCAGGACGATGATGGATTTGATGAAGGTTGCTGAGTTTGCTCCTGATGTTGTGACTTACACAAGCTTTGTGGAGGCTTATTGTAGAGAAGGAGATTTCAGGAGAGTTGATGAGATCTTGAAAGAAATGAGAGAGAATGGGAGGAAACCTAATGTGGTGACTTACACGATTGTGATGCATTCTTTGGGGAAATCTAGACAAGTAGCTGAAGCTTTAGGAGTATATGAGAAGATGAAAGAAGACGGGTGTGTTCCTGATGCTAAGTTTTATAGCTCGTTGATACATATTCTGTCTAAGACGGGTAGGTTTAAGGACGCAGCTGAGATATTTGAGGACATGACGAATCAAGGAGTGGCTCGCGATGTTTTGGTCTACAATACAATGATTTCCGCTGCGGTTCATCACTCGCGAGATGAGATGGCTCTGCGTTTGCTTAAACGGATGGAAGAGGAATCGTGCAGTCCAAACGTTGAGACTTATGCTCCGTTGCTGAAGATGTGTTGCCAGAAGAAGAAGATGAAGCTGCTTGGGGTTCTGTTGCATCACATGGTGAAAAACGATGTTAGTATCGATGTGGCGACTTACATTCTTCTCATTAGAGGGTTGTGTATGAGCGGGAAGGTTGAAGAAGCTTGCTTGTTCTTTGAGGAGGCGGTGCATAAAGGAATGGTTCCTAGAGATAGCACTTGCAAATTGTTGGTGGAGGAGCTTGAGAAGAAAGGTATGGCAGAGGCAAAACTCAAGATTCAGAGTTTGGTTCAATTCAAAGCGATGCCCAAGTCACAAAGTCAGTTACGTGTTTCGTAGAGTTTGGAGTCCTCATGGCTCTCAAAGTTTTGTATCTGTGGAACGATAATCACTATACTAGTATACTCTGTTCGATCTCAAAGCAGGTTCTAACCTTTTTACTATAATGAAAATGAAATCACATGGTTTTGTAGTGCTTGATGAATCAAACAAATGTATGAGAAGTTTTGAATAATGTTCCAAGATGGAACCTTTACATTCTTTGACCATGTTGCCACCTACCAAAATTTTTGTAAAATTTCATGAACGAGACCCACACAAAAAAAAAGACTTGTATTTATACTTTTATACCGTATTTTATACTATTCAGTATTCACCGTATTTTATACATATATACCCGTATTTGAATAAATTATAAAATTGAAGTTTAGAATAAAGCAGGGAAGGGCTACGAAGCCAAAACCCTTTCCTCAACTTCTTCTCGCGCCGTCGTAAAATTTTTTTTTTTATCTTCGTCTCTCTAAAACCCTTCTCAAGCAATCTTCTTCCTGTGGATTCATCGTTAACCGTAAGTTTACTTCTAATTCCTTCGAAGCTTTGTGTCAATCTCAGAGTATATCTTCTTAGAGATTCTCAACTAAAATTGATTGATAAACCCTAAATTTATTTCTGATTCTACTGTAAAAAGTCCTTACCTTTGAGTCGAAAACAAAAAGTCCTTACCTTTGTTAGTGGAGCTATAACCCTAAGTCCTTAGATTGAGAATTCGTACTTTATCTTGAGAACCCATTTACGGAGACGACGCGTCGGTGACATAGGAACCCTAGTTTTTGTCTACCAGATGCTTAGGAGTCTTTACTATTTGGAGTGACTTATATTTTAATTCCTGTCTCGATATTGAAACCTGATTTTGAAGCAGATGTCATATGAAGATGATTTTGTGGAAGATGATGAGATGAATATGAGTGATGAGGAAGGAGCATCTGACTCTGAAGCAGAATCTCTTTCAGATTCCGATTCAGAGAACGAGATCACTGAGAAACTGGCTGAGCCCACGAAGACAGCTGTATACAACAGAGATGGATTGGCTGATAAACTTCAAGACATTAGCTGGCCAGAAGACGTTGATTGGACTCATAAGCTCACCGTCGAGATCGAGCAGGGACAAGCTGTTGATGTAAACGACGACCTCGCGAGGGAGATGGCTTTCTACACTCAAGCCCTGGAAGGGACGAAGCAGGCTTTTCAGAAGCTACAGGAAGAAGGATTGCCTTTCCTCAGGCCATCTGATTACTATGCGGAGATGGTGAAATCAGACACACACATGGAGAAAGTGAAGTCTAAGCTTCTGTACGAGAAGAAACAGATGGAGGAGTCTGAAGAGAGGAGGAAAGCTAGGGATAACAAGAAGATGGCCAAGGAAGTACAGTCTCAGAAGATGAAGGAGAGGCAGAAGCAGAAGAAGGATGATATTGAGTCTGTGAAGAAGTGGAGGAAACAGAGACAACAGAGCGGGTTTAGTGAGAAAGGTGCGGGTGAGATGGATCTTGAGTTTGGGAACGGGAAGAGTTTTCAGAGAGGAGGAGGTAAGAAAAGACCTGGTGTGTCTCCTGGTGATCGATCAGGAGGTAAAGGAAAGCCCACTTCGAGGATGAACAATAAGAAGAGGGAGTTTAGGGATTCCAAGTTTGGTCATGGTGGAAGGAAAGGGTTGAGCAAGCAGAACACTGCAGAGACGACGAATGATTTCAAAGGTGGGTTTCGTGGAGGAAAAGCTGCTGGAAACAAGAGACAGAAGAGATGAAAGAAAGGTTTGATCGTCGAAACCTATCTATAAACTATTTTTGTCATCTTGGATTATGTTTTGAGAGAATGTTTTTTTGTGTTTTTGTTTTGTAAAACCCTCTGGTTAAGGGTTTTAGGACCAGTATTCCTTAGTTACAATGTTGTGCCAATGATTTCTTGAATTAACAAAGTCTTATATGTTTTGAAGAACTTAGCTTCCAAGAAGTTTGGTCTTGGGATCAACCTCTTAAATTTATCATTGAACAATAAGAAGAATTCAAGTAGCATACAACTCTGCTTGTTGAAGGTTTTAAAGGTCACTCAAGACGTCTCTTTCTTAGAACTATCCTTCTTCCCGTTTCTCTCATTCACAGAGCATGAGAGATTCTGTTTTGGAGTTCGGTAACAAAGCAGCTTCCAATTCTCTTTTCATGTTATTTTTTGTGCAAAACATGAGTCCTTTTGGGCAAAGCCAAATGCCGGTTTGCAAACCCCCGGGCTGATATCGGAGGCAGCTTCCTTATTCAAACCTGGTGAGCAATCTGCGTTCATATCTTAGTGTATTATCTTATCCAAACATCCTGGATTGGAATATGAGAAGAGTGAAGACACCAGATGATTTTTCAGGAGAACTTGGAAGAGAAAGTAATCAATCTCTTTCAGTGTCGTTCGTCAAGGTAATGCAGCAAGGGCATTGGCATTTATTGAGTTTACATCGTGATGAGGATCTTGGAGTTTCATCGTAAGGATAACAACCAAATATGAAAATCGCATTAGAACGAATATGAGGAAAGAAAATACTAATATTAATGATATTGTGTTAACGAATAAAGCTTTTTAGATGGAAGCATCTTTGTTTAATCGTCCCTTAAAAACATTATTTATGCAATTGGTTGTATTTTGATGCTATACTATATACTTTCTGTGGACTGAAATCCAAATTTTAAAACCAACATTATTATCGAATAGGAACGAGAAAAGCATATAATAAGATTTTTATTGAGATTAGTCTGAAAATGATATGAACAAACATATGTTTTTTATTTACAAAGTGTAGAGATTATATAATCATTTTTTACGGCGATTATATAGTATTTGCGATATTTTTCCTATTGCTCGGGTGTATTCTCTTATTTCTTTCAAAAGCCCTATGGCTATGTATATTGAGATCTTCAGAAGATTTCTAAAAACAGTTATGATGAAGATGAGTTCAATTTTCTTGAACAGGAAAAATAGAGTTATGATGAGGAAGACAAGAAACATGTTGAATAAGCTTGATTTCCTAAAAGGTTTAGGAAAGAGTTTAGGAAAAGAAAGTTTCTATCTAAGAGTTATCTAGAAAGTTCTTAAGAGTTATCTAAGAATGCTAAGTGTTTATCCATTAGGATTAGGATTGTGTTTATCTCCTCTCTATATAAGAGATACTAAAGCTGTGGTAATCCTTAAGAGTTTAGTGAGAGAGATTAAGAAGCTTTAGTTTTGAGTTATTTTCTAAAGCTAATAAAGAAGTTGCTTTATTATTTCTTGATCTAAGTTCTAAATTCTATATTTGGTATCAGAGCAAAATAAATTTCTTCAAACTACCGATCAAAACAAAGTATGGGAGATCTTGTTGCAGCATCAGACACGAACCGATTTAAGGACGGAGGTACTGCTTCCATACAATACCCGATGCTGACTACTACGAACTATACCATCTGGGCTATGAGAATTAAGGTCGCTCTTAAAGTTCATAAGGTCTGGGAAGTTATCGATCCCGGCTCAAACAACGAAGAGAAGAATGACCTAGCTCGAGCTCTCTTGTTTCAATCTATACCGGAGACACTAATTCTTCGACTTGGAGAACTCGATACTGCCAAAGCCGTCTGGGAAGCAATCAAGACAAGACATGTCGGGGCTGACAGGGTCAAAGAAGCTCGCTTACAGACATTAATGGCCGAATTCGACAAATTAAAGATGAAGGAAACTGATACAATTGACGAATTCTCTGGAAAACTCTCGGAGATTTCTACCAAATCGATGGCCTTAGGAGAAAACATCGAAGAGTCAAAGATTGTAAAGAAATTTCTTAAAAGTTTACCAAGGAAGAAATACATACATATTGTCGCATCTCTGGAACAAGTTCTCGATCTTAACACAACCACTTTTGAAGATATTGTGGGAAGATTAAAGGCATATGAAGAAAGAACCTGCGAAGAAGAAGAATCACAGAATGAACAGGGCAAGCTTATGTATGCGAATACGGATACACAGAACCCACAACAGAATTCGCAAAACTCCCAAAACTACCAAGGAACTCAAGGAGGAGGAAGAGGAAGAGGAGGAGGACGTTTTGGTCGAGGAAGAGGACGAGGAAGGTCCGGTAATCAGCAGAGAGATATATCCAAAGTTGTCTGTTACTGCTGTGATAAGACAGGGCACTACGCGTCGGTCTGCCCTGATCGACTACTCAAACTTCAAGAAACAGAGGAAACAGAAGATGACGACTCACAAGAAGCAGAGAAACTCATGATGCACGAAGTCATCTTTCTTAATGAAGGAAAGGTGAAACCAGAGAAACTCGATATATGCTCAGACAATATTTGGTACCTGGACAATGGGGCCAGCAACCATATGACAGGAAACAAAAACTGCTTTGTCAAAATAGATAAAACGGTCACAGGAAAAGTCAGATTCGGCGACGATTCGCGCATCGACATAAGAGGCAAAGGATCGATTTGTTTCTTAACCAAGACTGGTGAAAGAAAACTCTTAACCAATGTCTATTTCATACCAGAATTGAAAAGCAATATCCTAAGTCTCGGTCAGGCAACAGAACACGGGTGTGAAGTAAGGATGAAGGAAGATTATTTGACTTTATACGACAAAGAGGGTCAGCTTTTGGTGAAAGCAAAGCGATCAAGGAACCGACTATATAAAGTCAAATTAGAGGTCGATATCACTCGGTGTTTACAGCTCAGAACAGCAAGTGATTGCAAGTGGCACTCACGTCTCGGACATATCAGCACCGATACCATAAAACTGATGGCGAAAAAGGAGATGGTTACCGGCATTACTAGCCTCGAAACCGGAAAGGAGACTTGTGCCTCATGCTTATTCGGAAAGCAAGTGCGACGAGCCTTTCCTCAAACAACCGCATATCGAGCTACAAAACCATTGGAATTGATACACGGAGATCTCTGTGGTCCCATCACACCCCCCACTGCGGCACGAAACAGATACATATTCGTACTAATTGACGACCACTCACGATATATGTGGACTATTCTGCTGAAGGAGAAAGGGGATGCGTTTGAAAAATTCAAAGGTTTCAAGGCTGTTGTCGAGCAAGAGACAGGAGAAAGCATCAAGACATTCCAAACTGATAGAGGCGGCGAGTTCGTATCTCAGGAATTCCAGGATTTTTGCAAAGAAACAGGCATCAACATGCATCTAACAGCTCCATACACACCCCAGCAAAACGGTGTGGTTGAAAGAAGAAATAGAACTTTAATGGAGATGACCAGAAGCATTTTAAAACACATGGAGGTACCAAACTACCTGTGGGGAGAAGCTGTTAGACATTCCACATATCTGATTAACAGAGTCGCAACACGAGCATTGGAAAACCAGGTTCTGTACGAAGTACTAAAGGGAAGAAAACCAAATATTGAACACGTACGAATATTCGGATGTGTAGCCTATGCGAAGATAGAAACTTCACATCTAAAGAAGCTTGACGACAGATCAAGAATGCTTGTTCACTTAGGTACAAAACCTGGAACTAAAGCATATCGACTTCTAGATCCAACAAATCGAAGAATTGTGGTGAGCAGGGATGTTTTTTTTGCTGAAGATAAAATCTGGAAGTGGGATCAGACAAGGAGAGAGAACGAAATTGGACCAGGAATGTTTTCCCTCAGAATCGGTGAATTTGGTAATCACGGCATTAGAGAGGAAGTGTCTAGTAACAAAACAGGGGAAAACAGAGGAGGGGACGAAAGAAGCGAAGAGGAAGAAATCGAAGAAACAAATGATTCCCCGTATACCGAAACTGAAAACGATGAAGAGAATCAACCTCAAGAACCTCTCAGAAAATCGAGTAGGCAAGTCAAAAGACCAGGATACTTAGATGATTTCGTGTGCTTAGCCGAGATTGATGTTGAGCATCTTCTCCTTGTCATTAATGAAGAACCATGGGACTATACAGAAGCGGTCAAAACTAAGGCATGGAGGAAGGCTTGTGAGGACGAGATATCATCTATAGTAAAGAACAAAACCTGGAGTCTTGTTGACCTGCCCAAAGGAGCTAAAGCAATCGGACTCAAGTGGGTGTTTAAGCTGAAAAGGAATTCTGATGGCAGCATAAATAAACACAAAGCGAGATTGGTGGCAAAAGGATATGTACAGAGACATGGGATCGATTTCGACGAAGTGTTCGCACCTGTAGCCCGCATCGAAACCGTAAGACTCATCATCTCGATATCGGCTTCCAATGGATGGGAAATCCACCATCTCGATGTCAAAACCGCATTCCTTCATGGAGAATTGAAGGAAGAGGTCTTCGTCACTTAGCCAGAAGGATTTGTTTCAAAAGGAAGCGAGAACAAAGTGTACAAACTACACAAAGCACTTTATGGACTAAGACAAGCCCCAAGAGCTTGGAACAATAAGCTCAACAAGATACTTCGAGAGTTAAACTTCTCCAAATGTTCTAAAGAACCATCGCTATATCGAAAAGAAGACAAAGAGGGATTACTACTTGTAGCCGTGTATGTGGACGATCTACTTGTTATAGGATCCTGTCAGAAACAAATACTTGAATTCAAGAAAGGGATGTCTACAAAGTTTGAGATGAGCGATCTCGGCAAACTCAGTTACTACCTTGGAATCGAAGTGTTACAGCATGAGAAAGGCATCATGATAAAACAGGAGAGATATGCGTTGAAAATCTTAGAAGAGGCTAAGATGCTCGACTGCAACGCTGCGTTAACACCGATGGATCCTGGAGCAAACTTATCCAAATCACAAGAAGAGAAGGGCATTAATGAGACAGAATATAGGAGAAATATCGGATGCCTCCGTTACCTTCTACATTCTCGGCCAGACCTTTCTTATAGCGTTGGTATCTTAAGCAGGTATATGCAGGAACCTAAGGAGTCTCATGGAACAGCATTAAACGTGTTTTAAGGTACCTAAAGGGAACACTGGCTCATGGTCTTGCGTTTAAAAGAGGAATGAAGTCAGGTCTGGTGGGCTACAGCGACAGCAGCCACAACGTAGACTTAGACGACGGGAGAAGCACAGCAGGACATATATTTTACCTCAATGAATGTCCAATAACTTGGAGCTCACATAAGCAAGAAACCGTTGCTCTTTCTTCTTGCGAGGCAGAATTTATGGCAGCTACCGAGGCTGCTAAACAGGCGATTTGGTTACAAGATTTGCTTGAAGAAGTTGCAGTAACAAAGAGTGAAAAGGTGACCATACGGATAGACAACAAATCTGCAATAGCCCTTACAAAAAATCCAGTCTTCCATGGAAGGAGTAAGCACATCCATCGAAGATATCACTTTATACGGGAATGCATAGAGAATGAGCAAGTCGAGGTGGAACATGTTCCTGGAACGGAACAGAAAGCAGATGTTCTAACTAAAGCACTTGGAAGAATCAAATTCAAGGAAATGAGAGATCTCTTAGGAGTTCAAGACTTGTCAAAAGTGGAGTTCAAGCTTAAGGGGGAGAATGTTGAATAAGCTTGATTTCCTAAAAGGTTTAGGAAAGAGTTTAGGAAAAGAAAGTTTCTATCTAGGAGTTATCTAGAAAGTTCTTAGGAGTTATCTAAGAATGCTAAGTGTTTATCCATTAGGATTAGGATTGTGTTTATCTCCTCTCTATATAAGAGATACCAAAGCTGTGGTAATCCTTAAGAGTTTAGTGAGAGAGATTAAGAAGCTTTAGTTTTGAGTTATTTTCTAAAGCTAATAAAGAAGTTGCTTTATTATTTTTTGATCTAAGTTCTAAATTCTATAAAACACACAACTCAGAAAAAGGAGTAAGAAGAAGAAGAAGAGAAACACGGTATATCTTCCGGGGGATTTGCTAGTGGAGATACTCTCTAGGGTTCCGACGACTTCTTTGGCAAGATTACGATTAATATCTAAAGGATGGAACGCTCTTATCAAAGATGGAAAATTTGTTAAGAAGTCTCTTGTTATCATGTTGGTTGAATTTAGGGTTTATTTAGTGAGCGTTGATCTCCATGGAATCCACAACAACGTTGCTCCATCTGTAAAGGTTACAAGTCAATTTAGTTTAAAAGATCCACTTTCTAATTCGTCAGAAGAAGTGGATGTATGCAGAATCTTTCACTGCGGCGGCTTATTGCTATGTAGCACAGAGGACAAAAGACTGGTGGTTTGGAATCCATGTTCAGGTGAAACCAAGTGGATAAAACCTAGAAAACAGTACAAGAAATTCGATTTCTATGCTCTAGGTAAATCCTCTTGCAACAAGTACAAAATCTTGAGGGTGGATCAGTTTGGTTATCTGAACCCATGCTTTCTTGAATACGAAGTCTATGACTTTACCTCTAGTTCGTGGAGGCGTGTTGGTGAGACTAGAGACTGGTTCATACCACGGTTTAGGGGTCTTGGCGTGACAGTGAATGGAAATACTTACTGGCTTGCTTATACTCAACACAGGCCAATAGAAGATTTCTTACTTTGTTTTGATTTTTCAGAAGAGAGGTTTGGGAATGTGTCTTTGCCGGGTGATCATCTTTCTTATTATGTATTTGCTTTATCAGTGAGTAGAGAAGATCTACAACTTTGTCTGTTGGCTACTCGGAGCAGGCATGTATTCGATATCGATGTATGGAAGGCCACTAATATTCAGAGTACCCGAGCCGCTTCATGGAGTAAGTTACCCCTTGCGTTTTTGCTTTTGTAATGGGATGAATTTCTTGGTTGACCAGGAAAACAAAGTTATAGTGTGTCGCGGTTTACATGGGGTCTCTAAAGACTTTTTGAACATTATGGGAGAGGATAAATGCATCAAAGTGGATCAACACAATGTAGGATCTAAATGCTCACTTCTTGTTAGTTATATTCCAACTTTGGTTCAATTCCAACAAGGTTCAAATCCAATTAAGGTACGTGCAAGGAAAGCGCCAAGCACGAGATTTGTAATTGTCACACTAGTTTTTGCATTATCTATCCAATTCTTGATATGTTGATAAGATGTATGTCTTGCTACTTATATCCTTTGCAAGTGGAATGTTTTTGGCAAATGAGAATGTATAACATTCTTCATATCATAAAAAATACTTCCAGTGTTTGAGAATGATATAAAGACAAGTGTGTCACCTTAGCTTCTTTTTTTTTTTTGTTTCATGAGTATATGGTTATAGATTTGTGTTGCATAGTGAGACACCTAGACTTCAGGATGAACGTGATACATATACAAATAGAAGAAGAAAAAACAACAATACAAAGCTTATAGAACATACAAAATATCCTGAAACAAGACAACAAGCAACCCTCACAAGTTTTATTCTGGAACCGGAACAAGACTTGGAACGTATACAAAGCCGCAGATAAAAGGCTTACCATCACTACGCAAATCACAACGTCCTCCCTCAAATTTTTTAATAACAATCCCATCTTTACTAATCTCGTAAACACTTACGCGAACATAATCATCTGCTTCATCTTTCATCACTTTTTCGCACCATACCATGATACTACCGTTCTTGTCAATAAAGTAACTTGGATGAGCCAAATCTTGATCGGTATGTAATGCCGGGAGATCAGGATTAACCACGTTCAAGTATTTGGTCCACGAGACAACCTCATCGTTTAGTTTGTTTGTGATCCAAACTTCAATCTTCGTTGTTTCTCCACGTTGATGTAACAAAGAAAGACTATCTCCTCCAAAACTCGATAAAGCTGCTGTATCCAAGACACCGCATTCGAATGGGAGATTGCATACGAGTTTGAATGTTTCTGTCGAGAAATCAAAGCTTTGGATGAAAATTTCGGGTTTCTTGATCCAATGTGCAACCCAATACATGTTTCCTTTCACAGACACACCTTTGCAAGGTGGATCTATACACCAATCCAAAGTAGCATCATTATCAAGAACTCTCCAAGAATCAGATTTTAAATCATATATCTGAATCACTGGCTCACAAGAACCGATCATTTCTCTCTCATCGTCTTCAAGCTCTCCTTCGAAAATCCGTAAGATTTTGTATCCATCACGAGATACATTGTCGTATCCTATACCGTAGAAATCATTGGTCAAGTAAAAATCCATAGGTTTGATCCATTTGATTCCATTCAAGAACGGATTCCAAAATGCGAGTTTGGAGTCTCTTGATCGTGTGTCATTGCATCTACACAACAATAATCCATCGCAATGACCAACGGTCGAAATCTCAGATATATTGTGAAACTCGTCTGGTATTGGTGAAGATGAGCGAGCTCCTCTCACTGGATCGATTATTTGAACCGTTTGATCGATTCTTATGAATCTTTCTTGAACAAGATCCAAGTATTTGTAAATGAATCTTTTGTCTTTCAAAAGATCGTGCCATTGTTTGCACGTTAACTTGAATTGTGTCAGATATTCGATTGGAATCCTACAGAATATTTCTTCTATTATATCAATAGGAAGCAATGAACGCTCTGAAGAAGCCATGCAAATAAGAAAAAAAAGATTGTGACTAAAAAAAAAACGTAGTCTCGCTTCTGATTCTACTTAATGGATTGATAACAAACAATTAAACCTTACCTCTAGTTTTGTTGTTTTTCATTAAATTATGTGACGTGAGGATGCCTCGAAAATGGCTTTTCCGTATATAGCATTTTCAAGAAATCGAGAAATTGTTTCCCCTTTCTTTTCTCGAGTTTGAGGTTTATATTGAAGAATGAATAATACATATTTGGGTAAAAATTATAAACTCAGGGAAAATTAGATTTCAATCTGTAAATATTTATAGAATTCGACAGATTTAAGATTAAATTATATAACTGTTTTTGATCTATTCTCTCCTACAAATCCTCTGTTCTGAGTCTTCTGACTAGTGACCAAAATCCCCTGTTTTAGAGAAGTCGTTATAAACTTATAATGGCCAAGGTAGCTAATTACCAAACCGCCCTCAATGTAACCAACAGTATAGCAATATACCTAGTAGCCAATTTGCCATGTCGTGTGCCTAACCATCGATTTGTTCGCCTGGCAGAAAGGAATGTAAATCATAATGCTATACCTGCACGTGATGCTTGAAATAAACCACGAGACGTGGAAGAAATAAATAAAAATGCAAGTGTCTTAGTCATGCCATTCGAAGTGTAACAAAACCTGGTGATGAGACACGTAACATAGGAGAAAACAAGATCCACTTTTGGTACTTATCTTCCGTACCAATGTCCACCACAAGTGTGATCCATATCTTCTATGTTTGTATTCTTAGTAACATTGAATTGTATTATATTAACTTGTGGACACATTTTTATCATACTAAAAAACAAAACTTGTGGATACTGGATACATAATAGTTAGAAGCAAAATGTGAATTCAATTTGATATCTTAAATGTTAAAACATATATGTTTCGGACCATCCAAACCAAGTCTAGAAGATTCGTTTAAATTAAACTACACAAGAACGAAATCCATTTAGGTACCTATTTGAGGTTTTTTTTTTTTGTATAAAGAGTATCTAGAAATGTTTTAGGTATCTCTATACTAATTAACTTCTTGCATCGCTTTACAAACTTCTAAATTTATCGAGTGTTTTCTCCATTTTTTTGTGTGTGTTTGGATAAACGTTTGATTGTGCCCAATCATGATCTTGGTGTGGTGTATAGGAACACTCGTCACCATGCATGTCAATCTCTCTTTTCCTATATAAACTAAAACCATCCATCATATTTTCATCAAAAATAAAAACATCAGCATACAACAAAAAGATGGCGATGACAAACAAATTAACAATAACACTTCTCCTTCTAATCTCCATAGCCTTTTTCCACTGCTTGGCCTTCCATTTGGAGTTCGAAGAGTTCGAGCCACGGCAACAGCAAGAGGAACAAGAAGGTCCTGGTGGCAGCTCCGGAAGAGGATGGGAAGAAGAGGAGACGAACAATCCGTACCACTTCAAGGAGAGGAGTTTCAAGAGCTGGTTTCGGTCAAAGGAAGTAGGTTTTATGAAAATGTTACCTAAGTTCACTAAACGCTCATCCACTCTCTTCCGTGGAATCGAAAACCACCGGTTCATGTTCATGGAGATGGAGCCTAACACTTTTCTTGTGCCTCACCATTTGGATGCCGATTTCGTCCTTATAGTCCTACAAGGTTAATCCATTTTCTTTCTCTTTCTTTCTTGCAACACTTGTGTTCTTTAGATATATGGTAATTGGTAAGGTTCGAATTCGAGTTTTAATATTTAAGTTGTTTTTTCCGGCAGGATATATTTAAGTAGTTAAATACTTAACAGTCAAAGAATTGCGGGAAATTTTTGAATACTTCTAATAATCCGGACAAGAAGAGATGGAATCTTGTGATAACCAAGTTTTATATTATTGAATCTATATATAGATACCGGAAGAATTGGTAGGAAGTTTGATTAGGGGATCACAACAAATGGGACAAGGGCTTATACGAAGAGTTTCTCCCGAACAAATCAAGGAACTTGCGGAACACGCTACCTCTCCTTCGAACAAACACAAAGAAAAAGGCAAGGGCAAGGGCAAGGGAAAAGACAAAGACACGAGTACGATGTGGAACCCTTTCAATCTCCTTACACAAGATCCAATCTACTCCAATGACTTTGGCCATTTCCACGAAGCACATCCTAAGAAATTTAGTCAACTTCAAGACCTTGATATCGCCGTCTCTTGGGTTAACATGACACAGGTCCAACAATGAAAAAAACCATTTAATTCCTATATATGGTTTTGACTGATCAATTTACTAATCATAAAACCGGATTGTGTCAAATATGCAGGGATCTGTGTTCCTTCCTCAGTTTAACTCAAAGGCAACCTTTGTAACGTTCGTGGAGAATGGTTGTGCCCGATATGAGATGGCTAGTCCTTACACATTCCAAGGAGAGCAACAACAACAGCAACAAAAACCGTGGTTTGAACAAGGAGAAGAACAAGAACAAGAAGAAGAAGAAATGAGTGGACAAGTACACAAGTTTGTGTCACGCGTGTGCAAAGGCGAAGTTTTTATCATTCCGGCAGGTCATCCAACAGCTGTACTCGCACAAGATCAAAACTTTGTCGCGGTTGGTTTTGGTATTCATGCGTTCAACAGCAAAAGAACGTTTCTTGCAGGTAAAGAAAATGGGTTTTAATCGATGGTTTCTAAGCAACTCTTCTCTTTTTGAGCTGTCTCTCACTATCAAATGTGATTGGGTTTTAGGGCAAGAGAATATGCTGAAAAACCTCGACAAGGTGGCGACGAAATTGAGCTTTGGTGTGGGAAGTAAAATGGCGGAGAAACTGTTCACGAGCCAAAACTATTCCTACTTTGCACCTACGGATCGTAGCCATCAGTTTCCAGAGAAACGCAAGCCATCGTTCCAATCAATCTTCAACATAGCCGGTTTTTGAGAATGCATCTACAGTTTTAAGAAAGAAAGAAGAAACAAAAGGTTTAAACTAAGGGACTAATGTGAATGTCTTGAAGATGTAATAATACGGTGATGTTCTGAAACTTCAGATACATTATAGCATATAGCAAATAGCCAATTTGCCATGTTTTGTTTTTTTTTGTTTTCCTTTAAATCTATTGCATTCAGTTTCCTCGACATCACTTTATTGGGATATCATTTGGAGCATACAAATAATTTGATTACAATGCCAATATAGTAAGATAGGCAAGGAGGATTAAACAAGTTACAAGAGAGCATATAGCAAAATCAAACACGTGTGAGCAGCAAAAGAGTAACCGATGTTAAGGTGGGTAAAGTGAGCATCCCAAATCGCTGAAGCATAAGGGCAATCGAAAAAGAGGTGATCCTTGCATTCGTCAGAGGCATTACCTAGGAGACATCTGAGGGGACATTAATTCCCCAACTCAAAAGTCTGTCTCTAGTAACCAATCTGTTCCTCGCAACAATCCACAACAAGAAAGCATGTTTGGGAATTCTTTGAGAAAACCAAACAGATTTGAACCAATTGACGGAAGGATTTGGAGGGTGCAAAGAATTCCAGGTCATCGAGGTGGAGAACAGACCAGGAGAAGCAGAGGAGCTATTCCTCCAAAGAAAGGAGTCTTCAACATCAGAGTGAACATCTGGTGGCTCCATAGTGATACATTGACTTAAGAGAGAGACATAATTGGGTTTCTTCCTCGAGGGAGGATCCACACACCATTAGCCACTACTTGAGAACAGAGGCCATGCGGAAAATACCTGAGATCTGAGGACCATTAGTACCAGTGAGATCAATTAAAGGACCCAGACCCGTTCAGTTATCATGCCAGAACAACGCCGTCGATCTGCATTCAAGATTGCAAACTAGAAAAGGTCAAGCTACAGATCTGAGCTTAAGTAGACTGTCTCCAAATCCAACTTCCTTCCTCCATTTGAGATTTCAGAGTCCCAGAAAAGACGACCGCGAACCAGATTACTCTTAACCCAAGAAACCCAAAGAGAATCAACTTTGGTGAAAAGTAGCCAGATGAGCTTGAACCCAAAGACTTTATTCTAAGAGACCAGTCTGCGCAACCTAAGCCCTCCTTCATTTTTGGGAGTACACACCGAAGTCCATGAAACTTTGGCTCTATTAGTAGAATTGGGCTAATGGAGCCAATGTTGTGGTTAACCATCGATTTGTTCGCCTGACAGAAAAGAATGTAAATCGTAAAGCTGTACCACGTGATGCTTGAAATAAACCACGAGACGTGGAAGAAATAAATCAAAATGCAAGTGTCTTAGTCATGCCATTCGAAGTGTAACAAAACCTGGTGATAAGACACGTAACATAGGAGAAAACAAGATCCACTTTTGGTACTTATCTTCCGTACCAATGTCCACCACAAGTGTAATCCATATCTTCTATGTTTGTATTCTTAGTAACATTGAATTATATTATATTAACTTGTGGACACATTTTTACCTTACAAAAAAAACAAAACTTGTGGATACATAATATAGTTAGAAGCAAATTGTGAATTTAATTTGATTAATATCGTAAATGTTAAAAAATAAAAACATACATGTTTCGGACCATCCAAACTAAGTCTAGAAGATTCGTTTAAATTAAATTACACAAGAAAAAAAATCAATTTAAGTACCTATTTGGGTTTCTTTTTTGTATAAAGGGTATTTAGAAATGTTTTAGGTATCTCTATACCAATTAACTTCTTGCATCGCTCTACAAACTTCAAGAATTATCGAATGTTTTCTACATTTTTTGTATATGTTTTGGATAAATGTTTGAATGTGCCCAATCATGGTCTTGGTGTGGTGTATAGGAACACTCGTCACCATGCATGTCAATCTCTCTTTCCTATATAACCTAAAACCATCAATCATTTTCCTCAGTACTAAACACATCAGCATACAACAACAAAAAATGGCGATGACAAACAAATTAACCATAACACTTGTCCTTCTAATCTCCATAGCTTTTTTCCACTGCTTAGCCTTCCGTTTGGAGTTCGAAGAATTCGAGCCACGGCAACAGCAAGAGGAACAAGAAGGTCCTGGTGCCGGTCATGGTGGCAGCTCTGGCAGAGGATGGGAAGAAGAGGCGACGAACAATCCGTACCACTTCAAGGAGAGGAGTTTCAAGAGCTGGTTTCAGTCAAAGGAAGTAGGTTATATGAAAATGTTACCTAAGTTCACTAAACGCTCATCCACTCTCTTCCGTGGAATCGAAAACCACCGGTTCATGTTCATGGAGATGGAGCCTAACACTTTTCTTGTGCCTCACCATGTGGATGCCGATTTCGTCTTTATAGTCCTACAAGGTTAATCCATTTTCTTTTCTTTTTTTCTTTCTTGCAACACTTGTGTTCCTTAGATAGTTATTACATTAGCTTACACTTCAAAATCATAGGGAAGGGAATGATTGGTTTCGTGACGGACAAGACAAAGGAATCGTTTGAAATAAAGAAAGGTGATGTGGTGAGAGTCCCTTCAGGCGTCACACACTTTTTCACAAACACTAACGAGACTGTTCCTCTCCGCCTAGCCAAGATCGCCGTCCCAGTCAACACTCCTGGCCACTTCCAGGTCCTTCACTTAAAATCTTTTTTTTTTTTTTTTCTGACTTTATCTTATGGTCTTTTCCCGAGAAGGGTAATATTTTTTTTTTAATCTTTTTCACATGTTTATCACTTCAATTAATGTTAATTTGCTATTTATTAACGTCGTTTGACCTTGATTTGTCCCAGGCTAACTTCCCTAGTCGATCCAAATTTCAGCAATCCTACTTCAGTGGGTTTAGCAATGATGTACTCTCTGCCAGTTTCAACGTATGCTTCCTAACTTTCTTCTTTCAATGTTAAATCATATTATTTATATATATAGATATTTATTTATATATATGTATATATATATATATGTTGAGATTTTAGCAAAATAATATAAAAACTTTAGAAAATATGTATTTAGACGAATATCGATTTTTTGGATTTTTTTATTTATATTCCTAAAGCGGTGTCTTATAAAATCATAGCAATCTATATCAGATTTTAAGTCACTTTATTTATAAACAACAACAATATAGTATATGCTAGTGTTTTTTTTTTTAAATTTCTCACTAGATTAGGATATGTATGATAAGGGTAGAATTCGAGCTTGAATATTTTCTTAGTTAAATTCAAAGAAATTCCGGGGAAACTTTGAATACTTCTAATAATCCGTACGAGAGAAGAGATGGAATATTGTGATAACCAAGTTTTATATTAATGAATCTATATATAGATACCGGAAGAATTGGTAGGAAGTTTGATTAGGGGATCACAACAAATGGGACAAGGGATTATACGAAGAGTTTCTCCCGAACAAATCAAGGAACTTACAGAACACGCTACCTCTCCTTCAAACAAACACAAAGAGAAAGGCAAAGGCAAAGAAAAAGACACGAGCACGATGTGGAACCCTTTCAATATCTTTAAGGAAGATCCAATTTACTCCAACGACTTTGGCCATTTACACGAAGCACATCCTAAGAAGTTTAGTCAACTCCAAGACCTTGATATCTCCGTTTCTTGGATCAACATGACACAGGTTTAACAATGGAAAAACCCCTTAATTATTCCTATGGTTTGATTTGATCAATTGCTAATTCTGTAAACCGGATTGTGTAAATATACAGGGATCTTTGTTCCTTCCTCACTACAACTCTAAGACAACCTTTGTAGTGTTCGTGGAGAATGGTTGCGCCCGATTCGAGATGGCTAGTCCATATACATTCCAAGGAGAGCAACAACAACAGCAAAAACCGTGGTTTGAACAAGAACAAGGAGAAGAACAAGAACAAGAAGAAGAAGAAATGAGTGGACAAGTACACAAGTTTGTGTCACGCGTGTGCAAAGGCGAAGTTTTTATCATTCCGGCAGGTCATCCATTCGCTGTTCTCGCACAAGATCAAAACTATGTCGCGGTAGGTTTTGGTATCAATGCGTTCAACAGCAAAAGAACGTTCCTTGCAGGTAAAGAAAAAATGGGTTTTAATTGATAGTTAGTTTTCTAAGAAAATGGGTCTCTCTCACTCCTGGAATGTGATTGTGTGTGGTTGGGTTTTAGGGCAAGAGAATATGCTGAACAACCTCGACAAGGTGGCGACGAGGCTGAGCTTTGGTGTGGGAAGTAAAATGGCGGAGAAGTTGTTCACGAGCCAAAACTATTCCTACTTTGCTCCTACGGATCGTAGCCGTCAGTTTCCAGAGAAACGCAAGCCATCGTTCCAATCAATCTTCAACATAGCCGGTTTTTGAGAATGCATCTACACTCTTTAAGAAAGAAAGAAGAAACAAAAGGTTTTAATCAATGTGAATGTCTTGAAGATGTAATAATACGGTGACGTTCTGTAACTTCTTCTGTTTACCGAGTTTCTTGAGTTTGTACATCGTTGTAACTTGTAACGGATTTCCTCTGTTTTATAAATAATAAAACCTCCGTCTTTGGTTATTGTGGTAATGTGGACTTTTGTGAAAAAAAAAAAAAAAACAGGTTAGGTCTATATGTGTGAATTTTGAATTCTTAATTCAAGAGTCTGTCAAAAATAATCATACTATATACACAATATGACTAATTTGGAGATAGTTTTTATCAGTAATCATACTATACAGTATGACTAGTTTGGAGATAGTTTTGTCAGTAATATAACAACTTTGCAATCTTGAAACATGGGGGTCTTTAAAGGGTTCTTACCAATTAAAATAAAGAAATAGAATAAAAAGCAAAAGAGAGAGTTAACTCTTCTTTAAAAATTTCATTGTATGAAGGTTCTACATATGTCACTTTATATTGGGTAGTGTTTAATTTTAAAACTAAATTTTAATTATTAAGTAGTTTTTAATTTTAAAACTAAAATTTAATTATATAAATATATTATATTAAAATATTAATATTTATTTGTTTAAATATCTAAAATGAATTCGAAACGATTCGAGACGTTCTAAAATCAGCTCCAACACTGGGTAATATGGGGTTCATCGAGGGGTTTATTGGGCATTTTTGGCTTTTAAAAAAGAATAAAAGCCCAAAATTGAAAATAGTGGTGCTTTGTGATGGACCTGAAGCAGCGGTTTAGGAAGGGGTAAATTGGCCACATGTTTTGTTTTTATTGGTTGAAACAGAAAAGAAAGAGAAAGTAAAGTTTAGGAGTATCATGTTTTTTTTTCTGGAAAACTCATTTGCTCGTTCTCTTTTTTTTTTTACGACCAAAGATCTCTCCTTGGGCGATTCAGTTCGTTTTCGCGATTCTGGCGACCAAAGATCTCTCTTTTCTCTTGGGTATATATATATAATAATGATGAGGTTCCTTTCTTTCTTCTTCGATTGATTTTTTTTCTGTGCTTTCTCATCGTTTTCTCTGTTTCTTCTCCTGATTTTTTTGTTTTCAATTGATTTTGGTGTTTTTTTGTGTTTCTGTTTTAAGGATTTTTTTGGTCGAAGGGTTCATCAGCTTAAGAGGTTCAGAGTTGGGAGGGGGAAAAATTAAGGGAGTCTACACTATTCACAAATCAAAGAAATATTCATTAAAAACTCCAAAGAACCCCATGCGGTTTAGCGTTGGAGTTGCTCTAACAAGTTAAAGAAATTAAAGAAATAACCATAGAACAAAAAAGAAACTGAAAATCTAAAATGATATCGCTGGGCCTTATCACGAAGCCCATTTTAGACAAGAGTTCTTCTTTCAAGATGATATGACTATAGTACCCCTGGCGATCTCGTTGAATTACTCAATTAGCTTTCTTCCACGAGTAAAAAAGCCAACACACACGCGCACAAAGAAGGCTTGTTGGCCAAGACGCTTTTAATTTCTCAAGTCACTCAACTTCGATCCGATTCTTTCTCTGACGCCGGAGAAAAAAGCAAATAGGAATCGACGAGAGAGGAATCGGAGTCTGAGGTAAATAGATCTGAAAGCAGAGAGCGGAAAGATGGAGTGCGTATTTGGTCTAGTCGGTAATGGATTCGCCATCGTTGCGGCGGATACATCGGCGGTTCACAGTATCCTTCTCCACAAAAACAATGAGGACAAGATCATGGTCCTTGACCCCCACAAGCTTGTCGCTGCAAGCGGCGAGCCAGGAGACCGGTAATTTCTTCTTCCCGTTACTCATTTTTCTGTGTGTGTCTCTCTACATGTGTAATTCCAGAAGAATTTAAATCGAATTGGGGCTTGATAGGGTTCAGTTCACGGAATACGTTCAGAAGAATGTGTCGTTGTACAAGTTCCGTAATGGAATCCCTTTGACTACCGCCGCCGCCGCGAACTTCACTCGCGGAGAGCTAGCCACAGCTTTGAGGAAGGTGAGCTCTTCTTCTAGCTCTGCTATTAGGGTTTTTTATTTGGGGATTTTCTTTGTTTTTCCTATTTCTGTTTTTCTTTTAGCTGACAATTTGGATTATTTGGTTGAGGTCATGATTTTAGTGTGCCTAAGGCAGGTTTCTCTTGGGGGTTTATTGTCTTCTTTTGATTCATTTTAAATCGAGATCGTTTGATTGAAGAGTTTTGTGTATTGAATTGAAGTTTTTTCTCTGCATTACTGTGGTTTTGATAATGTTAAGGCTGCTAATAGCCAATGCGTCTCTCAGGTTTTGCTTACTTTTCTATGTGGCAATGTTAAGTATTGTTGTGATTCAAGTAGTTTTGAGATGAGAGTATGAGTTTGAATTTTTTTAGTTTTAAGTTGGTCTTATTAGGGCATCAATATAGTTAGGAGATCTGATTTGAGAAGATGCCTGTGTTTCCATTGTTGGGATTGTACTGTGACTATCCCAAACTTCTAGGAATTTACTATCCCGTTCTGTTCTTGAATGTCATATAAAGCATGGTAGATGGTCCTTTATAGCCAAATGATCACTTCAAGAGTTGCAGAAGTTTCCTTATCGTCTAAAAATAATGATGCATCCTTTTTTTGTGTGGAGAAGATGGAAACTCAGGTTGACACCGATAGTTTATTTTGTCCAAGCTTCTTTGTGTTAGACTTTACTCGACTTAGATGAATGTACTGTCTTTCAAGGCTTCTTTGGTTTATATGACTTTGATTATGTAATATGTAATACTCTATGCTAATTTAATCATTTTCACATTGAGATCCGCAAGCATTATACAGTCTTGAGGGCCTATACATGATAATAAACTCATATGTTTTTTTCTCTGGGTTTCCATGTTCCTGTTTTGGTTTGGCCTCTTATCATTGATGTCAACAAATTTGAGATAAGTCATTGCTTATACTGTTCTGCTCTGTTTGATCAGAATCCGTATTCAGTGAATATCCTGATGGCTGGCTACGACAATGAGAGCGGCGCATCCCTTTACTACATCGACTACATCGCAACCCTTCACAAAGTTGACAAGGGAGCTTTCGGTTACGGCTCCTACTTCTCCCTCTCCACGATGGACAGGCACTACCGCAGCGACATGTCCGTAGAAGAAGCCATTGAACTGGTCGACAAATGCATACTTGAGATCCGGTCAAGACTTGTTGTCGCGCCACCGAACTTTGTGATCAAGATTGTTGACAAAGACGGAGCTCGCACTTACGCTCAGCGCCAGTCCGTACAGGACGTCACAACTGCTGCTGTTTGAGTTTAGGGTTTGTGTTTGGTTCCAGAAGTTTAACGTTAACTCAGCTTTTGTGACGTTTGCTTTTATTTGGAGTTTGTGTTCTTGACAATTTTCTTAGTTTGAGCAATGAGCATCAAGCAGATGGTATATTACTTCAGACAATGCAAAGTAAGTCTCACTCAAAACAATGACAATTCCACAAAGCAAATGGCCAAACAAATGGTTCTTTCTTTCTATATAAATCGAAAATGCATAAATCAAATAACACGAGGAATACAAAGGAAGGTGAACAATGAGATCAATAGAATTTGAGGGCTACGAGGGTGACACCAAAGAAGAGAAGAGATGGTGAGAGAGCGTAGGAGGATGAAGGAGTGACAGAAGATGGACTGGTGCTTCCTCCGTCGTCAGCCGTAGGAGCTGCACCGGTTGGTGTAAAAGGTCGAGTTGCATCAGACTGTGGTGTCTGAGCTGCCGGAGTCGGCTCTGGAACAATTGGAGTCGTCGCTGGACCTGGAGACATCGCTGGTCCAAATGCACCAGCTGGTCCTGCTCATCCCAAAAAAAAATCATTTTACAAACAAACAAGATTTGTGATCAAATGAGATGATTATGATGTGATTATTTGCTTACCAGGAGCAGCAGCTGGAGAAATATTAGCTGTTGAAAACAAACACAAAAACATCAAAACACAAAGTAGATATAAATTGATAATGTAATGTAAATATATAGGGGAGAAATGTTATTTGCCTTTGCATTGAAGAGGGACTCTAGGCATGTTACAAGCACGAGGAAGAGAAACGGCGGTTGTGCGGTTAATCGGAATATTAAAAGGAACAGTTCCGGTGACAATAAGACAAAGACATCCCATTCCTCCGGTAGTCAAAGACCTAAGCGAGTTACAACAATCAGACGACGGTGAAGTTCCGTTGCTTGTGCTGTTTGTTAAGAAACCCATACAAGGACCAACGGTGGTCATCATAGTCGGAGTACATTGGCTTAGCGGCGGTTGTTGGCTGCGAACCGGAAAAGCTAGCACCGCGATTAAGGCCACCACGAACGTTATAACCGGAATCTTCGACATTGTTGATCGATTTAAGCTTTTTGTTTGTTGTTCAAAGTGTGTTGTGTGTGTTTTTGTGATGAGAATGAAGAATTTGTGTGGGAATGGTTTTATAGGTAGGCAAAAAATGGAGGGAAGAAAGAAAATTGTGTATAGGTCAACTACTATAACTAATTATGTTCTCTTTTTTCGTTAATTTGTTCGTTGGTGGTAGTGAGCTAGCCAATGGGATTCGTACACGTGTATAGAGGAGTGTGGTAGATAGCTGTCTAATTCGTCTCGGATTGTGTATTAGATGAACCACTCTTCCACGGTTGTTCTGTTTTGGTGATTAAACAAAGAGATACGATTTTAACTTGAAGCCCATTATTACTATCTTGCATGTTGGGTTAAGACAAAATGTTCAGCTTACAAATGTTAAGCACATATACAAATGTTCTCAACAATGGCAAAAGCTTACAAATGTTAGCTTAACATATTCTCACTGGTACAATAACATATCAGGTATAGGAGAAAGTATAACTTTCTTCTTTTTCTAATTATTAAAAGTAAAAAATATACCCAAATTTCAAAAATTTCCAAAAGTTTTTGTAGATGACCTGAAATACATGATCTTCATTAGTAATAATACTTCATGTAGTGATTTAAAATACCTAAACTCTTCAAAAATCCGACTCTGTTTTGAACATTTACCAGCTAATTACCCATCCCTATATTTCCGATATAACCACTTGTCATTCATGCATGGATACTTATTTTTTTTAATTGTCTCTAAGTCTCTAGGGTAGATAATTGAACTTTTCTTTATTTTGAAAAACACGGAAAGCATATGACTAAAATGACTAACCATTGAATCAAACTTTGATACTTATTCAATTATCTAGAACGTCAAATGACTTGTAAAAGACGATGTCCTAACTCAGATTTTTCGACACCTATTAAGCCAAGTCAAGAAACGGGTCAATCTCAAAAAAAGAAAAGAATAAAGAATACAAAACAATAATATCATATAGTAATTAGCAAAACTCCGAAAACCTTTAATCAAATAATCAGGAAGTAGTTCAACAACCAACCCTAGGCCGTCACATAGACCACCGACCCTAAATCAGTCCTGTTCACAACACAGCACTTCGTGTCCGAACAGTTCAAAAGACACAATACTTAAACAGAAGCTGTTAAAAAAGTAGGAAAAAGTTGGCCACCCAAATTAAGCCACCTTCCTTTTGTCGTCATTTTAAACTCCCTCTGTTCCTTATTTATATCCCTCGTTTATATTCTCATAACTCCACAAATCCAATCAAACAACACAAACACAAACTCAAAGAAAATCTTTCAAACACATCGCAAGAAAACATGAAAATGGGAATGGGTTTAGTGTTGCTTACAGTTTTCATGACTGTGATGTCTTCTACAAGGGTCTCTGCTCAATCTTCGAGTTGCACAACCGCGTTGATCAGCATGTCACCGTGTCTCAACTACATAACCGGAAACTCTACCTCTCCTTCTCAGCAATGCTGTAGACAGTTGGCTAATGTAGTCCAGTCTTCTCCTGAATGTTTGTGTCAAGTCCTCAACGGTGGAGGCTCTCAGCTTGGGATCAATGTTAACCAAACACAGGCTCTTGAATTGCCAAAGGCCTGTAATGTTCAGACTCCTCCTGTCAGTCGCTGTAACAACGGTAAGAATCTTCAAAACAATCTGTTAATTTATGAAGACTGTTCCAACCCAAAAATCTTGTGAAACTAAGTATTACAATTTGCAGGTGGTGGTGGCTCTACTGCTGACTCTCCTGCAGATTCACCAAACTCTTCAGGTAAGTGACTTTAAACAGATGTGAGGAGGAAGAAACACCAATCTCAATATATTCTTTTGTTTATCTAATGCATTCCATGTTGGAAATTTATTTTAGGACCAGGAAATGGATCCAAAACCGTACCAGTAGGAGAAGGAGAAGGACCATCGTCTGATGGAAGCTCTATCAAATTCTCTTTTCCTCTTCTTGCCTTCCTTTCCACGGCTTCCTACATCGCACTCTTTTAGAAATACTGATTTTCTTTATCCATGTTTCTCCTGAAACCGATGAATCTCTTGTTTCCACTCAGATTGCATTCTTTATTGTTCTCTATTTATTTACATTTCGATGTGATTTTGTGTGATGTATTTTTATGCTCTATGAATCCTTACCTTTTATAATAAACATTATTTTCCAAAACACAAATTGAAAAACAGAACATTTGCTCTCTCAATAAAGTATCGCTTTAGATGGTAGCAAGTTCAAAACTCAAGAGCCAGAGATAGTAGATAGGAAAAGATATCCCAAAGGAACGAAGAACTTGTTTAAACTTAAAGCTAAACGGAAGTTTAGAAATTTCCTCACCACAGTTAGAGCTGAAAGAACTTAATTAAAAATTACTAGTCTTCTTGAAACATCATCTGTAGAACTTTTTCAACCTGTAACAGCAACAAGATGAGAAGAAGATGACCACGAGGCTTCTGTTTCTCCACATAGTACGCCCATTTACAATTCTTTGTAAACGTATGCCATATTTAATAACAATAAAGTTTCCAAGTCTCTGAATGTTGTGAATGCTTTGAAAAGTTTATGCATTGCAGGGGCTCTGCCATTCGCTAAGCATTGAATGTTTGTAAATGAATGAAGAAGATGCAAATCTTAGCAATAAGTTCATCTTCATTCAAAACAACCAAGAGCCGTGAAGCAAAGCTAATGAACAATTTATAACTTCTTATTAAAAAGGAAAACAACCATATTGCACAACAACCAAGTTCACTATGTTATCTTGCTAATGTTACAGAAAGTATAAAGGTTATCATAAAAAGAAGGAAAGTTGATACATAAAATAATTTTCTACAACTATTAGATACTAAGAATGTGACCGAGATCGCACAAACTCCTCCAGTTTTTCCCAGACTTCTAATGCAGCAGCCCGGTCTTGATGCCGCTTGTTCTTACTAATCTGAGAAGTTCAGAACACACAACAGAAGTTCATAGATTCAGTAATCTTAACATAACAGCAGATCAAAGAAATGTGTTAGATTTCTCACCGAGATGATCTTTACATTCCACTGCTTCACCGTCTTGGCTGATTCAATACTATCATCTTCAAACCGCAAAAAGAACCCAATGACTGCAAACAATAGGGACAAAAAAAAAAATACAAATTTCAGCTCCAACTACAAAACCAAACCAAACGAGATAAAACCCAAGTACTGTAGCAGATTCTTCAACTCATTCAAATTCTAATCACAAGTAGACCAAAAGATTTGAAGAATCATTTTTGCTTCTCTATAACAAAAAAAAGGAACCATTTTTGCTTACTCTTATTGAATATCTCAACATGGTCCTTGAAAGGCCAATCCTTGAACTGCCAATCCTTCCCCAATACAAAAACCGCAACAACACGGTCCCAATCATCAGGCTTCAAAGCAGATGGCTTGTCCCTAACTTCATAAGCAGTCACAACTCTCTCTCTGTCTCTACTAAACTTCTTCTGAACCGTAATACAATCTGGCTTTAGCCCTTTCATCTGCTTCGCCTTAACATCATTCGGTATATAAACTCCATCTTCCAAAAACTCCTTGACATTGTATATAGTGATCAGTGTTTGAAACGCACTCGGCACAAGAATTATCGGCACGCCTTCTCCAATCTTCCCTGCCTTAAAATGAAGCTTAGATTTAGGGTTTGCGTCATACCCAGAATCATCTCCGCCTCCACTAAACCCTACAATGCCTCTCTCTTCTGCACCCATTAACCTACTCTTTGCAACCAATCCGTCTTTCCTCTGATGAGACTCAATCCTCTGTCTCTCCTCTTCCCTCTTCGTCGAATTCACCAACACGCTGTAGAAATCCCTGTTCTTGCACTGAAGAATCGCGTCTCGGCTCTTCAATGGCCTCTCGTTGGATCGAATCAGCATAATGTAGTCAACATCCTCGCCGGATTTACCGAAATCCTCGACCTCCATGTCATCGATCGCGCTTTCTCTGGAAACAAACGTGGAGTTATCCTGGTCGGGCCGATACTCTTCGTTCTGCTTCTGGCTCTGCGCGTTCTGCTGCTGGAGCAAGAGGAAATCAATCGAATCGGAAGAAGCTACTCTTCCGGTGAGGTAATCGAGGAGAGGTTTCCGATCCGGTAAAGTCACCGCCGGAACAGCGTTTTTGACGGTGGATTGCATATACTCTCCGGGTTTCAGGTGCTGATTCTTCACATAGTGAACTAACGCCTCCAGAGTGTAGAGAGTTCCACCTTTCGACCTGTAAGCCGTCTCCGTCGCGCACGGGAACGAATACTCCGACCCGAATCGGTAATTAGCTCCGACCCGCTCGATTTTATCCAGGTCTCCCCTCGTCGTGAAATTCTTCAGCACCGATAACGGATCCATAGTTTCAGAGAGAGAGATTCTGATTTCGATCTTAGGGTTTATGCCAGAAACTCACACAGATTGTAAAAGAAGAAGAAGAGAGTAAGAGAGGAGAGTGAAACAAAAATGGGTAAATTTGTAATTTTAAATAAGTTGCAAGGATCTGAATCCGACAAGAAAGGCCCAAACAACTAATGGGCCTTATAAGCCGAATAGAATCATCTCTTTTAAATTTTCTGGTATATATCAAATTCATACAAGATTATATTGGTTATTACAAAACAGTTTAGGACATTTTGGAACCATGGAGGAATCACCAAAAATCTTCCTCCGGCCGTTTAATCTCTCAGACGCCGGAGATGTTCTTAAATGGGCCGGTGACGATGACGTCACGCGTTACCTACGTTGGGACTCCATTAAAACCGTGGAAGAAGCCCAACAACACATACTCCAAAAGGCCATACCACATCCATGGCGCCGTTCCATCTCTCTCCTCGACGACGGTCGTTCTATAGGTTGCGTCTCCGTCAGGCCCGATTCCGGCGATGGTATGTGCCGGGCCAACCTCGGATACGCCGTCGCAAAAGAGTTTTGGGGCCGGGGGATAGCCACGGCGGCCGTGAGGATGGCCGTGGAAGAAGCTTTGGAGGTTTTTCCGACGGTGGTGAGGATACAAGCGGTGGTGGAAGTGGAGAACAAAGCGTCTCAGAAGGTTTTGGAGAAAGCTGGGTTTCAGAAAGAGGGTTTGCTAAAAAAGTATGGTCTTTGCAAAGGAGTGGTTAGAGACATGTTTTTGTATAGTTTTGTTAAGGATGATTGTTGATTCTAATATAATATTAAGGGATAAATGGGGTGGTAATTTAATAATTATCGGTTGATATTTACCGAAATGATACAAAAGCAAAATGTTTGGTTTGCAAAGAAAAAGATGTTTACGGCAACGAGTGATGGTGTATTTTGTCTCCATGTTCTTATCATGTCATAAGTTGTTTTAAGTCGTGCCATCTGAATTATGATGTATAGTGACTTTTCCTCCGTGAAAAGACTGAAGAAACTATGGTTTTGTCCATAATTCACCACATAATATATTAAGTTAAATTTTTACGGTAGCTAGTACCAATCAATCAAAGCCAATTAATGTGTATACAAAGAATAATAATATAGATCGAGTTCTATTTATGCCGAGCAATAACACATTTTTTGTCAATATGCATAATTTTAGAAAAGGGATTATTATGACACATAAAAATCTAGTTTGAATTGTTCGTATACAATAAGAATTCTAGCATATTGTCATCGGATGTGTTAATATGTTGTTTCAAGTTTCAACCAATATATCTTAACAGTGTAACTGACCAAAAAATTATTTTTACAGTTCTAAGTTTTTTTTTATTTAAAGTTCTAAGTTTTTTGTTTCCTTGGATCTACAAAAATACGTCACTGGCATGGTGGCATCTATTACAGAATAGAAGATATTCGGCATTTTACATTAATTTCGGATGGATTTTATAGTTTTACATCTAGAACGTCATAGTCGCTCCATATGTTTGATTAAATTTTTAAGAGGAACTGCAAAAGCAACAAAAAAAAAAGAGTGAAAGTCTTTGAGGAGTATCAAGGAGCACGCATGCGTCTTGAACAGAAGTCATGCATAGTGTCGTCAAACTGATATGTTTTACATTTCTTGTCCTATCAATCTTAAATGTGTCAACTTCATATTCAACTACTTTCATATATAGTTATTAATATATACAAATTTCGTCTGCCTATACCATCCTTAAACTTTTGCATGAACTCAAATTGTTTTTGACATGTCCCGATGTGTGCTTGCTAAACAATTGTTGACACTAGTTTTAAATTAAGCAGCTATCAACCGGTGGTAGTTTTCATAGTTTTAGCCCTTTAGGATATTAATATTTGTATACTTACTCTTGTTTTGTTTAATTTTAATAATTTTACTCATGATTATTAAAGCTGTAAGTCAATTCTAACGATACCAGAATTTTGTTTCCTACTCCAACCAACTTTTACTCTTAAACAAGAGCAACTTGCAAATAATATGTACAAGAATCCGTTCTTTTTTATATCAATATTGCATGAAGTAGGATTCAATAATATAATTGGAAATGGTAGAATGGTAGCCAATAGTTTTATGTTTTTCTTTCAGATTTTCTGTCCGATTATATATTAGTCGATTTCCTTGATTCCTGCTTGTCATTTCAAAACAAATTCCCATGTTGATTTGAATAAAATATAAGGAGACATCAGAACACCGATACTGAATTGCTGATAGACACATGCAAACACATCACAACTAAATTTGTGTTACAAACACACTTGTTTTAGTTTGAATTTTACCAACCAACAACTTTCAATTTTCAATAACATTGCCTATTGGCGTAATTTCATACATCAACTAGGGTGGGCACGGAGCGGATATTGATTTTAGGGATATTCGTGATCCGTTCCGCTCCGTCCGGATAATCATGTTTCCGATCTGTATTCGCTCCGTAATTATCCAGATATCCATTTTCCGGATATCCGCCAAAAATCTGAATATTTACCGGATATTCGATCCGCTCCACAAAAATATTTAAATAATAATATATATAAAATAAATATTAAAAAATTCAAAATTTAGTTAAAAATAACAATATTTTCTTTTAAAAAAATATTTTTTCTTAACTTTTTAAGTTTTAATATTTATAATAATCAAATTTATAAACAAAAACTTACAAAAGTTACATTTATATATAATAATTATACATTTTATATGATTTATTATATATTTATATATACATATATATTTATACCGGAGCGGAGCGGATATCCGTCTTAATTTTTTTTAATATTTGTGATTTGTTTCGTTTTTAACGGATATTAAATTTTAATATTTACTTTGCTCCATAAAATTATGGATATCCGGATTTTTCGAATCGAATCGAGACGAATAACGGAGCGAAGCAAATATAACGGATATTTTGCCAAACCCTAACATCAACAAATGAGAGTAATATAATCTACGAGCAATTCCAAAAACTTAATTGCAAATTGTATTCGTCGTGTGGTCACGCCTCTTCTATAACCATTATTACCTCTCTTATTGTTATTTTTAAAAAAAAACTTATTTTACTTTGTGTGTTACTTAAAAGATAGATGATGCGACAGGAAGCAGTGAATGCTGATGTGAGCTTATGTGGTCCCTCCCCATTTAGTCCACGTGGAGGCAACTCTTAGTGCTTTCAGAGGGTTATTGTTGGGGACCCACCGATAATTCTTAAAAGAGTGGGCTCCTTTTTACTGACAGCAACAGAAAGATTTAGATTCTGATCTCACGGACGGTCACGATGATATGATGGATTGTGTTTCACGAGCCATGACACGACTCATGATGCTTCATTAGTTCTCTACTGTGACTTCACACTATTTTTGTCAAATTGATGATTATCAAGCTTTGCAAAAAAAAAAAAAAAAAAACACTGCTTAAAGCCATTCATGATTTCTTGTCCCTGAATTTTGATTGGTAATTCAATTATTTTATTAATTTTTTTCCATTAAGTTATATAATGGAGAACATAACATGTATACAAGTAGCAGTAATCAATTTATCAAAAAAAAAAAGTTATCAAATCCGTAAAGATAATGGAAACATTTAGGCAGATGCGGGCCATGCGGCAATGTTTTTACTTGATAATTTTTTTTAAGTTGTTGTCATCTCTAATTACATGGTTTCAAAAAAAGTTGATGGAATCACTAAACGTGTTCAAGAAATTAGATTACAGATATGATTGGAAACATAAGGACGTTAGAAGTTGTTCTTCAAAAAAAAAACATAAGGTAATTAGAAGCTTAAGAGATGACTAAAGTGTTTAAGAAAAATGAATTGGTTAGAATGAAGCGTTAATTAGATAATTAAAAAAAATACTACAATGGAACAAAACGTGAAAACGGCAAAAAAAAATAAAACGGTAAAAGGGACAAAACGGTTGAAAAATGCGGCTAAAAGATGAAACGTAAAAACAAGCACCTATTTCACATAAGATAATGGAGGCCTGTCAGCGTTTATAAACGGGTAGTTGTAATTTTATGATTTTCATAATATTTTATATTGAAAATGTATATATCTTTTTTAAGTTACGTTTCTCGAAAGTGAGCTAGATATATAAAATATAAATATAGATATCCATGCAGTATATATGTAAAGGTAGATAATTTGTCCATTTAATATATAGCAAGTGTGTGGTAAACTGAATTATTTATTATCAGTGTGTGCAATCTCCACCCAAAGAGACTAGCCAGCGATGAAAGCAAAAGAGATCAGTTAAGATTGTGAAATATATTCGTACGTATGATCGTATCTCATTCCATTCCGATGCGGAGTAACCAAGTCCACCCACACTCCCATGCTCCTAACAATATTATCATCATCACAAAAACGTACCATAAATCATTACACACCAGAAAAAATATCGTGATCATAGACTATTTTCATAGAGAGAAGCAAAAGTTCTCTTAATCATCGTCTCAATTTGTCTCCCGTTGAGAAAACTACTTGAGTGTTTCCGTATATGAGTTACTTAGCTCACTATTTCTGGTTACAGTTTGGAATTTAATCTTGCTAAAATTTCGTAAATCTACTTAGATTATAAAGATCATATTTTATATTAATGAAAACTACTGAAATACATTGTAGAAAGAAAATTGGTTTTAAAGTCAAATAAAGGTTTGAATTGATCATCACAATGAGAAATTGTGAAAAGAACCGATCGAGGTATGCAATGGAATGGTACAATCAATATAAGTGAAAAAAACTTGGTTTAAATGAAATCCCGCATCATAATGGAATTCCCTTGATTATGGTCTTCAAAATTGAGAAATTGTGGAAAAACTTCAACATAAATCGTCATTACGCATACTTTTAAGTTTGGTAAAACCTAGAAGTAACTAATCAAATTCCAAGTTTGTTTCACTTAATTTAAAGATTCCATCACATTCCATTATGCATTTTTGTATGAAAAAATTATACTATATGCATTGGGTTGGATAGACCCTTTCCATCCCAATCACGTTCTAGAATTCTCGTCTTATAAGGATATGCATTTTTAGTCTTTACAAGGTTTGTTAAATCTCATTTGGAAAGGGGAGGACACAAAGTTCTGATTTACCATCTAGATAACATTATTAAATTGAATTAGCAGATAGTCATGAGTTTCATGATTGATAAGAAAATTGTAAGATAAACCCATCTCAAATGCCTTAAAACGAAATAGAACTTTCTTGTAATTTCTGATTCTTTTTCATTTTATTTTAATTAAATTTCGGGAGATGTTGACATGATTTTAGTAGCAAAAATTGTTGTTCCTAAGGTTTAAAAAAAAAAAAAAAAATTGTTGTTCCTATCGCATCCCTGATTTTATATGAAAATGAAATAGACACTTTTTTTCTTTTTTGTTAAAATTTATTTCAACATTTCCGATTCTGAAAAACGTCAACCTGAATTTCTTTTTTTTCTGTTCCACTTTTTATTAGCCTATCAGTTATAGACAATTACCTAGCTAATCAACAAATAATATGAAAGACGTAAAGTATTAACTTATCATTATGTTATATAATCGCTTGAACGATTTGTAAGTCGTAAGTCGTAACACGTACGATATGCAACACGAGAATTTTCGACTTCTTTTTATTAAATTTTTAAAGTTCCTTTCTCTACAATAAACAGAAAAGAATATGGAAAGAAAACTAAAAGAAAAATCCAAAAGAAAATGAAAAAAGAAAATCATAAAGACGAGAGGGTCAGTAGAAAACGACGTGAGTGGTTCCTTGGCACACCGAAAAGCAAAATCAAAATATATAAATAAAAAGAATAAAAGACAAATAAATAAAAATAAAATAATTTTAAACAAATGAAACGAATTTTGGAAGTTCCACTGCTGAAGTTTAAGCTTTGAGTGGTTTTTTTTATAAGTTTCTTCACCCACTGATTTCCATTGTACCTGATCTCATTCTCTTCCTCTCTCTCTACCTATTATATATTCGTATACAGAGACTTAATTATACAAATTAAAGACATATATATGAATATACTAGTAAGTGGGTGAGTGTCTGTGTGTCTTTACTCTTTAGTGCTCTGTTTTCTGCTATGCAACTTCATGGCGATTTTTGAGGGTTTTTAAGATATGGAAGAGAATCAGTGGGGCTGTTTCAGGTCATCGAAACTATAACCCACTAACCCCCAAAACATTAAAAAGCAAAAGCAAACAAAAACAAACGGATCCATTTCTCTCTTTTATTTTCATTTTTCAATTTCCTGTTTTTGTTTGTTACTTCTTTCTCCATTCTCTAGCAGAACGTTTTATGTTACATTGAGGAAGAAGGTGCGAGAAAGTCGGGAGTAAAAAAATCTCCTTTTTATTTTTCGTTTTAAAAGTAAAGCTCTCGTCTTTTCAGTTACTTTCATTTCTTTTCTGATTTGTTTGGTTTTGCTCTACTTTTCTCTTTGTGGACACTTCAATTTTCTCAAATCATGGAGGCAACAGAATTGCATCAATCTTATTCTCTTTGAAAAGTTTTCACAATCCTGAAACTTTTCTGATCGTTGAGGTTAGTTCATCAGAATATATTTTCACTTTCTAATTCCCAATTTTGCGATTTGAGTTTAAAAGTTGTGATTTTTTGCGTAATTGAGCAGTGAATTATGCTGAAGAAGAGATCGAGAAGCAAGCAAGCTTTAATGGCGGATACGAACCAGAAACAGAGCAAACCGACGCCGTTTCCACGGCTATTCACAGCTTTCAGTAGCTTCAAAAGCTTCACCGATAACGACGCCGTCGCGAGCCCAACCTCGATTCTCGACACAAAACCTTTCTCTGTTTTGAAAAACCCTTTCGGATCCGATAACCCGAAAACTCACGAACCCGAGACCCGGCTCAAGCCCGAGCCCAAAAGAATCGGACTCGCCATTGTCGATTCTCTCGTCCAAGAAGAAAATCAAGAACCCGGATTCTCCAGACCAAGATCCGGGACAATTCTATTCGGGTCACAGCTTCGGATCCGGGTTCCGGACTCTCCACGTTCCTCATCGGATTTTGGGATCAAAACGAGGAATTCTCCGATTTCCCCTTCGCCGGAAGAGACGATGAAAATGGTTTCCGGGTCGGGTCTTGGGTCGCCCCGAATCTTCACGGGCTATTTCTCGACCAGCGATATGGAGTTATCGGAGGAGTACACGTGCGTGACGTGTCACGGACCCAACCCGAGAACGATCCATATATTCGATAACTGTATCGTTGAGAGCCAACCCGGCGTCGTTTTCTTCCGGAGCTCCGACCCGGTAAACGAATCGGATTATTTGCCACCCGAAAGCTTTCTCAGCACCTGTTGTAACTGTAAGAAGAATCTTGGACCTCGTGATGACATTTTCATGTACAGGTAATTAATATTTAAACTTCGATTATTAGATAATAACGAATTTAAACTATATGATGTACTTGTAAATGAATTTTGAATCGCTAATTAACTAGTATGATATTTGGAAATGAATTTTGAATCGCTAATTAACAATTTTGTGGTGACTAAATTTGCAGGGGAGATAGAGCCTTTTGTAGCAGCGAATGCAGGTCTTTGGAGATGATGTCGGAAGAAAATGACATTTAATGAAGAGAAATAAGCTTATTGGGATTTAAAAAAAAATTATGATAATGACTAAAATAAATAAGAAATTGTAGTACTAAGTAAATGAGAATGTTAGAAATCATTTTTGTTTAGTTGCTTTTTTGCTCGGGGCAGAGTTGGTATCTGTGTCTATGTGTATTTTGTGGCTAAATGCATAAATCATATACATGATCATCTTTTGCTTTAATCGTTACTTTGAATCTGTAATAATAGAGAACGCAATAATTAATGTAGCAACCGTTTCAAAAAAATGAATAATTAATTAATGCAGCAATTCCATTTACGATGTTCAAGACAGAAATGTAAACATCTCTCCTTAGAACTATGTAAAGATCTTTTTAAGCTCAACACAAATATTTGATCATTGTTGTGGCAAATACATAGCTCACGAAACGTTAGATCATCTCTTCCAAATATAGAACTACAGATTCATTTGTAGCTGTTTGTACGTATGAGTTTTTTACTGTTTCCTTTGTTGACAAACGACAAAATATCTATTTTTACTTCAATTGTTAGGGTTGATAATATACTAGAAATCAAAATTCATGTTAAAAACAATAAAAAAATGTGCTAATTGATTTTCTTGTCTTTCACAGTGTCTGCTTTTCTGATAATTAGATATCATCATCTAGTCTAAAAAATTCTATGTCTCACTCACTATGCAACAGCTAAGTTACGCGTACGTGCTCAAGTATATAAAATGCTTCATTCAGATTTTTAATCTTCTTCTGTGAGCCCTAGATCCTTAATAACCGATCCCAAACGCTGATATATATATATATATATATATAAAACTTTGGCTTTAGATGGGACATGACCCATATGTCTCACTTCGCAACACAACGCTATGACCATATCAAACAAATGACAAAGCTCAACTTAAGAAAGAAAAAAAAAAGCTCAGGTGACACATTCATTCCTCCAAGACTTTAGCTCGTTCACAAACATCGTGTACTCACTGATCTTGGTGTTCACATAAACGAAACCGTAAGTATATTGGTATGGCCAAGAATTTAATATAGTCTCGTTTGACAAAACCAGCATTGTTCGACATAACCAGAGGGAGGACGTGCATTATAAACTATATAAAAGTAGCAAAACTTGGATAGATAAATGCATAAGCTAGCTAGTGTGACAATTACAAGTCACGTGATTGATGCTTTCCCTGCGCCTGCCCCCAAAGAACCTTGTTGAATTTCAAAGTTGGAACATATAGCTATCGAGAAGTGTGCATTGAGATCCTGCATCATGATGATCCAGTTGTATGTATTTATCATCTTCCACAATGTGTAAGAAGCTGTTTGAGTTCCCATGTCTACCAGGACAGAACAAAAGTTTATTCTCCTGGTCGACCAAGAAATTCATCCCATTACATACCGTAAAGAACTGGCGGCGATGGGCTCGTTCCACAGTTAAGAACTTGCTCCATGACATGGCTCCGGTACTCTCAATCTTAGTTGCCATCCATACATCTATATTGCATTCGTATACACGAGTAGCAAACAGACAAAGCTGTTGCTCTTCTTTAGTCACTGATAAAGCAAAAACAGTATCAGAAGTATGATCAACTGGAAGAGACACAATTCCAAATCTCTCTGTTGAAAAATCAAAACTCAGTATGATTTCCTTAATCCACTCTGCGGGGTCTCCACCATAACTATAAGCAAGCCAGTAAGTCTTTCCATTCACAGACATGCCATGCCTCTTTAACCCTGGAATGGACCAGTCTCTAGTCTTACCAACAGATCTCCACGAGTTAGAGGTAAAGTCATAGATTTCGTACTTAACTAGGCATGGTTCCAAACCATGTCCATATTGATCCACCCTCAAGATTTTGCACTTGTCGCAGGAGGATTTACCAAGAGAATAGTTATCGAATTTCCCGTAAGAAGATTTGGGTTTGATCATCCACCTGGTTTCACCTGAACATGGATTCCAAAACACCAGTCTATTGTCTTTGGTGGTGCATAGCAATAAACCCTCGCAGTGAAAGACGTTACATATATCGACTTCTTTGGAGGAATCAGAAATAGGGTCTTTGAGGGTTAATTGTCTTGTTACCTTCACAACGTTGTTGTGGGTTGCATGGATATCAACGCTCGCTAGATAAACCCTATAGCCAATCAACATAATCACAGACTTCTTAGCAAGTCTTGTATCATTTTTGATTAGATCGTTCCATCTTTTCGATGTAGATCGGAATCGTGCCAGAGATGCCTCCGGAACCTTAGAGAATATCTCTACTACCAAATCCTCAGGAATATATAATACTGTGTTTCTCTTCTTATTTCTTTTCATCACTGATCTTCTCCTCCTCTTCCTCATCTTTAAGCAAGATTTAATTCAGATAACTTGGCTTTCAAAGAAACTAGGGTTTATGAGTAATTAGGAAACAAGGGAGATGAGACCGTGCCGAAACCTTGCGTATAGGTTACGGCTCAGATATAAACCTTTTGTAACATAGCCGCTGTCTCTGTGAGTGACTCACCGATTCACATGCTTCTATATTGTGGGCTTCTTCGTCCTAGATTCAGCTGGAAGTTGGGCTTGTGAGCCTGCGATAATATTAGGAGAGTTACTACGAGTTAAAAAGTTTTCTGATTCGTAATTTGGTCTTTTGATAAGAAACAGAGTTTTGCTACATGTCGTCTTTTAAAGTTTGTAATTGCAAATTGAAACTTACACTAAGACAGACTTTTTTAGAAGAGATAATGTTGTGGGGGATAGGGGAACCAGAGAAACAGAATACAACTGCGAGATGAAAGCACACAAAAGATGTGTTGAAAATTTTGAACTTATCTACATAAACTTGTGCTTTTAGTTTACAATTATACAAATTCAGCATCAACATAGAAGATAGATACATCAATTGTTTTGTGTAATGGGATAAGTTGAGATCAAAGAATATAAACTTTAAAAAAAATTGTTGTGACTTTGGGAATTACCAAAAGGGAGATTAATTTAATGCGTTTGTTAATAATGTTCAATAGTGTATAAATTAGTGTATATTATTGATGGCACGGATCAAATTGGCTGCGTGGTTCACTAACAACTTTGATAGCTCACCACTTTTTTTTGGGTTTTATGTATCAGTCATCGTTATCCTAACTTGGAACATTAACTCTCTCTTTTTGAATTTTATTTTGATTGATATGAAATATTATATGTTGTTTGGATTCCATTAATGATGAATTATATTAATCTACTTCTATTTTATTAATTATATAAAGTATAGTAGTTTGTTATCGGTTTAAACTTTTGGTGTAAAATTTAGCATTAAAACCAAAAACAATTAAAACCAGTTACACAATAAAAAATAGCACTTGATACTTGAATGTTAAGAATTCAAGACTTCTTGTTACAAAAAAAAAAAAAAAAAAGTTCTCAAGACTTGAGAAGACTCTGCCACTCATAACAGTAGGACCCATTAGTCTCACAAAATCCAACTTGAGTAGTCAGCATATGGTCCTACCTGTGGCACTTTGATTGGTTAATACACGTGGGGTCCAGACTCTATTTAATTTAATTTATTTTATCTTGGGTTTAGAAGTTGTAACTTGTAACGATTACTGTGTAAGTCAAAGTTTTCTATACGATATAGGTTATTAACTCGGAATCTCGGATAGATATTAAATACAAAACAAAAAAAGACGGATATAAATCGCCTGATTTGGTAGTTATTTGATTAAAGCTTCTCTTTCTACGATTTCTATCATTTTATGGTTAAAGTCTCCAAAACACAAGGCTTGAACAATTCATACATCTAACTTTGTCAAGTGTTTTAGGTGAAGCTGTTTTTGTTGTTTCAATTTTCCTCATTCAGCCACTGTATATAATGTATATATATAACATATTACTTTCAAAATAGAATTACAGTTATGTTTGCATATGAACAAATAACGTTGAATACATGATCAATCCTAATCCAACATCGCTAATTTTAAGTGCAATCTTGCATAATTTTTTGAATGGACACCATATTTTTTAAATATATATCGAATATAATATAAAGAATAAAACTCCAGGGTTTACGCACATAGACATACACACAAAGACAAACCCACATGCATACACGTACACGTGAATTTAATTTTTGGTTATTACTTGACATGCGATTTAATTAATCTTCTACTTCATATAAGAACAAATTAAAGCTACTTTAATCAGAGAAAATGAACATTAGCTCAATTAGTAAGGCTACTATACTCCGCTAATTTTTGTCAAAATCCAATCAAAGCGTCATTGTATTTATCAAATCACATGCATGACTGAACAGTTTGATGTTAATCATTTCTACACAATTATTCAACCTAACTGAAACATATAACTCGTGGAGGAGAATAGTAAGCGATGTTCGTTTTGTATCGTATTTTCCTTTTATTGTAATAGAAAATACTGGTTAATTTCAAATTCTTCTGCCTCTCAGTCAATGAGTATTGAGATATACTTTTAATTAATCATGCATGAAAAAATTTATAATAGGAGCATTCAGTCTATTCATTCCTGATTAATCATATATATATATATATATTATATTGACATTGTTATATAGAATCTATCAATGCATAAAATATTGTAAACACTACAAGAAAACATGCTATATTTCTACGAAAATTCTTACGAAAACATTTGGTAAAAATATTTTTAACCAATTTCTTACGCAATTATGACAAAAAATAAAAGTGATAAAAAATAGGTAAGAAATTTTTTACGAAAATAAATTATCAAAAAGTGGTAGGATATATCCACCCAATAACCTACCAAATTTATATTCGTAGAAAATACGGTCAAAATTTGGTAGGAAAATGGTATGACCTAATGACGCTGGTGAAAATTTCATAGGAAATTGTTCTACGGATTTTCTACGAAATATTGTTTGTTGCAAAAACGTAGGAATTCTGTAGGAAAATATGTCTTTTGGTTTGTTCCACATCGAAAAGCTAAGATAATTTAGATAAAGAAACTGTACTATAAATAGAGCAAAATTAAAAATTTCTACTGATTTCCTATGAAATATTGTTTGTAGAAAAATTGTAGAAATTTTGTAAAAAAATATGTCTTTTGGTTTGTCCCACATCGACAATCTAACATAATTTACTTGAAGAAGCTGCACTATAAATGACAGTCTTCACCTTCTCTTTCTTTCTGATTAATAATACTTAATTAAGTTATAGATTTATAGTAATTAATGAATTTATTTTGTTTTATATATATTTTATTAATCAAATTTATAATTATATTTTAATTTAAATTAAATTTCTGATATTAATTTTATTTTGATTTTACAAAATCATTATTATTTTATTGGTAATAAATTGGTAAAAAATATTAGTAAAAAATTCGTAGGAAATATGTAGTTAATATTTCGTAAAAAATTGGAAAGAACATAAATCAAGAAAAAATGGTAATAATTTGATAGGAAATTGTCTACCAACATTTTCGTAGGAAATTTTTCTACTAACATTTTCGTAGAAATTTTTTTATCATTTTTCTACCTTTTACAATTTTCGACGGCCGATTTCTTTTCAAAAAATTTTGTAGGAATTTGGTAAGAAAATGTTGTTTCCTACGATTTTCCAACGATATTTTTTGTAGGTTTTTGGCATGTTTTTTTGTAGTGTAAAATCAATTTCCTGTTTAAATTTTCAGGTCGCGTAATACATTTATCTGCTATATATAATAATATAACCCTTGTAATTAAAATATCGTTTAGTATTAAGTTATTAACTAATATAAAATTATCCTTCTAATTGCATTGAAAAACGTAATTCATTTTTTTTTATACAGAACAATATATTTTCATTAGATGGCTTTCTCTCTCAATAACTAAGAGCACTTCCATTGATGAAAGATCTATGAAAATTATCTCAAAGAAAATACTAATATTTTTAATATAATTTAATTTGTAGATTTCTCAAAAGATCTCAATTGCAAATCCTTTATATTTTAAAACTAAGACTCGTTCTTTTTCTATAAAAATGTGAGATTCCATTGAGATACCATGGATGGAAGTGCTTCAACGTGTTGGTTTTGAATAAAAATGCTAAACACTGGTTGGCTGGTATATCAAATTTTTTTTTTCCCGTAGCTTTTATGGTTTCGATGAGTACTGAGGAATAATGAGTGAGAGCCATGGGCTGACCTTGCATGTGCGTGTGGTGATGGAAAACAAAATAGTATATATGTTACTATACCATTTTCATAAAGAGATCCCACAATTATATTATTATCATTTTGTGACACACATGAGTGAGACATGTGATGAATGGGTAGGACAAGCATTCCCACTTCGTTGCAATGGGAGCGAGGTTAAACCCAACAAACATGAATTGGACATATAAAACTTGTTCTTGTATCCACCAATCATTTTTTCTACTTATACCGTTTTTTGTTTTTATGTCTCAAGATTTTTTTTAGTCACACGCAAAAATAACTTATATGAGTTTATAATTCCCCCTAGCAGTTCTTTGTTGATCTTTTTCTATTTTAAATATTTTGTTGGATTTACTAAATAGGCATCCCCACATGCAAATAGGTATGGCCCCTTACTACAACGTCGTTGGTCTCATATGCACACATGACACATGGCAAATTGGCAACTATTGCTGACTCTTGTTTCATTCACAAGGCGTATTATTGGTTGTGATTCATGGTATCATCATTTTCATATTTTACATTTTTCTTGTAATTGTATAAAGTGGAGAATATATAGTATACTGTATATCTAATCCATAACAAATTCGGTATGAATTATATCAACCTACGTTCACTTCTGATAGTTGTGTATAGATATATCTAATCTCGAACTTATACTTCGATCCCTTTCCGTTATGTTTTCCTTCTCTTTGTTTTGAGAATATATTAGCTACACTGTTTGGTTATCTTCTATTAAATATATCAATAACGTTTGAATTTTGATCTAGTAAATCATCAAATTTGGGCGAGGAGAAAATTGATGGACCTACTGAGCCGCACCTAAATTCGATTTTCTACAAGAAAATGGCATGTAACCTCCTATTGAGAACTGATTTTGACTTTTGTTTGATGTAATTATTAATATGACTTTACTAGACCATCATTTCCTATATTGGCCAAAGCTATCATCATTTGCAACATTTTCATTTCCTTTTTCTTCAATAATTGAGATTTCGTTTATTTTAGGAAAATATTTGTAAAAAACACAACTAGGCAAGAGGCAGGCTAGGCTATCAACTATATAGTGGATGAGAATTATTACGTGACTCACGTTGAGTGGTTGATTGAATGCGTCGAGTTTGAATTAGGTTTAATTAGTCCAATAAACACTAATGATATTCCTAATTATGAACTCAATGAAAAACTGGGGCCATTTGGGAAAGAAAAAAAATAGAGAATCTTATGGCAGATACTTTAAATCCAACCAAGTTGATTCCTGTTGCCACCACAACCAATCCCATTATAGATTGCTTTGATTATCTATCCAACTCTTCTCATTATGAAATTATTATATGCATTTGACTGACTTATTCTATTCTTTTTTTATCTGTGACTTATTATTATTATTCGACTACAACTTGTTTTATAGTTTACACCACTATAGTATATAATATATATACGTCTATGGCGAGCATATTCAAAAGCCGGATATACCCACACTTTAATTTAACTTCTTACGTACATCTTAACGAAGAAGTAATATATGTAAAGCAGAAGTAAAACAATGAATCAACAAATGTTAAAAAAAAAAATGAACCAACTTTTTATTGAGACAATTTTGGATAATTCTTGAGACCTTAGCTAGCTATTATAAACAAAATTGTAAATCAATATTCTTATAATTTTTACGCGTGTGTATTAAGACTAGGCCGATATTATTAGGTAAACTGAAACTAAATCAGTAACAGAATTCTTGGAAATAAATCGAAACTAAACCCATACGAGCATGGCTACAAATATGTAAGATATATTCATCCTCAATTCCTCATAATACCATTGGTGGCATACTTTTCTTCAAGTGATGTAAGACCACATCATTGACAAAAAGGAAAAAAAAAGGAAAAATAAAAAGCGAAAAGTCCAAGCATGGGGAAAAAAATGATTATATGGTGCAACATGCATGTGCAAAATCTTATCTTATAAAATTTCTAATTTTCCGCTCAAGAATCATTTGCGTTAAAACCTTACATTAATATTAGGGATTGAGTCGCCGTAATAAAAAAAACTAAAAAAGGGGATTGAGTTGCTATGCAAAAAAAAAAAAGGGGATTGAGTCGCCATGCAAATTTATAACGTACAAGTTTGTGCATGCAAAAGAAAGTCTATCACCGATTTTTGACTAATAAAACGCATTTGATTTGTTGAAAAAACACACACACACACACTCACGCATTTTATTTTGTTTTGTTCTTTTATCATCGTGTTTCATTATAAGGTGTTTACAGGATTACAAATTAAATGAAGATTTATACGGTTATACCCTGAACTGAAACCAGACTTTCATCTTCATCATCTTATCTGAAGAGTAGAGACATAACGGTTTGAACGCAAATCTTTGATGGAAGAGGTTCTGCGTGTACTATACTCAACTTGTTTACTTTTTTTTCTGGGACTGTAGCATGAACATGTCTAGTAAAACGATGTCCCATTTGGGAAGCAAAAGAGAAATAAAGTATTTTATTAAAAAAAAAAAATCATGTTTAGTAACAGAGACTGGTGAAATATTTTCTTTTATTTACATGTGTTTATCCGAGCAAAGCTAACAAAATTTTAGATCGGGAACAAGTCTCTTCACAACAATTGCCTTATCTTGTATTACCCTCTGTTTCATTTTAATGAATATTTACATGCTTAGCAACAAAAAAAAAAAAAATTGCCTTAACAACAAGAAGATTCCTTATGGAAGGTTAATTTTTGATTCGAAATATGTTAAACCTGGTTCCGGAGGTTAAGGGTCAAAGGCACAGAACTTCTACAATTTTTTTTATTTTTTTATTTATTAACCAATTGGTTCAGGATCAGTCAAACGAGCTAAGGCTTCCATCATATGCTTAATGCTTCAAAGGAGATTCGGCTTTCAAAACTCATAATTTATGCTATATGGTTGTTCAACATATGCAAGTGGTTTACCAAAAAAAAAAGACACACATATATATATGCAAGTGTTGTTGTAATGAACTTTTACTTCATTTTCTAATGTTGGCTCTGTAATCAAACAAGGGTGCGTTCTGAAGAAATAAAATTAACCATAACAAAAAAAAAAAAGTAATGTACGATGATTTGGCAAATATAGACTAAATTTATGGCTGAGACTCTAAATGATAATCACAAGCGAAGTCTAGTAACTGTCGAGGAGAGAAGACATGACAAATAGGGTAACTGAAATTAACTAACCCTACATTGCATTTAATTTCTCTTTTTCTTTTTCTATATTTAGTCTATTTTATAGATTTATTTATTACAACAAAAACTGTATATAACTGCCCACAGAGTTTATGCCTCGAGAGTAAGACACTGAATAAATTTTCTATTCTTCATATTTTATTGATACCACGACAAAACTTAACTGCAGACCATCTTCTGTATTTTTTTCCAACTATCATATAGTCTAGTTTAAAATGATGAATTATCTAACCCCAAAGATATTATAAACTAGGTTCGTACTTTTTAGGCCTTGAATAATGATAGATTCGGAAAAGTGTGAGGAAAATAGGCAGATTAAATTTATCTAATTTTCTTTGATATATATAGTAATGATACTACTACATTATTAGCTTTTAGCAGCACTTCTTTTTTTTGTGTGTGTGTGGCTAGAATACTCATAGACCTTAATTATTGTTCATTGACGAGTGTGTTTGGCTCTTCAACTCGATTATCTTTTAAAAGTTAGAAGAATAACTTCAATTAAAATATGTATTTTAAAGACTAATTAAACTTAGATTACGAAGCAACCCTCTATTTCATATAATTTCTTTCTTGAGTAATAGACGATGAGACAAAGGTAAGTAATGCATCTATGCTAATTTTCATGTATTGTGTTGTTTATCTACAAATAGACAAATGTATAAGATTCATATATGTATGTGGATATAACAATTTTGGGGGAGATTGAGAGAAGTGTGGTATAATTGGGTAGGTGAGGGACCCTTCTAAACCCAACCACCTTTGTCTCTATTTCTACCTTCCCATAATCCCATGTCCCTTAGAACATGGAGCAAATTATGGCAACTCCTCTCTACCCTCCCTCTTATTTTACTCTGAATTCTTTCTAATCTTCCTTATATTTATAATTTTTTTGGTAATGACTACTTTTAGTTTTAACCAAAAATAATACTCATTAACAAAGAAAAATATAAAATATAAAAATACAGTTTATTAAAAAGTATATAAAATTTTAGTACTGAAGGACTTAATTATTACAGAACTGATCAAAACATGGATGTTCAAACATAAATGTTTCTTTCTATTTTTTATTTATAAATATAGAATGAATATTTTCTTAAAGGAATTATGATTCGTTAGTAAGTGTCTCTAATTTAATTTTAACCAATAATTTGAATTAAAAGAGAAAAAACATTATATTTAATTTTTGTGTTGAAACTTCAAAGTATCAAACATACTTTTTCGTAACAGAAACAAGATCTAAACCCTAGAAAAATAGAAAATGATTGTTAGAATAAAAAGTAAATTGTCGTTTCTGTTTTAAAACAATGTAGCATTAGAGTAGATTAATCTGCCAAACCAAATAAGATGTTACAAACACAATTCTACCAAACACGAAATATTTTTATTTTTCTGGTCTGCCACAGTAGCAATCTATATTTTTATTAAGAGAGAAATAAAACGCTGGTCGGCTACTTTGAACTCTTGAACAAAAAGAAAACGCCCATAGATTTGTCAAATAGCTTATCCTCTAATGTCAAAACATGGCTATGTAATTGGTTACTGAACCCACGATTAATTTCTCTGACAAGAACGGTGGCAAATAAGAAATCTACAGAGAGATTCAATGATTCATAAAGTTTTTAAGACTATATCAATACATATGCATTAACTAATAAAAATCCAATGTAACCGAAAGACTACTATTACTATATTTGCCCAATTATAGACAGCGCTCTAGTATATTAAAATAGTATATTATTGATTGTTGAAAGTGTTTGAGAGCCGGCCAAAAAATGCAACATATAAAGCAATTAACTTTGGTGCTTTCAATAGACACAACACAAAACCCATTTTCCATCAACAAAAAAAATTGTTGTTTTTTTTTGTTATATTGAAGCTATACACTTTTTTATTTTATTTTTTGGTAGTGGAATATGGAGATTGAATCTGTGAGATGTGAGTGTTGTGGTTTAATGGAAGATTGCACACAAGACTACATTAGTGAGGTCAAGTCTAACTTCGACAACAAATGGCTTTGTGGTCTCTGCTCCGAGGCCGTGAGGGACGAAGTGAGTCGCCGGAAGATGACGACCGTTGATGAAGCTGTTAGAGCACACGTGTCGTTTTGTGGAAAGTTTAAAGATAATCCGGCGGTTCTTGTTGCCGACGGTATGAGGCAGATGTTACGGAGGAGATCCGGCGACTTGACTTCCTCTGCGTCCAAGAAATTCGGCAGATCTAACTCCACCAAGCTATATTAATCATCTCTTTTTTTCTTGCTAATTAATTAAATGTATAATATTTGATGCTTTTGTGTTTTGTATTATGTTTTGTTTAATGTCATAAATGATGGTTAGTAATGCTAAAACTAATCAATTGATTATATATACAGACTTATCAATTTATTTCATCTATAGTTTGATCTCTATAAACAATGATTAACTCTTTTAAGCTATTACCATAATGCGTTATCTTGAATGCATTGCAAATATAACTTTTTTTTTAAGGTTCTCTTTAACTAATGTATTGAGCTCAACATTTTCGTGAGAATGCAGAAGTTTTGTTTTTGGTTACTAAGAAGTTCCGAGTCTAAGGTTCATAATCACTCGCACACATTTTCACTTCACTTTGGTCATATTGTACCATCTAAAAGACCATATTTGACAGTAACTGCAAAAAGACAAAAGAGTTTTAACTAGAACTATAATGATAATTGTAACGTCGATTGTTACTAAAAATCAATTCCGGTTTATTTAAATTAAACCATCATTCTTAATTAATCCCAATTCTAATCTCTTTTTAATCTCTTTTTAACTTTCTGCAAGCCCATTAATCTAATCTATTAAGCCCAGTCTAGATTAATCTTACCTAATATAAATACCTCTGATCCTTCATCAATTTCTAAAACCTTAGTCTCTTCATCTTCTCTCTTTTTCGTCACTTTTTCTCTTAAACCGCCGTTCACTTCTGAGACGATTTCCCGGCGATCCGTGAAGCTCCACGCGACGTATAACATATCAAATCGAAGCCCCGGAGGTAAGCTTTCTAATGAGACCGGTTTCGCCCTGATCCGGGATTGTACACGAGAGTTATCGTGAACCGCGTATCGGGTGTCCAGATCTGTTCTCTCTCTCTTCCTCTTTCTCATCTTGCCCTAATCTCTTCTTTCTCTCCTCTCAGTCGAGCCTCTCCCTCTCCATTGCAAGATGTGTGCGCCTCTAACTCCTCCTCCTCTTGAAACCGAATCCAGTGATGGTGGATCTCCACTTCGTCATCCTTCTCCTATGCCATCACCTCCTTCTATTGCTCGCCCTTCTGTGCCAAGGTGAGGACCCTGTGCTTCACCCTCTCTTTCATTCCTGTTCATAGTAGTTAGTCTTCTCTTAGGTTAAGTACTAGATCTGTGTGCTAGGGTTAGATTACTAGAACCTGGTTCCTTGTTGATTGACTGTTGATGATTGCTGGTTGTTGGAGGAACCTTGATGACTAAACCTGAACTTGGAACTAATCTATGAAACCCTAAAATATGGATTGATTGTGTGTGATCTGGATTACCTTGTTTGAGATAGTTTAGATTGTGTGATATAGAACTGTTAGGTCCCCGACCCCTTTCTGTGGTGATTGGGCGGTGTTTCTTGTTGGGCTAGTGGCTGGATTGGGCTAGTCCAACGGTGAGCGGGAGGTACGCCGATCCTCCCGGAGCCTGTATGGCTGGAGGCCTGTCTGTGTGACCGCCTTGTGACCCTTTCTGTGTGATTGGGGGTGTGTCCCTTTCTGTAGTGATTGAGGACGACTGAGTGACTTTTACTTGTTGAGATCCCTTTCTGTGGTGAATGGGTGACCCCTTTCTGTGGTGATTGGGTGGGCAGAGTGACACAGTTGATAAGACGGTGATGCTCTCCTCAATGGGATAAGGTTACTTTGTTACTTGGTAGTTGCTTGTAGGGTTACCCTTGTTTGCTAGCTTGACTTAGGATTAGTCTATCTGCTGTGTCCATGATTGTTAGATGGTGTTGTGGGCCTCCTTAAGGTCCATCCTCGCTGAGTAATCCCAATTACTCACCCCTCCTCTTTCCTTGTTTTCATTTTCAGGTAGATCAGTTCTGTCTATATTGTTGATTGCTATCTGGGCGTTTTCGATCCTGGCAGACGTGAGGCTCACCAACTGGACCAAACCAGGCGTCTGACCGAATGCGGTTAGATGGCCAACTTAACATGTCCTATTTCTCCGGTTTTCTTAGGAAGTTTGGGATAGGAATGTTACAATAATATTATGCTTAATAATGGTCGACATTTTTAACCTCTGGATCATTATATACCACGTAATAACATCTCTTGTGGTCATTAGTCTCTCCACAAACGGATTAGATAGAGCTACGTGGTTAACCGCAACGCTGTGAATTTCCGAACTTCCGCTAACGTCGGAGAGAGAGGAGGAGGTTGCTGGGCCTGCCGGCGCCGGAATGGGCTCGGAACTCAAACCATCTCGAGTAAATATAATCTTGACGGATTAACTAACTTTTAGCTGGGCTGATAATGGGCTTTGTCCTCAACTGAACTAATGTCTGTTATAAATAATCACAATTGCTACTGAACTCATCAATTAGAAACCCAAGAACTCTGCCTAAATAGAACACTTCAAATGATCGATTCACCAAGATTTAGAAATCATAAATCGAATAATGGCACAATTTGACCCCCTAAAAGAAAAAGTGATTTTGCTTAGATTTACAAATTAATCAGAATGCACAATCCAGTCCAATAAAAACTCTCCAAATTTATAACCAAGTATTTGAGAAATTGGGTGGGATAAAACCAAAACCAAATTTATGTGGCCAAACAGAGAATCGAATGGGTACAACAATACATGAAAAGAAAAGAGAATCACTTTGGTTCACAAAAAGCAAAAATTATTCTTTCAAATCTTCTTCTCATTAGGAAAGACCAAATAAGTTTTGATGCGTGTCATTTCCCCCAAATTATTGCTACCAAACATTTTTAGTGTCTCTATCTTCCGTACGTCTGCATTACATTAGATTCACCATATTAATTTGCTAATTCACGTTCTACTCTCTAACTTAGAAATTTTGCACGGCCCTTATTGAAGTAGAATGGAACACATTCTTTTTTTTTTGTCAACTACTGAAACACATTCGTGGGGTAATTTTTTTCAATAGGAAGCATTTATTTACTTGAAGGGAATAAAATTACCATTAATTTAACAGATATTTATAAATAACCGATGTTTTGTAATCACTTGTACTAAATTAACTATAAACCTTCAAATAACATCTGATTAACTACACTTCTATATTTTTGAAACAAATTAGAATGAATGACTCAAGGAATACAACTTTCGTAGTCATAAGCCTTACTTTTTTTGTCATAAGCCTTGCTAATAAAAGGTTACGTGCTACTCGTTTAAAAAATGAACCGCATCATGTTAATAAAACGCTGAAGATAATGAAAATGACGAAGCTAAAATACGAATAAAAGAGGGGGTATTTCGGTAAAATTCAGTAATGCCCTTATCTCATTCTCGATCCTCTTTCTTGCTGCCGCCTTCGCACCCATTCATAAAAACAAACAAAAAAAAGGGAAGACGCAATCTTTTCTTGTCTCTTCCATTCTTCAAATCTTACAGGTTCCTCTTTCTCTTCTTTTATTCTCTCTAAAACTCTTTTACTCTGTTCAATTCAATCTCAAAAATTCGATCTTTTTATAAAATAATCCAGATTCCGATTATAAAAACGAACATTTCTTCATAAAGCCTGCTGATTTTGTTTATGGTTGTGATTCCCTTAAACCGATCGGTAATCTCGTATCTTCTATTCTTGAATTTGATCCAATCGTTCTTTATCACTCTAACGATCGAGAAACCCGACCCGGAACCAGCCATGAGAGTCCACCCAATCCCCAGAGGTCTTAACAACAACACCTTGATCCATCACCACCATCGTCGTCATCATAACCCGACCCGAGAACCCGGAAAGAATCTCCGTCGTTTGCCACACATCTTCAACCGCGTTCTTGAGCTTCCATTGAGGTCCGAAGCCGACGTGGCGGTGGAGGAAAAACCCGATTTTTTCAGGTTCGTGGCGGAGACGGACGGTCTCTGCGGCGGAGGCGGAGGAGGAGAAATGAGGGCTTACATGGTGGAGATTTATCCGGGTATTACCAAAATCGTTGTGAGGACAAATGAGTCTACGTCTTTGGGTTTGTCTTTGGACGAGTTAGAGCTTGACGTGTGGCGTTTTAGGCTCCCGGAATCGACTAGGCCTGAGCTTGTTACGGTGGATTGTGTTGATGGAGCTTTGATTGTGACGGTGCCTAAGTTGGTTTCAGAGGAAGAGGAAGAAGATGATGATGATGGTGGTGGAGGTTTTGGACAAGGTATGGGTAGTGGGAGGCTAGTTCTTGTTCAGTGAAGTAATGTTGGTTTGGAAAAATACAATTTGTGTAATGATGTTTTTTTTTTAAGTATGAACATTGCTTTCTTCAGTTATGATTCAAAGAGGAAAGAACGAATCTCTAATCTTCCTCGTTGATGTTGTAGCCTTCTTCCCTTTTGTTGTTGGCAACTTTTAGAAGTAAATAAAAGAAAGGTTGAGACTTTGATCTCACAGTTTGTAAAATCCAGAATGTATATGTTTGAGAAAACGGTACAAGTGTTCTTGAATACAAAGCAGCTAAGCTGAGTCTAATCATAAACCAAACCATAACCAAAAGAATCTAGTACACACTTTCAGGGACAATACCTCAGACCAAACTTTTCTTTCTTTCAAAGAATACTTCCAATGAATTTCCAACAATGTGGCTTTTCAAAGAAATGTGCATCATTATTCTGTTACTTTGTTGTGTATCCACAATGTAACCTCCAGCTAAAGAGAAGCTCAATATTGTAGACTTTGGAAACTTATAGTCAGGGCAGATATTAGTGAAAGCAGAACTGAGAGAGACTTGATGAAACGTTTTATGTTATTGTTACAGAAATGCAGAACATCAATACATTAAACCGGACTTAACTGAGACCTCAAACCAACTCAATAACGAAACAGAGGTCACCAAACAGAGCAGGACAGGAGAAGAAGTTGTCTAAGTCTTTATCGACTAACAGAAAGTTTCCACAAAAGAGGTTTCAAGAGCCTGCAACATATTAAACCCAAAAAAAAAACGCTACTGGCTAAAGGTCAGATAATTATAAATATTACACGACAAGGCCAGATTTAGAGGAAGAAGCCTTTGAGAGGAGTGAATTTAGAGAGGATCTCTGCTTCACGCTTAAGAGCATTATCTTTCTTACATTCCCATTCTGGCTTCTTCGAGTTAGCTGATTGAACTTCCTGTACCACTTTAGGGATCGAGTTCGCCACCATTTTCTGACCGTAGCTCAGATCAACCTTCTCTTTCTCCTTGTTCCCGATGTACTTCTTCAACTCAGTCCTTCTAGCTTGAAGCTGTGCGATCTGGTCATCGATCCGGCGGATTTCCTCAGAGTTCTCGTCTACTTCCATCTGGATGCTCCCTAGCTTGTGCTTCAGATCGCTGTATTCGTATTTGAGAGATGCTACTTTAGCCTTGTTAAGCTCCAGCGCAGAGAAGAACCTATCTGCTTCTTCAATCACACTTTTGTTCTCCTGGAACACTTCGCTGAACGTTGGAATCTCTTCAATAAGCTTCAGCCTCACAATCTCTTCAGCGGAAAGGTTTGGATCTTTCCTCAGTTTTGTTGCTAACGCTGCTATCTCTGCAGCCTCCTGGGAGACGAACAGAGCAGGGAAATCCTTCTCCAGAAGAGATGAAATCTTCATCCGAGCTTCAGCCCATTCGTACTCTCTCATTGGAGAGCTTGCACTCACAAGCACAGACGAGTCTCCCCCACCATCTTCTGGAGCCTGATGAAGAAGGTTCTCAAGAGAGTTCAGGTAGCTGTCAAACTCCACCGGGTCGACATCGACAGGCGAGTGCGAGACGGCAAGGACACCGTTCATGGGAGAGACATAGATATGAGGAATCGAAACATCTTCGTCTTCAAAGTTAACTCTGCGTTTCTTTTTCCTGCCACTAGTGTTTGGTGCAGTAGCAGGTTCACCCTCCTCCTCGTTAAGGAAGTTCAAGTCCACAGCACCACCGCTCTGCTGGTTTGAAGAGCGTCTTGCAGATTGCCGAGATGACTTGGGTCTGGTCGAGGATTGTGGTCCAATGGCAGGAGTTGTGGCTCCTTTCTTCTTCTTGTTGCTGTTACCTCGGGGAGTTGCTTTGGTTTTCTCTACAACAGGTTCATATGTCTGTGTCTGCATTGGTTTTCTCTGCCGCTGGCTGTATCGGGAGTTTCCTTCTTTTTTCACATCCTGAGTATTCTCACCATTAAGGCTAGCCTCGGCCTGTACTTCTTTTGGTGTCTCCTCAAAAAGAGAAGCAGCATCAACTACAAAAGAAAACGAAAACATGTTTAGATTGGATCATTTAAACTACTTAACTTACTAGAAAATCAACCCTGCAAAAACACAAATCTATAAACATCAGCAAATATAGTTTTAACTAGCTGTGCCTAAACCAAACACCAGAGTCACAAAAAGCATGACCTTTATTTGCTATTTCATATCAAGAAGAACAATGTCTGTAAAAAACAAGAAAAGGAACAATGTCTGTAAATCTTTAACCTCTTTCAAAGCTAAATATATCTTACCTTTGTTTGCAGGCTGGAATAAAGCTGGAATCTTCCAGCTAAACGATGCAAAGAATGCATCAACATCCATGTCTGGGAAAGTCGACTGGACATAGCGAGTAAGAGTGTTTTTGCTGGCGAAAGACTTTGGAGCATTCTTTTGCTGAAGCCTTTGAGGGAGAATCAGAAACCTATCCTGATGAAACCCAAGAGCAGTCACTCTCCTACCGACTCTCCAAGTCCAAACATCACCGGGGCTTGGCCAATCAACAGGAGCATAGGGCAGACCTTGACCAGTTGAAACAGGAGGAATCCCTGGAAGTTGGTTGAGATCGGTTTCCCCATGAGTGAACGAGCTGTTGTCTACGCTTCTCTTTCCATTTTCATTAGCTTGAATGGGCTCTGGATTTTCAATGGCCTCTTCCCTGTTGAAACCATTGTCCCAGAAGTCGTCCTTCTCTTGCTGAGTGGTGTGGAGTGGGTCTGAGTCATTTTCTCGATATGTTGAGAGCGGTACAGGTTCAGTATCTTGGTAAGTACTGATTGGAACTGGTTCGGTTTCAAACCTGCATGTAAATTAGCAGTTTAGCACTAGAGGAGCTGAAGAGAAGTATGGTAAAACAACAAACCAAACAAAATCTACATTTAGGCCTCAATACCACAAATCATTTCCCTTCTCAATAAATCCAATAAACATGTAGACAAATTGATATACAGCTAATTATAACCGTGAAAAAAACATACTCAGAAACGTATGAGTATATAGTAAATCGACCACAGACCCACACAACCCTAAAAGCACAGCCTCTCTTGTAGCAGCAATTAGTACAAAAAGTAAGAACACTAACATTTGCTCACTCCCCACACACATGTCTTTTCACACTAAGCGAAAAGACAAACACAATTGAGCTCGTCTACTTTAATCTCAAGAATTGTTAGTTCTTAGGTCAGAATTTTGAAAGATGTTTGCTTCACATTACAATCGAATTCAGACAGAGGTAAACTGGTCTCAGTTTGTCACATAATTCAATATTATAAATCTAATTTTGTTCAAGGAATCAGAGCAAAGATTCACATACAGGATAACCCAAAAACAAGATCAAAGCAGAACACAAAGTAATGTTTTTCAGAGTTATAACAGTGTTATTAAGAATACAATTACCCAGGAAGAGTTTGACCAATCTCTTGCTGCATATCTTCCGGAGAATAAAACGGAGCAGACATGCCACTCAAAACCCTAATTTTTCCTGCAGAGGAGAAACACCAACCAAGGAAAGCAAAATTCAGAAATTAAATTCAATGGTTAAAATATGAAAAGATATGAACTTTGTCAGATTCAGAAGCAGAACGAGCGGATTACAAAAGGCAGATCTAAAGCTTTTCAATCTCTCTTCTCCCCTTTTCCTCTGATTTTATTATTTTTAACTCTCTGGAGATGTGGTTAGTCTTCAAGCTTAAGTGCAACGAATAAACGAAATGACCATTAAACCCTTGTAGTGGGTCTGTTCATTTTTAAGGAAATGAAACTTTTTCTTTTTCTTTCAATGTAATAATATTGGGACTGGTCAATTTTTCAACTTTTTAACCGATTTACCGTAGTCTCTCTGACTCAGATCTCACGCGAATCAGTCTTTCAGTTTGTACCATTTGTAATGCAATGACAAAACTCTTTTTTTTTTTTTTTTTCTTGGTCGAAAAAAAGAGACGAAATAGTAAACGAAAGTTAGAGATTCTTTCAAAACTTTACAGCTTTATAGAAAGAATAAACAGAAACCATTTCTTACTGGCTATGGATCAGTACGAATGTGTGAGTGGTTGATCAGTAAGAAGTACATGAATATGCCATTTCTTTGAAAGGAAAAAAAAAAAGATACCATACCATAAGTAACATCCAAAATTCAAGACTCCTATTGTTTTTTTCCAAAATAAACCAAAGAAAAAAGATTTAAAAGTTGATTTAGACTTTAAAATTGAAAATAATTGTAGTCAAGACATCTTCAGTCGCTACATTTTAAATAATCAAATTGCCACAAAAAAAAACCTTTAAGCAAAAATCATGATGGAGTATCTGACCGTATAATATGAAAAACTACATATATTTTTTGGTCAACTATGAAAATTACATTAATATGCGAAACTGTTCATCAGTCATCACAATTACAATTACAGATGCTTACATCAAATAAACATAATTTTGTAACACATCTTGTTGTCCGCCAAATTTTCATATTTCTCTGCATCTTATAACTATAGTTCATAACTTCTAATGGACGATCAAATTGTCCACGAAAAATGATCTAGACCGTTCAAGCTAATTTCGCTTCCTTGTACATCCTGTGCTTAATGACTCCCACGCAAATAATGTTCTTCATGGAGGATCATCAATTGTTCAGCTACCTAACCAACCACACGATGATCAAAGTTTAATTTACAAGTAAACCGTTACGTCTTAAGTATAATCAAAAATGGAATAATAGTAAGCACCTCTTCAATGCTGCCATCTTCGATCTCTGTGTTAAAAGAAAGAAGCAAGCTTTCATGTAGAAAACTCTCAATCTCTTCAACCGTAATCACTGCTCAGATCATATATCATTGATAATCAACATCTCTAGATTTTATTTTTCTTAAGGTTATTCGAAAGGTTGGAAAATCAAAATAAAATGTCGAACCGTTTGATTGAGAGAAGAGATGTAAAAGATGGTTAGCAAGCTCATGAGATTTTTTGAGAGAATCATGACCTCCCCACTGATTCTTCACGGCCATCTGAAGCCCACCCCACCGCGAAAGAAGCTCTCCGATGTCTCTCCGGAGATTAGAGTCGTCGACCATAGGATGCACGTGCTTGTGTTGCCACGTGGAGGAGATCACGTGTGCGTTGGACGTTTTCCCACCGGTTCCCATTTCTTTGGCCGGTAAAAAAAGGAGGGAAAGAGAAAAGTTTCGATCTTTCCGGCCGCAGACAACGGTTCTTCCGCCTTGTAACTCCGTTAAAGAAAACGGAGAACAAAAAAGCTGGAAGATTTTTGCCTATGGGGAACACAGAGAGAATAAAAGAAACTTGCAGCGAAAGTTATTTTTCTTATGTATCCTCTGTTTTCCTAAAATGGAAAAAAAAAAAACAAAGGAGACAGATCCGAAGAGTTAGGGGAAGTTTATGAGTTTGCCAGACCGACAAATATGTGTTCTTTGACTTCAGACATATCATCGATGACTTCTGTTCCAACCTTTTTCTTCTTGTTATGCTGTTCTGTAATTATAAACGTGTCCAATGTTATACGATACACTTGGTGATATGGGGGAATATTAAAAAAATCACAAATCCTATCTCAATCTCGGTCTCTCTGATTCATTTATGCTTTATCTTCATGCTCTTTAATCTTTGAAAACAAGACACGTGTGTCATAGACACGTCACTGACAAGTGTCAAACTCTCATAAAGTTGGTCCTACTTCGTGTACCTCTCTTTATACTCAAATCTCTCTCTAGGAGTTGTTGTAAACCAGTAAACGCAAAACAGAACATATTAACAAAGACATGAGCCAACAAGAGCAACCAAGTAGGCCACAAGAGCCGGTCAAATACGGAGATGTTTTCCAAGTCTCCGGCGAACTCGCCGATAAGACCATAGCTCCTGAGGATGCTAGCATGATGCAAGCCGCGGAGACACGTGTCTTCGGACACACTCAAAAAGGCGGTGTAGCCGCGGTCATGCAGTCTGCGGCCACCGCTAACAAACAAGGTGGCTTCGTCCACTCAGGTGACACAACCGACCTTGCCGCCGAAAAAAGCGTCACGGTGGCACAAACTGACGTCCCTGGTGCACGTGTCACAACGGAATTCGTCGGCGGACAGGTCACACAATTCGTTCCCAAAACAATTTTTTTTATGATCATGTCTTTGTAAACGGTGAAGATTGTTTATTGTAGGTCGTTGGACAATACATTGAGCCAAAGCCTGTGACGGCTGTGGCGGCCATGGACGCAGAAGCGTTAGGATTGAATTTGCAAAGTGCGATAACGATTGGTGAAGCATTGGAAGCAGCTGTGCAAACCGCTGGAAACAAACCGGTGGATCAGAGCGACGCAGCAGCGATTCAAGCGGCCGAGGTTAGAGCTTCAGGCACCAACGTCATTGCTCCTGGTGGTATCGCCGCTTCAGCTCAATCCGCAGCGAATCACAACGCTACTATTGATCGTGACGAGGATAAAATCAAGCTCGTTGATGTTTTGGCGGTTGAAACACCAATTTCAAAAACATTAGTTTTCAAGTGACTGATAGTTTGTTTAAACAGTGTCTGAAATGTGTTTTGAACCTGATTTTAGGGTGCGACGGGGAAGTTACCGGCGGATAAAGTCGTGACAAGGCAGGACGCGGAGGGAGTGTTGAGCGCTGAGCGGAGGAACAACCTCAGCTTGTCTATTCACCCAGGTGGTGTAGCGGCTTCTGTTATCGCCGCCGCTAATCTTAACGAGAAATCGGAAATATGACTAATACGGCGAGACTAAGACGAACTTGTAATGTAAAAATAAGTATAGTTTCTGTTTCTCTTTTGGTCTTGTTGTTCAAAAAAGTTTAAAGTTTAAGCCTTTCTTTAGCTCTGAGTACTTCAAGAATGATAGTTCATACTCCATAGATCTATCAAATGGAAAATCTCTCCAGTCTACTGATTTTGCAACATTCAAAAACATTTTAGAGTTTTCCAGAAAAAAAGATCACAATAACCAAAAAAAAAAGAGATGCAACACTTGTAAAATAAGAAGAGTTTTACTGGCTTGAACTGGCAGCTCCAACAAGAACACCTTGAGCATTACCTTCCTTTTTGTTACCCTCTTCCTTGGAATCTTCCTGTTTCCTTAGCCTGATCTTATACTTGGCTTCGAACTCTGTAAGATCTTTCTTTTTCTTCTCCAACGTCTCGTACAGCTTCTTCACGACCTCTTCGAGCCCTTCCTTGTTGCGTAGGACAGCTGGGAGTACCTCTCTGATGGTTCTCTCCACGAGAACGCCTCCTATCATGCGAAAGCATTTCCTTGATTGGTCGAGAGGCTGAATGGCGTTGATGACCAGAGAGTGTTCGCTCACTTGCATCTCGAGCTCGGTTATGTTGGAGTAGACTTGGCTTAGCTCTGATCTCATTGCTTCATACATGTTTAGAACAGCTTGCTCATTCGGCGGCTCTCTTATGCCACCGGTTCCAGGTTTGCTCGCCATTGCTTCTGTCCTAAAATGGTTGGGTCCAGGGAATCAGGAATTGCATAGTAATATCACAAGTTGAAGAATATTCAGCAGAGAACAAATCATTCGAAACACAGATGTAAGAACTCAACCAAAACTAAGAGAAACATTTGAAATAGAAAGAATGTTGTTACAAAACATTTTCAAGCACATAGGAAATAGTAAGAACGACCAAAACAACGGAAAAACAGTAGTACCCCGAAACTATATCAACAAGGATGATCCATATCCAATTCAATACTCTTTTTCAGAAGTTTCTAAATGCATAAAGCTTTATTAAATCACCATCTTTCATCCAATTAAATACAAGAAAAATCCTGTCATCTGTGGATCCATTAGCAAACTTACATCAACTCAAAAATTCCTTAAAATGGATCAAAATACATCTGCAATCCAACCAAAACTATGGCTCAGAGCTTTAAACACAGAAAAAATTTCAACGATGACATTTGTGCAAACTATTCGACTGCACAGAGCACCCAAAATTAGGGTTTCGATGTAACTGACATCAATTCAACAACAACGATTCACTGACTAGGCTCGGTTCCCTCGACTAATCTATTAAATCTACAAAACAGAACCGGGAACATCGAAGAAGCTTGGTTGAGATCGAAGAAGCTTCACTGGAACATTCCAAAATTCCAGAACTAGATTCTATTTTACTTATTTTATCTTCGACATCGACACAAAAACTTTTCGCCACTTGAAAGAAAAAACAGAAATAAAAAACTTACTTTTACAAACGAAACCGCACGAGGGAAGATCTAAGAAGCTTTAGTTAGGAAGGAAGCGATCTAGACGAAGATTGAGTCTGCGAGAACGAGAGAGAGAGCGAGAACGCGGCGTAGAGAGTGAGGAAGAAGAAGCCAGGGTTGGGTTTACAACATAAATTGAACCGGTTTCATGAAAACAAAAAAATTAAACCGGTTTAGATACATGAATATCGAACCGGGTTTTCTTTCTTCTCTTCCCCAAAGCACAAATCTTCCATTTTCGTACCCTAAGAAAGGGAACGATTCATCCTCTGAAGAAGAAATGAGATTGATGATACAAAGATGGATTCCTCTTCGTGTTATTAAGAAAGGTACTCTGAGATTACTGTATCTATGCGAACGACACTACTCTGCTTTACGCGATGGGAAAGCTTCTTATAGAGTGAGATTGAGGAGTGAGATTATTGATATAAAAGCTAATGATGCTTTAGATCTCTTCCAATCCATGATTCGATCTCGTCCTTTACCTTCTCTAATCGAATTCAGTAAACTGTTTGGCGCCATAGCTAGAACAAAACAGTATGACCTCGTGTTAGCTCTCTGCAGCCAAATGGAATCGAAAGGGATTCTCCATAACATCTACACACTCAACATCATGATCAACTGCTTTTGTCGGAAGACTAAACTTGGTTCTGCGTTTTCGGTTCTTGGGAAAGCTCTGAAACTTGGGCATGAGCCTAACACGATCACGTTTTCGACTCTGATCAACGGGTTCTGTCTCCAAGGTAGAGTTTCCGAAGCTGTGTCGCTTGTTGATCGAATGGTGGCAATGAAACATAGTCCGAATCTCATAACACTCAACACACTGATCAATGGACTTTGTCTCAAAGGTAAAGTATCCGAAGCAATGGATTTAATCGATCGAATGTTTGAGAAACGATGTAAACCTACTGCAGTTACTTATGGACCGATTTTGAACAGAATGTGTAAGTCAGGGAACACTGGATTGGCCTTGGATTTGCTAGGGAAGATGGAGAAAAGAAATGTCAAGGCCGGTGTTGTTCAGTATAGTATCGTCATCGATGGTCTTTGCAAAGACAAGAACTTTGACGATGCACTCAAACTTTTCAATGAGATGGAGAGGAAAGGGATCAAAGCAGATGTTATCACTTATAACTCTCTCGTAGGAGGACTTTGTAACGACGGTAGGTGGAGTGATGGTGCGCAGATGTTGAAGGATATGGTTAGAAAGAACATCACCCCAAACATCATCACGTTCAGTGCTTTGATTGATGTTTTTGTGAAAGAAGGGAAGCTTACAGAGGCTAAAGAGATGTACAATGAGATGATCACAAGAGGTATAGAGCCTGATACCATTACTTATAATTCCTTGATAGATGGGTTTTGCAAAGAGAATCGTTTAGATGAGGCGAATCATATGCTGGATTTGATGGTTAGCAAGGGTTGTGATCCTGATATTGTTACTTATAGCATACTAATAAATAGCTACTGTAAGGCTAAGCGGGTTGATGATGGTATGAAACTTTTCCGTGAGATTTCTAGGAAGGGACTTGTTGCAGATACAGTCACTTACAACACTCTTGTCCAAGGGTTTTGTCACTCGGGAAATGTTAAAGCTGCACAAGAACTCTTCCAGGAAATGGTATCTCGTGGCGTGCCACCCAGTGTTATAACCTACGGTATATTATTGGATGGATTGTGTAACTATGGGAAACTAGAAAAAGCATTGGAAGTATTTGAATTAATGCAGAAGAGTAAGATCACTCTTGGTATTTGTATTTATAACATCATCATTCACGGGATGTGCAATGCTAGTAAGGTCGATGATGCTTGGGGTTTATTCTGCAGTCTCCCTCTCAAAGAAGTGAAACCTGATGGCATAACATACAATGTGATGATTGGGGGACTATGCAAGAAAGGCTCGCTGTCTGAAGCGGACATGTTGTTTAGGAAAATGAAGGAGGATGGGCTTGCTCCAGATCATTGTACATACAATATACTCATCAGGGCACATCTCGGAGGTAGTTGCATAATCTCTTCAGTTGAAATCATCGAAGAAATGAAGAGGTGTAAGCTCTCCGCAGATACTTCCACCATGAGGATGGTTATGGATATGTTATCAGATGGTAGATTGGACAAAAGCTTTTTGGATATGCTTTCTTGAATTTCTGGTTAGTGCTTCTTGATCCGGTTGTTCATTTTGATACAAATTGTCAGTTGCATCGAAATGATATGAATGTTCTTGTGTTGCTATGACTATTTTTGTACATGAAATAAGATCCATACGATTCACCATTTTCCACTGAAGTAATCAAACACCTCTGGCAAAGCTCATCAAGTTTTCACTGAGTACCCAATACATAGCTTGGGGCCACAAGCTTAGTTATTATAACAGAGACATTTATCAAGTTCGTCAATGATTTTGCAATTCTTCAACGACATACTCGGAGATGATGACGCGTTGGCTTTGAGACGCTCGCTCTGGTCGTGAAGAAACAGCCTCGCCATTGTTGGAATGCTTACATATTCAGTATCGTCTGATATAAAGTTTGACACTTAATAAATAAGCTCAGACCAAACCAAACCAAAACTATACAGCAGAAAGAAGGAAGGAATCCATAAAGTATGAGGTGATTTGATGTACCAACAAAATATTATTCAAACGATAATGTCTTGAAATACAGAAACAACGAAGAAATAAAAATTAAGAATCAATGTAAGTTTTCCAAGTGATACAACTTGGTAGAGTATGAGAGATATAGGACTTTAGCTAACTTTCAAGAAACAATTTTTAACTTAAAGAGAGAGAGAGAGGGAAGAGTGAGGTAAGAACTAACTCACACTTAAACTTATAAATTTATTTTATTTGGCCTCAAAGATGGTCAGCGTTTCTGAAACTATTAGGGCAGCATGTGATGAGGCTACAAGTGTTTTTCTTTATTGGATTTGAACCAAATTTGGAACATAGTTGAAAATAAATGGCCTCCAATAGAGTCCACTAGGCAAGAACCGTATTTCTTTTTCATAAAGGACTTTTGCGTATTCATCGTCCTCTCCAAGAGTGAATACCACGGTCCTTCTGATCGCAAAACTTGAACTACAACATAAGGCGACTTTCTTCTCCTCGTCGATTAAAAAACTTATCATGAAAACAGAAGACAACACATTACGGGGAGTATTGCGTAAGTCCACTGCAAAGGATTTGCTCCATGAAAACTCTGCTTCAGTATCAATTTTCTTGGTCACCCAAATCTCCAACTCATATGAACCAATGCTCTCAATTAACACCGAGAGTTCTTCTTGTCTAACAACTGATAGAGCCATATAATAATCACGCGATGTCGAAAGATGTAGACGTCTAAATATCTCTCTTGTAAAATCAAAACTGAGTAAGTAGTCACTGTCTTTGTCACCATCATAAAAAAGCCAGTAAGTACTTCCCTTCAAAGTCACGCCACGATACTTTTTGCATATTCTGAGGCAGTTGGGAGCATTAACAACTCTCCATGAATTAGAGTTAAATTCATAGATTTCTGGCCCGGCAACTACTAGGTCGTCTGTTTGGTAAAACCTCAAGACTCTGTAGCTGCGGCAAGATTGGTTGTTTGCGTATCCTAGAGCAAACTCACAGTTTCTATCGTAGCCATTTTCGTGTTTGATCCACCTGCTTTCCCCTAAACACGGATTCCAAATCACAGGTTTATTATCGATCTTGGTTATGCATAACAACAAACCGTCGCAATGAAAAACTTGAGCTATATCCACTTGTCCTGAATTAGAATGGGCATTCTTTAGGCTTAGTGCATCTTTAAACCCTATAGATGGAGGAACAACGTTGAGATCGACACTCATTGGACAAAGCCTATAATATTCCTTAAACATGAGAACGTGAGACTGCTTTGGAGCTTTACAAAGGTGCTTCTCGGAGAATCGTAGAGCGTTCCATCGTTTGCATGTAGATCTTAATCGTTTCAGAGATGTGGTTGGAACCCTAGAGAGTATTTCCTCTTCCAAATCCACAGGAAGATCTGACATTCTTTTTTAGTTTAACTGAGATCTGAACATGATTTCTCTCAACCACTCGTTGGAGCTCTATAGGTAGATATTAGGGCTTTTGAGTTTAGGGTTTTTGAGTTTTTCTTGTTTACCCCTGAAGCAAGTTTAGTTTATATACACCTTCTTATGTACTCTTTCCTTTTCCTCTATGGATTCTGTTTATTATTTTTTACTTTAGTTTTGTTTTAATTCTCCTTTTTTTTTCCAATGTACTTTTTTAAAAAGGAAAAAAAAAGCAACTTCATTCGTTCTGGTTTCGAAAACTGCTCCTTTGATCTGGAAAACGTAGAAATCGAACTCTTCTGCATCATGGTCACATTATCCTCTGTCATTTTTGAGATGGACCACAGTATACTTAAACAAACTGGGTTTTTCTTCTTGAATCATAGTATATATACTTCAACACTATCTTATTAAAATTTGCAAACAACTTTCTAACTGATTGTATACCGGTATACGTACGTCAATGGTTTTGCAGTTCTTTAACGAGTTACTCGGAGATGACGATGTGGCGTGCTTTGTAAATAAGCTCAAACTAAACAAAAACTATACAACACGAAGAAGAATGAAATCCATAAAGTATTAATTTAAACGACATTGTCTTGAAAAACATAAAACAACGAAAAAAAAAAAGAGCTGGAAAAAATCACTTGCTTATTTTGAGTTGATTTTGTTTTTGCTTATTTTGATTGGATTTTGTTTTTTCTTCTAAAGGATATTCTATCAAAATGCATGAAACAAAACTACAAGCTATCACTTTTCCAAATCATACAGTTTGGTAGAGTATGATCAGAGATAGAGGTTTAAGTTTACACTTTAGCTAAACTTGAAGAAACAATTTTTAAGTTAAAGAGCAGTGAGGTAAGAACTAACTCACTAAAACCTAAAAATCTATTTGGCTACGACCACCTCGGCCTCTTCCACCACCGTTCCCGCGTCCTCGAGATGTAGTCCAAAGCACGTCTTGAACTATAGTCCTCCATCTGCTCATTTGTGAAGATGAATCTTCAAAGATGGTCGCCGTTTCTGAAACTATCGGAGCAGCCTGTGGTGAGGATACAACTACTTTTGGTTGGATATGAACCAAACTTGGAACATAATTGAAAATAAATGGCCACCACCATTCTTCATAACCCCCCAATAACCATGGTTCTTTTTCATCACCTCCACCACTGATGAACCAGTGCTCCTAATTAACACCGAGAGTTCTTCTTCTCTAACAGCTGATAGAGCCATATGGTCACCACTATAAGGAACTTGAGATAGACACATACGTACAAATCTTTCTCTTGTAAAATCAAAACTGAGTAAGTAGTTATCATATTTGTTATTATCTTTAGAAATCCAGTAAGTGTTTCCCTTGAAAGTCACGCCACGATATCTTATGCATATTGTGAAGCAGTTGGGAGCGTTAACAACTCTCCATGAGTTAGAGCTAAACTCGTAGATATCACATACACCAACTTGCTTGTTTGGTTGAAAACGTTTCCAGTACAAACTGTCCCAAAACATCAAGATTTTGTAGCTGCGGCAAGATTTGTTGTTTTCATATCCTAGAGCAAACTCACAGTGTCTCTCGTAAACTATATACCTGGTTATCTGGTTTGTTCATCCTCAGTTGCATCGAAATGAAAGTTCTTGTGTGGCTATGATTGTTTTGTACATGAAACAAGATCCATACGATTCACCATTTTCCAGTGAAGTAATCAAACACCTCTCTCTGGCAAAGCTCATCAAGTTTTCACTGAGTACATAAATACGCAGCTTGGGGCCACAAGCTTGGTTATTATAACAGAGACAACGTTATCAAGGCCTTGCTACGCGAGCCAACGATGAAGTATCCTGAGTTCGTCAATGGTGACGATGTGGTGGCTTTGTGACGCTCGCTCTGGTCGTGAAGAAACGGCCTCGGCCATTGTTGGACTTCACTTAGATATTGCTTACTGATTCAGTATCGTCAGATATAAAGTTTGTCACTTTATAAATAAGCTCAGACCAAACCAAACTAAACCAAAACTATACAGCAAAAGAAGAAAGGAATCCATAAAGTATGAGGTGATTTGATGTACCAACAAAATATTATTCAAACGATAATGTCTTGAACTACAGAAACAACGAAGAAATAAAAATTAAGAAGCAATGTAAGTTTTCCAAGTGATACAACTTGGTAGAGTATGAGAGATATAGGACTTTCGCTAACTTTGAAGAAACAATTTTTAACTTAAAGAGAGAGGGAAGAGTGAGGTAAGAATAACTAACTCACACTTAAACTTATAAATTTATATGGCCACGACCACCTCGGCCTCAAAGATGGTCGACGTTTCTGAAACTATTGGAGCAGCTTGTAAATGAGGCTACAAGTGTTTTTCTTTATTGAATTTGAACCAAACTTGGAACATAGTTGAAAATAAATGGCCTCCAATATAGTCCACTAGGCAAGAACCATATTTTTTTGTTCATAAAGGACTTTTGCGTATTCATCGTCCTCTCCAAGAGTGAATACCACGGTCCAACTTGAATTACAACACAAGGTCATTTTCTTCTCCTCGTCGATTAAAAGACGGGGAGTACTGCGCAAGTCCACTGCAAAGGATTTGCTCCAAGAAAACTCTGCTTCAATATCAATTTTCTTGGTCACCCACATCTCCAACTCATATGAACTAATGCTCCCAGTTAACACCAAGAGTTCTTCTTCTCTAACAACTGATAGAGCCATATAATAATGATAACGAGATGTCGGAAGATGTAGACGTCTAAATATCTTTTTTGTAAAATCAAAACTGAGTAAATAGTTGTCTTTGTCACCATCATAAGAAAGCCAGTAAGTGTTTCCCTTCAAAGTCACGCCACGATAATTTATGCATATTTTGAGGCAGTTGGGATTGGGACCGTTAACAACTCTCCATGAATAGAGCGTTCCATCGTTTGCAAGTAGTTCTAAATCGATTCAGAGATGTGGCCGGAACCCTAAATAGTATTTCCTCTTCCAAATCCGACGGAAGATCCGACAACTTCATTGTTTTTCTCAACGACTCGATGGGGCTCTCTAGGTATAAATTAGGGTTTTTCATGCTTACCCCTGAACCAATCTTATGTTATATATAAAGGAAACGATTTACCCTTACTCTTTCATATGGATAATTTTACATACTTCAATTTTTTTTTCTCTTTCCAATTTACTACTGTTTACTTTTTTACAAAGGAAAATAAGCAACTTCTCTTTTGATCTTGAACCGTTGAAATCCAACTCTACTACCTGAGAAGATGGAAAATCGATTATGTTTTCTTGAACTATCAAATCATGTAAAAATCATCCTAGACTGGATCCTTACTTCTTCTCAGACTAGGAACACTTTTTGAGAAGCTCCAATGCTGCTTGAAAATTTGCTCACTGGTACATTTGATTAAGAGTTCAGCTTGATGATAAAGCTGTTCCACTCTTTAAAACCTCGATTACCATACTTCTTCTCATTTGTCCTTTTTGAGATGAACCATGGTGAGAAACCATGATCTTAAACAAACTGGTTTTTCTTCTTGAATAACATTATACTTTCAACCCTAATCCCCACTAGTAGTTGTCTAAAAATGCAGTTAGAAAAGCTTGGTTAAAGGCTTAAAGCAGAAACATCGTTATCAAGGCCTTGCTTCGTGAGAGAAAGATGAACTAATGAAGTTTTTTGGAATTTTATGAAGTTTGTTTTTTCAATTGGTCGCACAAGATTCAGGCAAATAGAACAAAATCTCAAAACCAGAAACTATTTAGAAATGGATTGTACAGAAGTAAACTATTCTTGGGTTCACACAAAATAACAATAATTTATTTGCATCACCAAGACCAAAGGGGAAAAGAAAGGTCATCGTCTCAAAGAGAGGCAAACTTGTCAAGACATAGTTGAAAGCAAAGTCTTGGTTTGGAAGAAAAGAGAAACGGTCTCTCGAACTCGAAGTCAAGATGGCTAGAAAGATGAAAAACAAAATATCAAAATTGTTGGTATAGAGTTCCCACTCGAAGACTTAAGCTTGATACTGATTCACCACACAACTGATCTAAGAATGCTGCAAAAAACAGATTGAATGTAGAAGATAGAGATGATGAAGAGAAGAAATAAAGCCCTTTGTTACAGCCTTTGTCTCTCACCGTCAGCGGCAAGAACAAGCTCTGTTTTCCCCTGTTTTCTCTCCTCACTCCTCCGTTTATAGGAAAAGACTTGTGCTCCTGAAACTTGCTCACAAAGCATCCTTGAGAAGCTCCAATGCTACTTGAAGCTTTCTCACTGGTAACACCTTAGTAAAGACCTCAGCTTGAAGATTAAAGCTGTTCAACTCTTTTACAACTTAATCAGACCAAGAAACTTCATCTTATAGTTTCCTTTAGATTCTCCTTTTAAGGAATCCATTGAACCACTTGAATAATTCTCAATATCAAGCTCACACTTAAGTGTCTTATTCGAAAATTTTCGGAAACCTACAACTCCTTTTTGAATGAACTTACCAACAGCTTTACTTGGCTTTCTTTCTTCTTGACCTCATCTTTATCAGTGAGCTATATCTCTTTAACCGTGAATCTTTGAACTAACAAAAAAATAGTTCTCTTTATAATTTAGTTTGAGATCACTGATTTTTTTAATATCATTAAATGAATAACCTTGTTACTTTATAATCAAAGGTTATCAGGTTCACATCATCATCGGAACAATTTTTATTTGTTGTAGTTGATTTAACACAAACTCAAACAAAGCAAAAACTATAAAACACAAAGAAGAAAGGAATCATAAAGCTCCAATCATTAAAATTATTTAAACCACCTTGTCTACAAAACAAAAACCAAGAAAAAAAAAAGGAAAAGAAGAGCTGCAAGAAAACCACTTGCTTAATGGATTTTAACCAAACTTGGAACATAATTGAAAATAAATGGGCAACGAGAACGTGGCTCGTTCGTAGATTTTTGATCAGAGGTTTGTGTGTAATATTTACCATCCTCTCCAATAACGTATACTCTGTATCAATATACTCCGTAGCCATAATAAACCATAGAACACAAGACCACTTTCTTCTCCTCGTCGGTTGAGAGACTCGCGGAAACAGAATAACAATCTTCTTGCAAGTCCACTGCAAAGGATTTGCTCCATGAAAACTCTGCTTCAGTATGAATTTTCTTGGTCACCCACATCTCCAATGTACCATTGCTCGTAATAAACAATGAGAGTTCTTCCCTAACAACTAATAGAATCAAATAATAACCTTCCTTCTGAAATGTCGGAAGACGTAGACTTCTAAATCTCTCTCTGGTGAAATCAAAGCTGAGTAAGAAGATATCATTCTCTCTTAATCTCAAGAAAAACCTATCCTCGTTAACAAAAGAATTAAAATGGGAACACTTTAGGTCAAGTGCACCTTTCAACACTACAGATGGTGGAACAACGTTGAGATGGATGCTCATTGGACAAAGCCTATTTGCGTTCAACATGAGAACACGAGACTGCTTTGGAGGTTCACGAAGGTGCTTGTTGGTGAATCTTCCGTCTTTGAATAGAGCGTTCCATCGTTTGCATGTAGATCGTAATCGTTTGAGAGATGTGGCCGGAACCCTAGACAGTATTTCCTCTATCAAACCCGCCGGAAGATCATATGTCATCATTTGTTTTTCTCTTTGTGATCTCAGATCTCCCAAGGACGAAGAGAGCGACTCCATGGAGCTCTCTTAAGTTATTAGGGTTTTGATTCTTCTTTTTGAGTGTGTCTTTTTTTCACGTTTGCACTAAACCAATCTTTGTCTTAAATATATAGTAGACAAACAATTTGATTTACTTTAGTTTGGTTTGATTAAGTTTGGTTTGACTGAACCTGCAAAATTTAAGTTCTTTTCAAACAACAATTGTCTAAATGAATTTTTTAAAGAAAAGCAACATGCTTCTGTCTTGGAAAAATAGCAAATACTTAACCTCTAGCCTCTAGGCCATTGTTAGGTAATTAGGCGTCTTCTTCTTGAGTTTCCTCTGCTTAAGCTTCACTTTAACATTAACACCATTATCAATGATAGCTTGAAGCACAACCTGAAGCTTACCTTCCACTTTATCTCCTTTCCTAGGAGTGTATATAACGTCATGTATATCATCCTCCAAACTTCTTTGAGCAAGAACCGTCCCAACCGCAGCGCAAGCCACTGCGTTCCTAGTCGAACCGAGATCGAACTTCATGTCTTTTGATATGGAATGAGCCACAGAGACAACCTTACTAGTCACCCTATGAATCACACATGCTCGAACCGAGGCCTTTGAGATGTAAATGTCTAAGCAAAACGGGTAGTGATAAGGAGCCGTGAGCTGGTTAAACGTAAGCGTCCTTTCTCTCTTCTTCACAGCTGCATCAAGATTATCCAATTCACCAGTGAAAGCGTTAATCTTTGGCTCGTCTCTCTTCTTGTATTCCTCACGGACTTGTTTATCACTCTTTGCTGTTTCTTTCTTGTTCTTCGTCTTTGTCTCTTCTTGGTTCTGCTTTTGCCTCTGGTGATTGTTCTTGCGGTGGAAATCGTAGTTGTATTCCTCGAACTCTTTTGACCCTCGATCAAGCTTGTAGAAAAGATCACCGCGAATTCTCATGTTATCGATCTCATCATTATCAAGATCAGGATCGATTGTTTCTCCTCCTTGCCTCGTAAAGGAAGAATCTTTTGCAGTGTCTTGTTGGAATTCTCTCCAGGCTTGGGATATAGATGATGAGACACTCCATGCGTCATCATCAACAGTCTCTATAGCAAAACCGGTCGAACCAACTGTATCTTTTCCAGTTTCACTGCTGGAAAACCTCGAGGACAAACAATGTGATGCTAGTCGAAATCGGGAGGTGAAATCCGGAAAACGGAGACAACTTCTTCTCAGAACCGTCAAAGACATTGAAGGGATAGAGAAGAATTCTGAATGTAGGTGAAAACAAACAGGTAAGGTTTCACAGAGACAAATCGTCGAACATCTTCTGTGCAAATGTTGGTAAAGAGAAAATCTCACCACTTGTTTTGTTATGCGTCTTGTATCGTAATAGAGCCTTAAACTTAAAAAGACTGTTGGGTCTTGATGCTCTGTAAAAAGAGAGATATCAACTTGTTTGATCAGATTCAAAGCAGATAACTTTCCAGAACAGAAACAGTGCTGTATCGATCTGTATGATCAGAGACGGATCTGAGTAAAGAAAGGTAGACGAAGAGACGATAAAGATTGGAGAATTTTGTGACAAAAGAGAAATTTTGTCTTTTTAATTAACAGAAAGATAAGTTGTTGACTGAATATTAGACATTACAAAAGAAACAGAGACGAGGAAAAGAAGTGAGTTTTTAAATATGTAACTAAATAAACACACAACAAGAGAACAAGCTAAACTTACTACTACTAAGAGTGAAAGAGAAATGTTAAGGCTCCGAAAATATTACAGACAAAACGACGACGTAGAGAGACACAAGATGCAGAGAGAGAGGCGTTGTCACAGTAGTATCAGTGGTTTTGTTGGGTTACCATCTTCCTTCTTGATTGAGTCATACTGTCTAATTCAGTAGTAAGCTTGCTGATGGTGAGGGTGTTGATGGTGGTGCTGATAATGCGGGTGGTAAACCGGAGGAGCCGGAGCAGGAACCGGACCGTTGCAATAACCGTTGTAAGCTGGATAACCGATAGGAGAGCCTTGGTACGAGCCAGGGATAAGCTCAGGCGAGTAAGGATAAGGCGGGCTCCTGTTGCTGTAAACAGTTGTAGGTGGAGATGGGTAAGCTGCTGGTGAAGCGTACTGAGGAGAGTGAGACGGTGATCTGATGAACGGGAAAGAAGAGACGTATGCGTTTGTGATACGTCCGGCTTTGCTGGTGGCATTGGACCGTTGTAGCTGGCTCGGGTTCTCTTGTTGGCCGGTACAGCTGCTGGTTTTCTCTTCTCAGTTTTGGTCTTCTCTAGCTGATCCAACCGCTTCTTGAGGTTCTCCGGAGGGAAGTCTTCCTCGAGTTTGTACTCTTCTATGCATTTCAAGACCGCTCTTAGCGCTGATTGCTCCTTGCGGGCCACGAGATGCTTAGGAAGAAAACAAGTCAAGGCGTTTAGTTTAGACACTGTTAACACAAGTATGTTTGGGTTGCAACATGAATGAGTTAGATACCGTAGCTCGGCCAGTATTGCTGGAGTCTTCCATGATAGAAGCTGCTGTCTTCTTTGCGTCTCTTAGATAGGCTTTGAGTAAAGGAACAGGAGGGAACTTATCCACAAGACCAACTTCATAAGTAAAATGAACTGCATCAAGCTGTTGTCCTCTGGTGATTAACTCCTCAATCATGTCTGTGGAAAGCATAACAACAACTCGAGCCATCATTCATAAGCTCAGATATATTCTTAAAAGGCTTAAACTTTACACAACCTATGGTCAATTCTAATCTGGTAATGAAAGAGCATTCTTTATCAGTACCATCCACAGGGGAAGCCAAATTCAATGGGAGAGAGTCTCAATGTCCAATGGAACTAAGCTAAACATTAACCATGGCAAGATCATAAGAAAAGGGAAAAGTACGAGTTTAGTGCTTACCAGGCATTTGATCACCTAAACCAACTGAAACAGCAAGCTTTGGCATCTGTTTGCGCCACGCGGATCCAACGACAAGCTTTCTGTACAGAGCAAGATCTTCTCTTTTAACAATCCCAAACGTCACAAGATGTTGCAGAAACGTGTGCACATCAGGAGTCTTCACGTTCTCTATCCTTCCTCTCTCCTCCAAACTCGCCTTCCACGTCTCTGCGATCTCTTTAGCCTTCTCCTTGACGCTCGGAGTAACAAGCAGCCTCGATTTCCCGATCACTGGATCGACCATTACAGGTGCTAAACTCTCCAGAATCACCACACAAGCCCATCCGAAATCGTTGGTCACTTTCTCCCCTGATGCTCTTTTATCCACCGGAAAAACCTCAGATATCGCCTCGAGCACTAACATCGCCGGATCCACACAATCCACAAGCGCTGCCGGAATCTGTGACCGGAGATTCTCAAGTTCCTTTTTCCTCGCCGTCACGAAGTCCCAGAATCCTCTAGCGTCCATCTTCAAACAAAGTGATTTCAGCGCGGAGAGAAGCCCTTCGTCATCGTCGACCTCGCCGGAGGAGTCATCTACATTAGAACCACAATCTCTAGCTTTCTCAAGCGATTCCAGAGCAGCTCTGGCTCGTTCCCCGACTTTTCCAGCGACGATCTCGACGCTGTGATCGATTGTAACCTCCCTGCGCTTGAGCGACTCAAGCGAGGTCTGCGTCTGGTTATCTAAGGTCTCAATCATCTGTTTAAGCGCCTCAGATTTCTTCATCAGATTCTGCTCCAGCGAAGTGAAGTGATCGGAGAGCTCCTTCCAGAGAAGAGTGCAGCTCGTCATCAACGACGTCTGTCTCTGAAACTCCTCGAAACTCGGCTGAGTTAACTCGGTCAACTCGCCTGGATCGGGGACCGACCCCATCGTCGGCGTAAAACGGAAGCTAACGAGCTCAAACTCAGCCGATTCGATAACAGCGAGTTAGCGAGAGAGAGAGAAATAAATAAAACAATCTCGAAACAGTAGAGAGAAGGTAACGAAAGTGTTTTTGGAGTGAAAAATTGCAGAAAACCTAGAAATGGCAAAAAGTTTAGGGACGAAGATAAGAGAGACAAGAACAGTGACGTGGACAAGTCAAAAGAGCGACACGTCTCGGTGGAGTCTGATTAAAGGCGCGATAAATGAGTGCCCTTCTAGATTGCGCCAGGAGATGCGCAGGTTAACAACACTGTGCTTGCTATCGTGAACGGGAAGATGCGTATGATAACAGTGTTGGGTGGTGACGTGGGATAAGGGCGTGTTTGGGATGGTGGCAATAAGTATACTAAGCTTTGCTTTATCGCATACCGAAGTTAGATCGCTTAAAGAACAAAAAAAAAAGGTGAAAGAGATAAGTGGGCCAGGCCCACTGACCACCACATGCGTTGAGTCGGAAACCAGTGAAGCATTTGCCGGTTAAAATATAAATATAAAATTGATAAAACTATAAAGTAAAGGAAAAAAAAATGTTGGCCTAATTAATACTACTATTAATTAGGAAAACACATGTGTATGTATGAAGATCTTTTTAAAGGCTGTAAATGAATCAGTCACGCGTGACAATATTTGGACCGAATTTTTGTGTGTTCTAAAAACGTGATTATTAAGCAAGCCACAAAGAGACTCATTACACATTTACACTTAATATTTTATTAGTTTTGCTAATCTTCGTACTATGTTTTAATAATATATTGTGGTATCAAACAGAAGCATAAGATAACAACAATTTTGAATTTTGAATTATTAAAGCTATTACGTTTTGTTTTTTCCATCATTAGAATTGACATATCCTACAAACTTTTTTCTGTGGATATGTACAAAATGTAAAACGAGACAATGACATATAACCCATTATTGAAACATCCTTACTCTTTTCGTCTTATTGGTAATATATAACTCATTTTTCATTATAAAAGTAATTAGAGAGAGAGAGAGAGAGAGAGAAAACAAAATAAGAATGAGACGAATTATGGAATTGTCGACTAACAATTATCTAATTAAACGGGTCCGCAATGGACGGCTACAAATTAACCGCCGTTTACTGTTTACGCTTTACAGAAAAGGTAAGGGGAGAAATTTGAATGTGGTTAGGGAGATATCGAATCCAAAAGGGATAATGATCTATAATTCATGCACTGATTTGACATTAGTCTAGCTAGTCTTATAGTAAATTATTAAGACATTGCACAATAGTCTTTTTCATATATGTTTTTGTTAATATTGATTATATGCATTTAACCCTTATCAACTACAAAAAGTACTTTGTCCTATATATAATATCGTACATTTCAAAATTCAATCCTCATTGTTATGATGGTAGTTGGTGGCCACACTATGATCCTATGCATGTTAATAACAATTATTACATGCAAGTATGCAACCTTATCATACCAAATAAAAAGTATGCAATCTTAAATTAAATCAATCAAATGGTTGAAGAATGTATATGAATTTTGATAATAATAATGAATACATATCTTACTTCTTTGTCAATCTATATGACACAGATTAAGAAAATTAAACACTCATCTCATATACAAGGCAAAAATGTAAAATTTGTGGTAGATGTTAGAGATGTCATTCTAATTACGAGTGATGATGTAATCGGTCAACAAAATGTAAATTCTAATCCAGAACTGAGTCGTGTTTGATTAAAGAAACCCGACTTTTTAAAAAGCCGGAGTTGATAAAACTCCTTAGAGAAAAGGTTAGGTAAGCCAGAGAGAACCAAATATCAGATGAAGTTATTAACACACAAAAGTAGAATGAAAATCAATAAACCCTTTATACCTAACATGTCATTTAAACGAGTTGAATAGAGTAAGAATCATTAATCCCTTTATACCTAACATGTTAATTAAACAGAGTCGTAAATAGATATAGAGAAACAAATTTTATATAGTGGTTGCCAAAAGCCCCCACAAGATACAATGCTTCGTATCTGAAACTTAGTTTTATCCAAATTCATTAAAATCAAACAATAAGAAGTTACTCCCTTGCTAGACATTGTCACCAATCTATGGTACCAAAAAATATAAAGCAGACAACACTGACCCAATGTCCTACATATCAAATACATATACTAAAGGCACTAAGATAACACTGTTCCGTTCCATACTCCACATTTGATAGGTGATTCTTATCTTTTCTTTCTCCATTTAAGCAAAATAAAAACGTATACAACCATAGGACATGAAAACTTCTAGGTAATGTGAGTGAGTAAGAGAGAGATAAGAACCAGTTACTTTTATTAGCTGGCTAAAGCCTAAAAACAACATGAAGATATGAGAAAAAGGGAAAGAAGAAAGAAAATAAAAGCATCAAAAGCACCAAGCACTATATCACAATGTCTTTCCAACTTCCAAGGATGTTTTGTTAAACAAAAGCTTGTATATATCAGCCCACTGGGGTTTGACGATATTACTAGTCTATATGCAACGTGATCACTGAATCAAGGAGATCAAGGAAACCAAGAAATTCATCCATCTAAAAAAACAACAAACTTTGCTTTCTCCTTTCGAGTTTTTGGGCTTATAACTAAGAATCCAGATTCAATAGGTAATAAATACCTTTAAAGTAAAGTGTACCTTTTGTGGGAGAACTATAATTTACTTTGATCCTGGGAGTTCTCTAAGGCTCTCGATTGTGGTTTTCTTCTTTGTTTCCATATCGACTTTATCCAAGTCTGCTATGGTCGCAAGATAACCATAAAGGACTCTCTTTTTCTCACCCGTCCTAGCATCAACCTCGACAAGACTATGGTTTTTCTCATCATCTTTGCCTGGAGTGAATGGTGGTAATCCGAACCAACTCTTACGTCCACGGTTCATCTTCTCAAAGTATTCGGCCATTCTCATAGCTTGCCTGAGCCCTGAATCGTCTCCTGCAAATCTGAAGAGGGTAATTCCCAAATGACCGTCTCTTCCATACAGTGACTTTGATTTCCCACCGGTGAGTTTTAGTTCTGTAAATACAGATAGACATCAAAACGAAGGAAGGCAATATGTTTCATCGAATAGGCCAATAACTAGATACTAGTATGTGCACACAATTCATTAGCTTATTCACATTGCACACTTTGGAACCTACTGTGACACAGCAGAAGTTCTGAAACTGGAAGCATTCCTAAAGAAAAGGGCAGGGAAAATGGTAACCCAACAAAGTTCTGTTGAAGAAGCTTGTATACTTCTTAGACCACCATTTACTAGATTCTGATATTGGGAGGAAGTGAAAGAAAATTCACACCAGAGTTGGACATTATTCTACGGCAAGTAATAACATTTTCCAATTCATAGAACCACAGAGAAACATAGGAGAGAAATGGGCAGGGATCTAAGGAAAGTGAAGGATGTACCTGAGAAGGAATGTCAAATGATACTAAAATTTTGTTAGGTGCATGACTCTTACTTAAGAAAACCTATCCGGGAATCCTTCTAGTGTTGTCAAAACACAGAGAGGGATTTGGATCTTCTGAAAGATCAAGGAAATGATTATTGTGGCACAGAGTTAGGATAACAAAGAGATGCCACATCATTAAGACTACGGCAGTCATCTCTAAGGCTCTGAATCTAAGTCTAATTGAGGGAGATAAACTACTTTTACGTAAAATAAGGGGGGAAAAAAGTGAAGAGAATCCTAAGGTGCGGATTAACCAATGCAAGATTCATGAACTTTGCCAGATGGTGCTGCTCCGGTATGTAAACGCAAGAAATAGGAATGAAAGGCCGCATGTTATACCTCTGATTCTGTTATCCATTCTTTTGCTTCCAAGACCTTCCATGCGCCCATCTTTACCCTTCCCTGTACTGGTATTGTGAACAATTATATGAGGTGGCCAAATAATCAACTGGTCTTGATTGATTGCTGCCACTTCGGCTGGTAGATTCTGGTATGCCTTTGAATTATCAGGAGCCTTTGAGAAATTCCATCCCATTAAAACACAGAGAGCTTTGTGAAGGCCTAAGTGATGCACGCGTGAGCTGGCATCATCATAATAGTATGTATGCATAACCAAACCATGTGTATCCTGGACGTCTTTAGGAGACCTGTGTTTTAGCATAAGTCGAATTGGAAACACTCATTCAGATTCACCGCAAAAAGTACAGTAGTCTGAGGTTTAAAACTCAGAAAAATCAGAACCATGCAGTTAATACCCTTCAATGTGGAATAAGATAATAATAAACGTAAGCTACAAACTAGGGTCATAATTGATGCTAGGAAAACATATAACATAGGAATAACACATAAACCTCCGCGCAATTATGAGGAGTACATTATAACATAGTAGAAGGTTGAAGAACGTTAAGGTTACAATTAAAGGATTTAGAGAACTTTACAGTAAGCTTTTACATCCAAAGAAGCGTATTCAGTTAAAACGAAAGAGCATTCAAAATAGGTGATTTGCTACTAAAAAGTCTACTAATCTAGCACCCTTGACACTGATTGGAATGACCATCTAAGCGACCATTCATTCATCATTTCAAACTAATTGACAACCTCCATCTAGTTATCAAGCTAGAAAAAAATTAGATGGAAGTGTGTACAATTACAAAGAAATGTTGAAACTTATGTTAAGAATATGAACTCGGTCAACTTGAGATGCTGGATTCATGGAGAAATCTCCAAGAATCACAAGCAAGGGCAATAAGGAAGAGTAAAAAATGCCCAGCAGACGCTGAATACCAGATACATGGAGCAAAGACTTTGTTATGTGACCATGAGTAAGCAAATTAAAACGCAACTGAAAATTGCTCAACTCAGATTCCAAGTTGGCTTACTACTGATAAAAGGACGCTGATTTAAGGGTCATTACCACTAATAAGAAAGAACTGTATCATGATTACAAAAACTCAAAAGCAACTATATATCTGATTTCAAAATATAAATAATCCTGAGTAGAAAAAACAGTAATGCGGGTGACCAATAAAAAAAATAGCATAGACATCAGCACCCTTTTAAACAGCTGCAAAAAAAGTACCATTATACTGTACTATGTATTAAAAAATAAGGCTCCAAAAGGCGAGGACTAATAACTTGAGTCGATAAATATCCAAAAAAAAATGAATATGAACAAAGATTAAAACAAATGAGATGCAACATTAGTTCCAGAAAAAAGAATCAACTAGAACAAAATAGAATTTAAGCCTAGTGCCTACAGGCTGCAGTAAGAAAACCCGCAACCTTTTTCTGCTTTAAAGCGAGTAAAAGAGCAGTAGGTACAAAGAAGATGAGAACTAAGTTAAGCAGTCAAAGTAAAATAGCTAACTTAAATCATCTACGAGGCTTTTCGGTAGGGAATGAACCCAAAATCAACGTGTTGTTAAATACATCTTAAACAAGGAACAAGATTGGGAAGCAAACAACGATAAGCTAATGTACACATTTTGCTAACATCACAACTACTAATGCATGTCAAGATAAGTGCAATATCGTGAACAAATTAACATACTAAACAAACAGAAGTAACAAAAGTATTCCAGGTTTTTAGTGTTCTCTCTTACTTTCTTCATGTTCATTTAGCCATCTAAGACACAGTTGACCAATTAAAGCAACCATCAAGAACAAGGTAATAAGAGTCTCCAACACAAGAAAACCGCACCTAATCAAAAAACAAAGACAGGAAACAGATTGAAACCTATCAAACCTGCCGCAGACGAGACACTGAAGCGGCCCTGTACTCCCGTTCTCCAAGTAGTTCTTCTTCTCTGAAGGGTCCTCATAAATCCGCTTAACATAACCCAAAAAAGATTTCTTTAGCGCAACCTGATCAACCTGGAGATAGTTAAGCGCCTGACCTCCATTCTCATGTCTACTTGACCCTATCCGCATATGCTTAGCTGCTCTGGCATCTTCTCCAACATCCCTCGTGAACGGACTACTCGTCCTCGCCATTAGTGATTGATCATTAGGATTCCCATAATGCATAAACTGATGTCTTTGTCTCAGCATTTCACCTCTTTCGTCCCTCTCCCTCCTGTCAATTTCTTCTTCACCTGGAAATTTCCGTTTCATCGACCCCTCCGGCCGATCCCATAGCTGCCGCTGATCTCTGAACTCTTCCGGATGAAAAGGAGGGAATCGGCTAAATTCCGGTCCCATAAATCTATTAGCAGCCGGATCAGCAAGTCGGCTTTGGGAAGGAGGAAAATCACGGTAATTAGGCGGAAGCGCGAAGTAGGATCGGACACTGCCGTCAACGAGAACGATGGTACGCCGCTCCAGCATGTGGAACCCATAAGTCGGCGCAGGAGGAGCACCGAGCGCCGCCGACGAATCTGGGAAAGCAAATTGCGACGCGGGGAAAGCGGAGCCAGGAGCGGGACGTGAAGATGGTCCTGCTGGATTTGGGTGATTCGGATAGGATTGGCTCGGCGTCGGAGCTAGCTTAGGAGAAGGATTCGGCTTCGGAAGTTTATTATCGGCGACTTTCTGGCCACCAGTCATCGGCTTGTTACTGTTATTGTTGTTGTTGATGTTATTTTTGCTGCTTCCGCCATCGTTGTTGCTCGATGCCCAACGAGATTTACGGTCATGCGAAGAAGACGCAGCAGCAGCGGTGGGAGTGGAGGATGCCGGAGGCTTGTTCGTCGACGACTTGGCGTTGTTGCCTCCGACCATCCTTAATGGCCGTGAAGAGGTTTCGATCTTCGTAATTCAACGATTCGCTTAGGATGAAATCTGATCTTCGATGGAAGAATCGTAAAGCTAAAGGTTTCAAAAATTCGAGGATTTATTTAGGGTTGTGTTTCTGTGAATTTCTGAAACCGTGATTGGCTCAATCATTAGAGCGCGAGGAAGACGGAACTATCCTTTAGAGTCACGAAACGGCGTCGTTATATCAATAGGAAAAAAAAACGTTGTCGTTTAAATAAAAACAGTACATTGACTTTTCTCTACCAAATTACAGAGTCCCCTTCAAGTTGCAGCTAAGTTTCTGAGTTGATACATGATTTTCAAACGCAGAGATACAAAACGCTCTTCATTGACAGATGGATCCATCGACTATCCAAAATGTGTGATCTTCACTCTATTCACTTTTTGCTCTTCACGCTTCTGCAAACGAACAGAGTCAATATCCAACAGGACATTTGGCAACATAAGCTAGTTGATGATGGCTCGTGAACGAGTGAATCCGTGAGCTGTCTTGCTGCTCAGCTCTCAGGACCGTGACAAGACTCCTTTTGAACTGCAAAATCGACGCAAAACAATCACACTTCAAATGCGTTTTCTTATAATAATACATTATTCACATCAAACAATAATCTCTCAGCAAGACAACAAAGATGCATCCACAGGATCCACAAAGTGTATATGCTTTTAAACTGAAATATGAATTGATAACTCGTCTTCTATTGACATAAAAATATTTTCTCATTTTCTGTGGTAGAATCATATTCTAAATAATTATTATCCTTTGCTTAGTCTATGTCTAAAAATGTGGAGGAGGATAAGTCAAACCTTGGTATCGACCCTCCACGGCGAGGATCATTCTCTGTTGCTTGTCGTAGAGCCCTGGCAAAGGCCTTGAAGGTCGCCTCTATTATGTGATGAGAGTTTTCACCAGCAAGCTATTGTAACAAAAGATTGTCAAGAGAATGTTGCCAAGCAGATTGTAGAAATTTTCTTTTTGGTTTCAGAAGATTGAGATCACAATACCTGCCGGATGTGAAGTGTCATACCGGAAGTATTCACCAACGACTGGAAAAAGTGCTCCACCAACTACAATTAGCAGAAGTACGATGATTAGCACATAAACAACGAATAGCACATATAAACTAAAAAGAGGAAAACTCGAGGAAAGAAGAACCTGAGTGTCGTAAGTTCCAACTCTCTGGGTTGGAATCTCCAAGTTGTAACCAAGATATGGTCTACCAGACAAGTCCTGCATGCAATAGGTTTTTGTTTCATTATAAGCAGTAAGCAAATTTGGGGAACTATACAGTAATGAGAGAAAAAAACACAGATTCAACCAAAAGTTTCACACTTTTTTTTTACCAGGGAAACATGTATAAGCGCTTCATCTAGAGGAGCTGTGAAGTCACCAAACCGGTTAATCCCTTTACGCTCACCAAGGGCCTTTAACAGAGCCTAGAGAAGAAACAAATACCCAGAGATTACTTTACAGCACAGCTTCCCTAGGAGAAAACAACATACCATTTGCTCAAAGGCGTAAGACGGTAAGTAACACTTACTGTTCCAATGGCAAGAGCTATATCTTCATTCGTGTGATGGTCATCGATGTGAACATCACCAGTAGCTCTTACGTGCACATCAAACAAGCCATGTGAAGCAAGTTGCTAACCAAGGAAAGACAAGAAAATGAAACACAAACATTACTCAACATTTCTAATAATGAATCGAACAAGTTCCTTTCATTGAAACGGCCGTGCTAAGCTATCTTTCAAGGGGATTTTATATCAGAAAAAGCAGAAAGTTTAACAAATCAAAACCGCAATAAATCCAAGGAAAAACGGGCAAAAAACACGTACATCTAACATATGGTCAAGGAAAGGAATTCCAGTAGAACTATCAGCAACTCCATTGCCATCCAAATTTATCTTCACTGACACATTCGTCTCCTTTGTTACTCTCTTCACTTCTCCAATTCGAGCTAAAGAGACGATTTTGAGTGAGAAAAAACAAAACTTGACCAATAGGAGTATCAATGAAGAAACGAGCTTTTCATCTCAAGCCATATCTAGTCCCGAAACTGACCTGATTCGATAGAGGAATTAGAAGAATTAACCCGAGAAACATTCTCGCTGGGAGCAGAAGCGCAGGAGAGAGATTTGCGAGGCTGAGATTGAGATTCCATCCGCAAAAACCGGGGGAGCGAAGAAGAAACGATCGACGTTCTCCGAGGAAGCAGACCCATAAACCCGATATTGGGTTTCACAAGCTGAGCGGAGGATTGACCAAACATGGCGGACGCAGAAGACAGCTCCATTTATCGGCAGCGGAAGGAAGAAGAAGGAGAAGGAAGACCCACAGGGAAAACCGAACAAGAGAGAGCAGACAACTGTGTGTATGCTAAACGACGACGCTTCCGCTCTCCTTGAGCCAAATCAGAAGAAAATCAGAGTCTATATTAATTAATGGAACCGGTACATTAGAACCGATAATTCGTGTGGCGCGTAGAACAGCACAATTACAAAAACTTATAAAACAATTGAAACCAATTCGGTTTAACAACTGAAAAAAAAAAGTTGAAAACTTTGTATAACCCAATCCAGAAGTTAAACCAGACTAACTAGGTGAATATCCACACATATTTGCAGATTTTTTTCTTCAACTATTTTAAATTTATATTTTTTTTTTCTTTGAATAACCAATGCTATTGGAGATAGTTTCTCAACATGTATTATTATTCCAAACAGTATATTTAATGCTGCCTAAAGTAAAAAATTTCAACTCTTTAATAAGAATTTCAGGGTGTTTTGCTCCAATGGTAAAATCTCAAATCCACTCTTAAAAAAACTTATAAATTACATTATAGTTTTCAATACAAATAATAATTAAAAACAATGATAAAAATTTCATATATACATAGAAAATATACATTAAACAAATATTACATGAAATACTAAGTAAAAGATTTAAAAATACATATAAATAATCTCATAGTAGATAATAGAGTTTTAATTATTAATCAGTATCCGCTCTGATTGGATATCCAATCCGGTAAATTCTGAAACAAATATCGGTGTAGTTTGGATACACATGATAATAGAAAATTTTGAAAACAAATATCCAATATCCTTTTGTTAAGTGTTTACTTATTTTTGATAATATTTATTTATTTTTTAAAATTAACTTTATAAACTTTTTGAATGATTTTTAATTGCTATTTTTTATCTTTTGCTATGATGATTATATATTTTAGTTATTTGTGGTATTTTTTTAGAATCTATATATTTATTTGTATAGTGATTTGCTTACGTGTCGTGCTCACAGCGAGTTTCACCGTTTTTTTGCTTACGTGTCAGCTCCACAATCAGTTTCGGCCGCAAAAAGATCGTTTAGCCCTATTTTCCAATGACGTGTTATTTTTTTATTTTGTTTTTTATCTGATGACGTGTCCAAAAAAAAACTTAAAACAAACCGGTCTAAATTATTATGGTTAATGATTAATTTCGTACTCAATCAAACCGCTTTTAAAATTAGTTTAATTAGAGAAAAAAACCCAAAAACGTTTTTTTAAAAAAATTAGAAATTTACCATTTAATGTCTTCGAAATAAACAAGAAATCTAACTTAAAATAAACTTGTCTAAATTATTATGGTTTAATGCATAATTCTGTAGTCAATCAAACCGTTTTTAAAATTTTATAAACCGAAATTTAGAAACAATATTAACAAAAACGTTTTAAAAAAAAACACAACAAAACGTTTAAAAAACACAAAAAATGGAATATATATCTCTTAGTAATTACCATTTTTTTGTTTCCAAAATTTAGAAAAAATCTAATAAAAATGTTTTAAAAAAAACAAAAAATGAAATCTATTTAAAAAATAATAGAATGTCATTTAAAAAAAACTAAAATTTAACAAAAAATCTAACAAAAAAGTTAATATATATATATATATATAGTTCTAACTAATAGAATGTCGTTTAAAAAAAATCATCTCTAACTAATGGAATATCGCTAATGTTTATAGGGTTTTCGATTTCTTATGATTTAGTATAAATATCAACTAATTTCTCTAATTGTCCCACAACTTTTTAAATTGTCTAATCTCTTCTTTCTTCTTCATTTTTACTAAAAACTCATGGAGTCATCAGGTAAACATGTACTAATGTTTTTCTAAACAAGTATTAACATATACTATAACCTATATAAATAATGTACATATCGTTCTATTTTTGTAGCTGTTAACAATCACTTTTCAAATTTAATAAAACAGAAAATTTAATAAAATATTAAAATGTAAAGAAATCTAACAAATAAAATAAATGAATCCAAACTAATATTAATTTTTTAAACATATACTATATAACCTTATATAAGTCATATACATATCGTTCTATTTTTGTAGTTGTTAACAACCATTTTTCAAATTTAATAAAACGGAAAATTTAATAAAATATTAAAATGTAAGGAAATTTAATAAATAGAACAAATAAATCCAAACTAATATTAAATTTTTAAACAATCAAATTGATAAATATATTAATCCGCGCAAGGCGGGGGAATATTCACTAGTTTTCAAAAATTTAAGATGTTTTTTTAAATCAACAAAACTGGATATCAGAATTCGATATCCGTAAATATTCAGAGTTTATAAAATTACTTATTAGCGTTTATAAAATCTTTTATAAAAATTTATAAGATTACATATAAAAATTTAAAAAATTACATATAATTGTATATATGAGAACCACTCTTAAGATTATAAAAAAAAGAAACTTATTCATGACTGAGGCACTCTTTTTACCACATTATTAATATTATAATAAAAATTTGAAATTTTGTACACTTTATGTCTTCATTTAATTTCATTTTCATGTTTATTGTTGTGTAACTTTAAATTTGTGTTTAAGTTTTTCAATGTAATGTTATTTTTATGTGAAATTAATTTTGAATACTGTATAATATTTGTTCTATATTAATAATTTAATTTTAATTTTAGTCAATTTAGAATTTTAGATGATATAGTTGATAGATAATTATATATATATGAAATATTTGGTTATATAGACTAAAAAGAAAGTAGAAAAAAAATAATAAAACTATTTTTATGAAGTACAAAACTACAAGGATTAAAAAGATATGAAAAAATGTGTTTTTGAAGTTTTGAATAGTAAAACCTCAAATTTCAGATGTCACTATACAAAACTCCAAATTTAAGGGTATATAAAACTACAAGATTGTTTAAGATATTTATAAGAATAAATATAAAGGTTTATGGGATTAGTTATTTATAAGATTACTTATAAGCGTTTATAACATTTTATTTATAAGATGCACCAAAACACTAATTTGATCAATTCATCTCCAACCATGCACCAAAACACCAAATTTGGTGTTGATTCTTCTCCATTAATGCACCAAATCTAACATCAAAATTTTTTTTATTTGGTGTTTTGTGAATAGTGTTGCAAAAAATTTGGTGTAACACTATTCGCAACACCAAACATTAAAATATATTTTTTTTATTTTCTCATATAATTATATTATTATTTATTAGTTAATTAAATTATATTGGTTTAGGAGTGTAGGATCCATTCTTGTAATTTATATTTGCACAAAATATCGTTATTAATATATAAATAGATTAAGATTAAAAATACATAGTAAAGTTTAATTAAATATGTCAACATAAAATTACTGAATTAAAATAAATAAAAAACATTAAAAAAAAACAAAATACAACAAGATAATTTTAAAGACATAATATAACCTTAAACAATATTCTAATAGTCTGGATTACTATTTCCGCTAAGATAATAATAGCATGGGTACAATCTTGTAGGTCACTTGGTGATATGTGGTCTTCTCTTTGATTTTGTTCTCTTGGATATGGTGTCTCCTTAAATTTGTTCTCTTTGAATTGGATCTCCTTGATATTGGAATTCTCAATATTGAGATTCACGATATTGGCTTCGAGAACTTTCTCCATGCTCTCTATATTGGTTAGATGGCAGTCCTCTACTCAGAATTTCCGCTCTTTGACTTTTAATATGTGCACGCTCATTGAATTTCTGCTCTTTGATGTTCAAAATAATTATTATCTTATAATGGTTTAGAAGATTAATTATAAGGGTTTATAAAAATAATATGTGTATATATGTATATATCACTGATTCCAGCTTCTTTACTTATATTTTTAATATCTTTTATAGATTTATTACTTGTTATATTATTTTTCTTTTCTGTTTTGTATTTTCTATATTTTTATAATTTGTTATCTTTTCAATTGTTTGTTGATTGTTGTTTTTGGTATTGTGGTTTTTTTCTTTTTATTTTCTATTCTTTAGGTACTTGAAACTTGCTTAACCTATTGTTTCCATTTTTATCTCATATTTTTTTTTATTTTTTTGCATTGAGAATAAATTACATTTATTAGTTCGAAAATGAAGAATAAATCACAAAAAATTAAATGGTAAGATGAACTTAAAATCTGAAAATTTTTTTTATTCATATGTTTATGATGTTTTAAATTAAATTAAAATTTAATTTACGTTATACTTATAATATTTTAAATTAAAAATTAAATTTGATTTAAGCTATGCTCATGATTTAATGTTTGTAACATGTTAAAGTTAAATTAAATAGTTTATAGAAATTAATCATTGGGACAGATTTTAATTAGAGTTTACTTATATTTTAAATTTTTAAGTTCAACTTTCTATATCTCTTATCATTTCTTTTATATTTTTTTTTGATGATTCTAGCTATATAATAATCTTTTCTATTTTTTTTACTATTTTTATTGAAATCTCGATGAAACTATCATTTTTTCACTTTTTGCAATTTACTATTTTCATGTTTTGTTATCACATATTTTTCATTGATTATATCTATGTTATTCATGCTTCCATAAAATTTATATTTATTTGGTACTTTATTTTTTTTATGTCATGTTTTTTTTTTAATTTTGATAATTTATTATTTTTTAATTATTTTTGAATGTACTTTTGTGTCTAGTGATTTTCTAGCTCATATGTTTTTTTTTTTAAAAAAGAATATGTTCTTCAGTTTTTATAAATATTTTTAAGCTATTATTTTTATTGTTAGTTTTATTACTTATTTTTTGTGAATATAAATTATTTTTGTTAGTTTAAAAATGATAAGTATATCACATGGTAAAAAAATATTATTTTTTATTTATACATATATGACGTTTAAATTAAATTTGAATTTAATTTATATTAGTTTTATAATTTATTTTTTTACCATGATAAAAATAGATTAAATGGTTGTTTATATATATATAATATTTTAAAAATGCGTTAATAATAAGAATAAATGTTAATTTTTTGTTAGCTTTTAAATGTTGAGTTGTAGAGAGCCTTTTTTTATTTTTTATATATTAGATTAGATTGATATCCTGCAGTTTGTAGACACCTATTTCTTTACAAAGTTTGGTGGATCTCCATAGATCCTAAACCCACATAATTAGTTTTTAGCTTTGATACAGTTTATAATTGTCACAATCTAAATTTAGTTTCTGGTTAATCAGGTAACAAGTCGACTGAAGTTAGAGCACCTCCATCAGAGGTTTATGGCACAAAAACATATAAATTTGAATTAAAAAATAAATAAAAAATGGCTCAAAAGTTAACAACCGATTGTTAGCTAACATACCCAAGTGTAGAGTTGTTAGGCGACGTGGTCACTTCTGATTGGCCAGATTTTATTTTATTTTAATTTTTTTTATTTAAATCAAAACTCTAATTTAAAAAAAAAACATTCTTAAAATATTCTTAACAACCCAAATGAGGAGTTTAGTGCTGGAGATGCTCTTATATAACAAAAGTTAACAATGTTGCAAGTTTAATTGTTGACCAAATAAAGAAGAAAAAGTTTTTTATCTTTCTAAAGAAAATTTTTAAAATGCTGCAAAGTAAAAATAACTATATAATTAGACATTTACAAATTTCATATATCAACGGCGTCGACGGGAAGCGAGATCGCCCTACAAAGAAGAGGCGGCGAAGCTGAAGTTCCGATCTCAAATCTCTCCCCAAACGCCGTCGTAACAGAGATCTCCGTCGGTTTCTCAAAGATCGTTTGATCTCTAACTCTCGTAAGCTGAATCCTATGCCTTGCCTTAAGCCATCTCAACTCTCTCCTGATCTCATTCTCCGACCACCATTCACCTTTCACCTTCCTCCTCCTCCTCGGATTCAAACTCAAACTCACCTGTTCTTCTCCGTCGTCAGAACGAGAATCTCTCAGACCCCAAATATCCGCGTAATGAATCCCATTACCACCTTCTCCAGAGACAACAACATCGCCTCCGTGTTGCTCTTGTCCTTCCACTTGGTAACTAATCTCCTCGAACCTACCGTGAACTGAAGAACAGCTCCTGTCTTCAGAACAATCGAACTGATGATGAGATTTGTCTCCGGAGATTTCACTGTTCGATGATACAGTCTCTTGTATGTAACCATTCGAAGCACAATCCCCACAGAATCCTCCATTGTTGTTATTGTTGTTCACGTTTGAGTCACTTTCTGTAACGTTGTGATCAATTTTCCAATCAGGGACCAATGCAGCAATCTCCGCATCGATCATCTCTGCGATTTTCGTTACATCTTGATTCGTTATGTCGAGCTCAGAGACCATCTCAGAGGCTACACTCCACGCTGTATCGATCGCGGTTTCAAACGGGAAGTAAATGTTCCTTATCCGTCCTGTATACACATCAAAGTCGAAAGCTTTCTCTGTTTTGATCTTGGAACTATCAAAAAGAATGAAACTTTTTTTCTCGAAACAGAGGAATAGTAGAAGAATTTACCTTCTGCATCAGAGATTCTGAGCCTCAAGAATATCCCATCATTGCCGCTTCTCTTCCCTTTGATCGAAATGTCGACATGGTCTAACTCTTCATCACCAGCATCTTTAGCGAAAAGATCGATCTCGCATATCTGTGGCTCAAACTGATCATGAGGGTCAATCAGAGGTTGTCTAAGGAACACACCAGTTTCATCATAACCATTGTAGTAATCAGTTGGTCTCATATCAAATCCATCGACATCAACTTCCAAGAAAGGGTCTTGTAGAAGCTCCAAAGCCGTGAGCCTACACGTTACAGTAGCTAAACACTTCCCAACAAACTCTCGAACCTCAGGGTCCTTCACTAAGTAGAAAGCTTCAGGCTTTTTCCCCTGAGAATGTTCAAAAAATCAAAGACATGACTTTCAAGTTTGGCTTCAAAACAGCATACAAATGTCGATATACAAAGATCTCATTTTTACCGAGGTAACTTTCTTGTAGATTTGTGCAGGGTGAGTACACTCGCTATAAGGATAATCAAATGTGACGATCTCCAACACACACATTCCAAAAGCATACACATCAACCAACTCGTTGTATTCCTCATCATACACTTCTGGAGCCATGAACTCAGGGGTCCCTTTAAACACACAAAACATAAGGAGGTAGGTCCACAAAGTGTTTCAAGACATTCATTATTAAGCCAAATAAAGTTTAAAAAGTTTCAAAATTTAATCATGTGAAGCGTTGAATTACCAACACAACGAACTGCATGTGATTTGCGAAGAATCGCAGCGAGTCCAAGGTCCCCGATCTTGACTTCACCTTGGTTTCCATTGATGAAGATGTTGTCACATTTGAGATCTCTATGGATTATTGGAGGAGAACAGCTATGAAGATAGATAAGCCCTTTCAGAATCTGTTTACACCATTGCTTCACTGCTTTAATATTCACTCTTCTATGTCTCAACCTGTACCTACAAAGTTACAAAATCAAAAAAGTCAAAAAAAAAAAAAAAACTGAACTTTGAAGTACACATTTCAGATTTTGGATAAAGAACTAACAAAGACATAATTTTTGAGGGAAAAGAGTAAAGGGAGGAGAGAGGATTGCTTACTGTCTGAGAGTACCGGAGGTGAAGAGCTCAGTGACAAAATTGATTGCCAAATTGTTAGTATCAACCCAAGAAGTGTAGAATTTCATAATGTTTTGATGATTCAAGGTCTTAAGCAGATGAATCTCTCTGAAGAATTTCTCCAGTTCCTCAGGGTTCCTCGTGAAATTCCGAAGCTTTACTTGGTTCCATGCCACTTCTATCCCTTCGTACTCATCAAACGCTCTGTACCTGAAAATTGTTTTTAGCCAAAACCGAAGAACAGTGTTTCAGTAACCAAATCGTCCGTTAAATATATTATTAATTAGACAATAAAAAAAATGATTTGTTTTCTAAGTTGTGACTTTACAAGAGAACGTTTTCGGACGAAAAGAAAAAGTGTATTCGAAAGAAAGACAAAGAGAGAAGATGAATGTGATTACACTGTCTTCGAAGCACCTTTGCCAAGTATTTCATCGTACTGCCCAAACCAAACCAAATCAAAAACAAACAAAAAATCTTAAAAATCGAATCTTTACTATCAAAGGACGAACATTTTAAATTCATAAGAATCATACTCTTCCATATCTTCCAGAAGGATCAATTTCAACAAACTCAGAGCAATCTTCTACGAAGCTTTCTTCTCCGTTCATGGCTCTCTCTCTTCTTTTTTTTGTTCTTTCTTCTGCAACTTAATTTGGTTTTTTTTTTCTGGGTAATATCTATTCTTTGAACGAGAGAGATATTGGAATTTGTGGAGAAGGTAGAAGACGAAAAAGATTAAATTTTTAAAGGAGAATATAAGGAAACAAGTGGTTTTTTCTTTAGATGCCCACCTAGTGACAATAGCAGAGACAACAGATTAGGCTTCTCACCCAATCACCCTTTTACCAACACCATGTGTCGGGTTTAGATTTTACAAAACCGGTTTCAATTTTCGGTTTAACCAACCTATAAGTACTAAAATCGTACTGTTTTAGAATTAGATGAAAACGGCATTCAACTAACATTAGTACGCAACCATACAAAAATCGTCAACTCCAAATATTCGGACCAATTTTGTTTTTTCTTGGTTAACTAATATTTGTGGAATTTAAAGGCTTGTTTGACAAATTGACAATGGACAGATTTATACAGCTTGTGGAGGTGTGAACAAAGAATTTTAGACCACATACATTGATACATAAGCATTTGCGTTTTCATAAAGCTGGTGACTGGTTGGATAAGCTAAATTCCAAGAACCGGGTTATTGCAAAAGTAAAGAACCGGTACAGAGATAACCGAAGGAAATGCCAAAACCAACAACAACAAAATCGTTGGTTTATCGACACTTGGGTTTGTGTAAAGGTTTTTGTCGTATAGTGAAGCAAGTTCATGTCACGGGTTTGTGAGAAAGGGAAAGAGAAGCACATGGGAGTAAGTCACGGCAACACAGAGAAGTGAGTCTCTTTTTTGGTGATGGTGTTGTTGTTAAGACATTAACACACATTTGGACCAATTATAATCCATACTTTTTGTATTATCTTTAATTTACACATTCACGTAAAAATTATCTTTTTCTATGTGTTAAGGTTAATATGAAAACGAATACCAACAGATAACACGTAGTGTCAATCAAGAAAGATATAAACATTTTCTTTAGCTGAGAAAAAGACAAGAAACATTGCGAGTTTTAAAATTTGTAATCATTTAAGATATGAAAACCAGATGGATTAAAAGCTTACCAAGTATATATACATATGAATTATTAATTGTTGCTTGTACATTGTTTTAGGTTTTAAGACGACGATGTCGTAGTCTTCATAATTATTGATAGTTGAATTGTCTTTTATATATTTGTTAATATACCAGTTGTAGTCAAGATTAGGTACGGGTACATCTCTAGCGGAGAAAACACATGTATACTAGTAAGTCAAGTAAAATGTTATATAGACAGATTCTGGACGATTTCCACCTAATAAGACGCGTGATTTTTTTTTTTTTTTGCATAAAAAAATTTCGTTGTTCTTATATCTCTGTTGGGATCATTGCATTTTTGAAGGCTAAGACAAATGGTGTTCTCTTGTTGAACATCTTTGGTATTTCTTGATTGGACAAACCGAAATATCATTGTCTGTTACGAGTAATAAGCCAACGTTGCGGATACTTGTTTCTCCACAAGAAGTGTAAGAGTATTATTCTCTCGGTTTTGGCTGTAAGACTTTCCCTCCACCATTTTTGATGATGTACTCAGTGTCCACTAACACGAAAGGATAATTGCCTTCTTGTTGCATGGCCTTGCCAACAATGTCAGGTCACCATTTTAGGCCTATTCATTTTGGAAATTGGAATGGGAATCGCAAGAAAGAAATAACAACAGATAATTCAGATATTAAAAAATGTTACTGAAAGTATTTATTGATATTAAAAAAAAAAAACTAAAATGAAAATTTGGGTAACAGAATTGGTTCGAGAAATTCGGATAGTTTACCTCTTAAACTTTCAATACTTCGAATCAACTTTGAGACAAGTATTTAGATAGTTAGAGAAATTTTGAATTAATTTTTGATATTTTTATTCTTTTTTGAAGTTTTAATTTTTTAAAAATAATAATTGGGGAATCTCATCTTATTTCCGTTTCCATTCTGTATCTACTTGAATAAAATAAATAGTCTCCAAAAGAAAATTATTTGAACAGGATCATAAATGGGATGGAAAATTTAGAATGTGTGTGGGTCGGGATGAGAACACATTGCGAAATGGACAGGCCTACTCCATTTTATGAAGGTACACTTCAAACTGATTTGATTTCACCTTTTCGAGTGGCACGAGATGTCAGCAAAAGCGTTGGCATATATCGCATTGTTGTACGAAGTATAATGCATATCTGAGCTGAGTGAATGGATTTTTTAAAAATATATATATATATCAGAAACTATGTGAAATTAATATATGGTTAAGCATTGTATATTTTGGAAGTTTTTTATGTTTCGGGATATATGGTTAATTCTCGATTTTGAGGTCGACTAACATCTAAATAATTTTATAATTTCCAAGAATTGTAACTTGACGGTTTAAGACATGGTTAACGCTATAGTTACTGGTTTTGAAATTTATTAAATTTTTTTTTAGAATTTGTTGGCTATCGCTTGTAAACTAAAGTTTAGAAATGTTTAACTACGGACATTAGGACTCTAATTGATTATTTGTGGCTGGCGATAGAATAACTAGGACAAAATCAACTATCAAGGGCTAGGATTAAGCATGCATGGGAGTGGATTAGGTGCCTAATTGTATGTTAGTGTTATTGTTAGTCAATTGTTAATGCACTTAGAACCTAAGTTAAACCAAAACACACACCTTTCTTGTTCTCCTCATTACCGTAAACTCCCTTCTCTCTCTGAACTCGGGTATACTTACTCTCCTCCTTGTCTCTTCTTGTCGAAATAACCTTCAACAATTTGCACCGTGCGCAGTCGCCTTATAACTCATGTAGATGAATTCATGACTCTCTGATCATATGGGAGGAAGAAGATGGGGCCAAGAACTCTCGGACTTTCTTTGAAGTTTACCAAAAATCGCCATTTCCATTTTTTTTGTTTTGAATAAAATCCAGCTGAATTAAGGTACTGTCGGCGGCGTAGCTATGCAAATCTTAACTGTAAATTAGCGCATCATCCCCAACACCGACTAATTATGGAGGTCCGGAAAGACTATATGAATATCCTAGTGGTCAAATATATTAAATATTATAATTCTGCTTCCATGGAAAGTTGATCTCTGGCCTAGATCAATAGGGCAATTCTCACCAAAGAAGGGAATCACTCCACTCCTACCATTTAGTTGCTATTTCCAATTTACTATCAAATAAAATTTATTAATGAAGTCATCTTCTTAAGTTCCTCTCCCCTTCTAGATAATTAATCTGAAGTTGTTAACATGCATGCATAGAGATCTGATTTTAGGTGAAAAATGGTTTGATGCTCTCAGAATCTTCAAATCCTTCGGTCTACGGCCAGTCAACTCCGTTGACTATTTTCAAGTGAGTCTTCGATCAACCAAACTCCCGTGATTACAAGTTCCTAACTATAATGTTTGTAGTGCTTCATCTTTTAGCTTTCCGTCAAATGTTTACTATTTACCATTAAATATTAATTCATTTTTTTTTATATTGCATTAGTTTTTTTTTAAATTTCTTAAATAAGTCTGGAAGAAAATTGTTTTTATGGGTGTGTATAAATGAATTTTTGGTCATCAACAATATTGTATATAATATATTTCAAACAGATTTTTTTTTAGACAAACTCTGAATAAAAAAGAAGAAAATATCTACAATAGTGTGTTAGGAAAAAAAAGACCTATCTGATTTTCTAAATTGTTTTAGAAAAGAATAGGGATTGAACCTAAGTTGTTGACTATCTAAATTAAGAACAACCAACTTTTACCGACAATGATAATATAAAAAAAAAGTGAAAATTTCAAACTGTTTATAGTTCTAAACTTTTTTGTAGATGTCGAAACATATCTATTTCCTATTTTATAACTGCATATTCATTTCATATTGAATTTAAAAAGTTTATCTTTATTTTTCTATGGACTCATATCTTCTCGCATTTTCCTTTTTGAAGATCTAGCCAGATCTTGGTCTACATTTAGGAAGAAGATCAACTAGCTGTCGACAGTTTAATCGACTTAATTTTACTTTCTATATATAAAAGAGGTTTTCTAATTGTAGATATTAATTAGGAAATTTTTTAAAACACGTTTTAGAGAAGATAAATAATATTTAAAATGTTCCACTGGCAACTTAAATTTCAATCTCTTCTAACGACTATCTTGGTGTTACTGTTATACTACCTTTTTTTTTGTCGGCAACGCACCTCAATATAATATTGACTGTACTGTTATAACTTTGGGAACTTTCTTTTATTCAATGACAGTTCTTATTTAGAAACCATTCATTATAAAGAAACAAATTTTCACTTGCTGAGGCTTTATTTTGTACATTATGTTTTCAAATTTCCATAACATGTTTGGTATTATTTTTTTCAAAGTTTTTGTAGAATCGCATTATGTTAACTAATCCTCATCGATCTAAAATACATGGAAACCTGAAATCTGCCAACCAAAGCATGCCCGTTTATATATAGTGCTCACCATAAGTAAGTCTCACTTAAATTTAATCGTTATTGTCACATAATTAGTTACATAGACATATTCAATTTTTATCTCTTATATAAAACAATCTCTCTTCAGTCGATTTTTTTCCGTTGCGTTGTTTTTAATAAAAGATAAAAACTGATCTTAGCTCAAACCGTAGAAACATTTTGGTCTTTAGAATGAATGTTTTGATGTAATCCACACCTTGGACATTTAATGCGGCGGCCTTGTACCAGAAGATTTGTCTGATTTCATTTGGTTATACACTAAACAAACAAAACAAAATCGAATGTCGAAATCATCCCATTCTTTTTTTTTGGGTCCTAGTTCAGCTGATGAATAAATGACTAAGAATCGCAAAATGTTTGCCAACAAAAAAAAAACACAAAATGTAATCAAATACAATTTTCCAAATTCCAACTAACATCAAACCCAACCCAACCGACACAAGCCAAGACAATTCACCTTCTATTCACTCTCCTTTCCCCATCAACCTTTATCTTTTTATGTCTACCAATTATAGTAAACATATGGTACATCCTTACTTGCTTTTTTGCTACGCAGACATATCATATATATCATATTTTCATATACACATTCATGTTCATATCTAATTATTTTTCCTAATAATGCAATCTACATACCGATATTTACGTATATACGAATTTTATGGGAAAGAAAAGCTCAGTGTATTCATATTATCTATGTACAAGTGAGAAGAGAACATATATATGAATCATGTCCTTAACAAGTTTCTTCTTCGTTTCTGTCCTTGGGCATGAACATTTGATATTGAACCCTCCGAACCAAAAAGAGAGTAATGCAACAATAATGAAATGGAGTTTTTACTGTTTTTGTTGCAAAGTGTGTGGATGAGACTCCACGAGTATAGACCACAAAACATGCACATCTTCGTATGGACATGACTTCACGTCCTCGTATAATATGTATATTCCTCTTCCTGCGCATTTTCAATTTATTCTAATTAACATAATGAAAAGTGCACTCACACAGATATAGAAATATGATCATATTCCAAACAAAACTCATTTTCATAGTAAAGATCATATGACTCATAAAACCAAGAAAAAAAAAGGAAAACTATATGATACAGTCGGTCATCATATATATAGACACATGCATATAGATGTGGATATATACATAATGCTGGAAAACAGATATAGAATGTGTAGAGAGAGAGAGATATATAGAGAGAGAGCATACTCTTCTTTTGAGCAGAATTGACGCGAAACCATAGCTTTTTCAAGGGAGAGAAGAAGGAATTGAGCCACCCCATTTCTCTCATACAGTGCCTGAGGCTCTTGCAAATATGACAAATTAATTACACTATCTTTATATAGAGATATAAATAGATATATGTATATAGAAACATATATGGACCCAAATCAAGAAACCAACCAATCACAGTGCTCCACCTTGGATAATGAAGAATGAAGGTAGCCACATCAACGTGTTTGATATGTTCCTTTTTTAAGTATGGCCCAAGCCACCATCTCCATCTTTCTTTCCTTTCTTTTTTTTCTTTTTTCTTTTTCTTTTTATTTCACCATACAAGGTTTATTATTATTAAATAAGTTTTCACAATACTTTTAACCGTGACACATGGATCCCATCTTGATAAAATGTAGTAGTTTATTAGATTTCCGTCTCATGAGTTTTGATCAAGTATAACGCAATATCGAGGAAGAATGATGAAACTGTGACTTAATGTTTTATTGTGATGGGGTCTCTCTTGGTATTAGGTGTTTGTCAAACATCTTTCTCTCTCTATCTTTTCTGAAGCTCACTTGTGCCTCAAACAATTCCATTTCACCTATCATATTTTCTCTTCACACTTCTTCTTATTTACAAGATTATTATGTACCTAGAAATTAACTTGATTGATATGCAAGTACTCTCGTTAGTAATTGTGTTAACTTGCATATATGTTGTTCAAGACATGGAAACTTGTTGTATTTGATGTGTGGTTGCCTATATATTTAAATGTAGCTAACTGATAACTTTTTTTGTAACGTTGTAGTTACTAAAAAATCACATATTTATATTCATCTAGGTACGACTTTAACTCTACTGGTGTACTAACAGAACTTTCTATATAGAAAGCGCGCTTCAAAATTACAAGTTCGAGTTTCGATGGTGAAAAAAAAAAGAAAGACTAAATTAATCTGTTTTAGTATCTACTAAATTGTCTGTCTTTTTTTCTGCACTTATCGTGTTTTAAGTTTGATGATTTTCGAAAAGATTTTAAAATTAATGATTTTTAGGACATATTAAATTCGTAAATAATGGTCAATGAAGCTATAATATAATCAAATGTTATTAATCTAATTTAATATGGTCTTAGACCCCACAAAAGAAGTGCGTGGGGCCAATCTCAGTAAACTATAAAATTGTAGATTCATGTTAAAGATACACCAATATGGACCAAACATCTAAAGATGATTTCACTTAGGATTTGATATAAAAAAAGAAGAAAGAGTAAATATGGAAACAAATGACAAAATGTGGAGAGACAGCTATTGTAATCTTAGGGTGCCTTAGAAGTCGTCGATTTCCTTTTCCTTTCCTTCTTTCTAAATCAATCTCACCAATACCACCATTTCTAATATATACACACATACATACACGAATATAGGTTATTTACTTGTACTATTTTTATACAAATTTTTTTTTTAAGGAATGGGTGCATTTGAGTAAACAGCTAAAAAGAAAGATGCATTTAAATTTCTTCTCCTTTTGAACGAGTGACTGTAATTAAACAACTAGATTTGGCAAGATAAAGTCTGTGTCTAACAATAACACGCTTTTTACGTAATCATTCGTTTCAGTATTCTTCCTCTTCTTAATTTTAATTTAGGGGGTCACTTGATCTAGAATAATTTGATGTGTTTAGAAGACTAATACGTGCCTTGTTGGTTTTTTAACATTGCGAGAGACTTTGGAAGATTTAATATATGCTTTTTTGTTGACTAGTTGTATTCTACCTTAAATTTTCATCAAAATTACTTTGAATGTATTAGAAATCTCATTACAAACTAGTTTAAATCCTAAAGTGTAACATGTGTTTTATAGTTGTATTAATGTACTCTGTGTTATATGTACGATGAGATATCCGACAATCAGGCCCATTAAAGGCCTAACTAAGTATTGGTAACTGCGAGGTATTGGTAAACTGATGTCTTGTACCAACCAGTTGGGCTGCCTGAGCTTTTATAGAATCGGACTATACCTTTACCTTTCATTAACCCACCGGATTAAGTCGTAAAATTATAAAGTACTCATAAGTTTGCAACTAAATAATGTGAAACTAAGCGATTCATCCAAATCCGTTAATTTTTGTGAAAACGTAATTTATATGTATAATTTTAATATGATATTTTTTTAATTACTTAGGTAAATTCAGCATACGGACCTTTGGAACGGAATTATTTCCAGTGAAAATCATATTAAGTAGAAAGTGGATTTACATATTGAAACCAATTATTACAAAATCGCTAATTCTGAATGTTATTTTAATATTTCTGATTTACTTTCTTCCAAACAAATTTTTAAATTTTATGATTTTTTTTGCTTTTAAATTTGCAATTATCCAAATTTACAATTAGATTTATGGATAACTTGTCACCTTACCAAAAAAAATGAGAAAACAACAACATTTTGGCAATTATATTTTAATTTTTTTTATTTTCTTTTTCCGGGATTAAATACAACACTTTAAACTATCAAAATTATATGTAAATTCAGAAAATGAGTTTTTTTTTCTAAACTGTCATTTCAGATTGTATATTGAAATAGTAAAACCCATCAACAAATAGTGTTTCTATTTTTCCATAAAGTTTCTCACCTTGATGAGTTCTTAAAACGAACCAGCCACCCAAATTCTCCTTAATGATTAAGCATCATAATTTCATAATCACTTTGCCTTATCCCCACCACTTCCTCATTGTATATGGAATAGTGAGGACCATCGATGCAATGAAATTAGATATTTAGATTTCAAATTTTGAAAAGTGGGTAAAATTACAATATTATTAAATAGACTTTGTAAAATGTAATTTCCAAATATATATGCAGTGGAGTTTTATGTCGAATCTCAATTTCTAACGAATTTTGAGTTTTAAAAATTAAAACTCATAGCAAGTATTATAAAGTATAAATGGATATATCCTAACAATAAAAGTCGGTAATTTATCTATCAACATGTATAATGACTTGAGAATAGTCAGTCACTCATTTTTATTCTAAGTGCTAATTTACTAGAGACTTTTCACAGGTACTATAAACTCAAATTTCGGATATTAAAGTTGCACTGACAATTATTATTATGTTTTGCTAGAAGCCTATAACTCACAAAATTAATATTCTGCTAGATACTCACTCATATACTGGAGAAGACAAGGAATATTAAATATTTTTTGTTCAGAAGCTAAACTAAAGCTATCAATCTTATATAGTCGCGTCTTTGATCATTATAACTAATCTAGCTGTTGAAGAACTACATTTATTTTATTTGTCACATTCTTTAACGATTTTCTTATGCATTCCCTGTGACATTTGTAGTTAATACAGGATAGATCATCAATTAACTTTTTGACTTTATTTGTCGGTATGTGGACATTAGACATAGAGCATTTTAAACGAGCACGTGAACTCGCTTTTGTGTGATCTTTGCTTACACGTGGATTTTCCTGGATATTTCTGCAACTTTTTTTACCACTAAACCACATAACATACGAGCAAGTCGCCGCCGTGACGACAACGGTCTCTTTCTTCAAGAATATTTATTCATAAATCATAATATTGTCTTTGGGATTTGACCCATTAAAACTAGAGTTTAACGTAAATAAGGATTAAAAAACTAAACAACCTAGTTAAATCAACAATAAGGTTTTTAAACGCAACTGTTGTTATACAAATAAGATAATAAATTAAGAAGTTGCTTGTTTGAACAGGGAAAGAGAATAATGGTTCAGTAATTGATATGCAAACATGTGTTTTATTCTCTGTGATCACGAGTGTTTCTGTTCTTTTAAACCCCAAAAGTAATTAACACCTTTTTTTGAAAATCAATCTGATTAATTGTTGGTATAGAAGAAGAACAAAATGTCTTTAGTTTTATTGATTATTTTACGGACTATATAACTGCAACTATACACTGCACCTAGGTTCGAAATTTGAAGTAAGGTAGAAACAATAGTAACAATTAGTCACATCAACTATTTCAATAAAAATATCAAAATAAATAAAGGGGATTCTAGATTTTCAATTGATGTTTAGTTTACGCCTTCACGGTGCTGAATTTGTTTGTTCGAGTTTCATTATATTTTTAGGTAGTTTTTAATATTTATCGACGAAGAAATAATCAAAGGAAGAGTGTATGGTGTTTCATATTTGTATGGAGTAGTTACATCTTGTCACTTCAAATTATCTAATTAATTTTACTTAATCGGAAACACTTTTATTAACAAAATCATAATTGAAAATATATCTCTACACATTGTTAAAAAAAAAAACTGAAAAAAAAGAAGGTCTCTACACGATGTTAAAACACGCTAACCTTGAAGCGGAAAAAACAATTGGAACTGGTTATGCTGTTCTTAACAACTTACAAAAAAAAATAACGGTCCATTTTTAGAATATTGAACATAGTTCTTATTGCGGCAAAATAAAATTTACTGGCTCACGTTACCATCGATTATTGTAAGTACGTGAGCTAGGTAATATAGACGTTGACTATATATGAACTAGGTGTTACATACATACGAATAAAAACCAAGATGAGTATATCTACAAGTCCCATCCCTATATCGAGCCATCGAGGAGACTAATTCATGTAACTTATAACTCGATTAAATTGGTTAGTAGTACTCAGCTTGCTGCAAGAGCAATTAACATTGCGAGTGACTTCGAAAGATTAACTTATTATCTTTTACCATTCATAAACAAACATTTGACTCGCCGAGCAATTAATTAATGAATCACTTTTTTTTTGGTTTAAGAATCAAGAAGTTAAAAAGGTTAATTTATACAAGCGGTGCCATTTAACGGCGTTAGGCACCGTCACTGGCGGCCAACGGTTTTTAACATCAACGTCCCAGAAAACGACATAACGGCGTCATCAGCCAATAACTCCTCCGACAAATGTAAGTTTTTGGCAGAAACCGTTTTCATAACACATTAACACTCTCTCTGTTTTTCTCTCTAGACTCCATATTAGTTAATAGTAAGAGAGAGAGAGAGAGAGAAAGACACAAAGGTTTTCTGCTCCAAGAAAGAAACTTGCGGTACACACACATAAACAATCATTGTCAGCTTCTTCTTTCTCTCCCAAAAAATCCAATCTTTTTTGTTTTTCTTCATCAAATCCTCTGTTCACAAAAAAAAAAAAAAATAGAACTAAGAGATGGGCAAAAAAGATGAGAATATCGAAGCTGTTCTTCATTTGCTCAGGAAACAATCTCCACTCACTCTTAAACAAGTATTCATCAAATTAATATACCTGCATGTTTTTTTTATTGTATATCCATATGAATAAAGCTTCGATCTTTATATGAGATTTTTTTCTTCTCATGAGCAGGAGAAGTTCTGTAACAGAGACTGCGTGGAGAGGTTCTTGAAAGGGAAAGGAGAAAATGTGAAAAAAGCTGCGAAGCAACTAACTTCATGCCTTTCTTGGAGACAAAGCATTGAGATTGGTATAGTTTCTATTCACTTTCAAGTTTCAATCAAATTCATCAGATAGTTTTGTTAACTCAAACACTTTTCTCAAGGGTTTTAATTATTTTGATTTTGTTTGTATGTTTTAAGAGCGTTTACGGGCAGAGGAATTCTCGACGGAGCTCGCTGACGGTTTAGCTTACGTCGCCGGCCATGACGGAGAATCTAGACCCGTTATCGTAATTTCTTCATAATCCTTTATTATCCTCTTGTTTTTATCTAAAATATTAATTAGTACTAACAAAAACGGAGAATGATTTACAGATTTTCCGTTTCAAGCATGATTATCAGAAGTTGCATACTCAGAACCAGTAAGCTCGGATAATAAATTAAACTAGTGTATAAAAATGTTGATTATTTTTTATAAAAAAACAACTCCTTTTGAAGGTTTACGCGTTTGGTGGCGTTCACGATGGAGACTGCGATCTCGAGCATGTCCAGAAACGCAGAACAGAGCGTTGTTCTTCTCTTCGATGCAAGTAAGTAAAGCCTTAAGGACACTCTTTGTGTAATTATGTTTTTAACCATAGTAAACTTCCAAATCTCCGTGAGTGGAGACTGTACTAATTCGTAATTTCGTATCCGTATATTGGGGTTTGTTTGGTTGTTGGTTTTCTTATTTTTGATTAAGGCGTGTCGGGGACCGTATTTTCGGACATGAATGCATTTAATTTGTTGTCCGAATTGTCTCCTTTATGTGTCAACGTCAACTTCTTTTGTACATTACCCACAAAACGTGTGCGATCTTTGGCTAGTCTGAAGTTTATCCATCATAGATTTTTTTTTTTTGAAAAAACAAATTATTTTGAAGCAAAAGAGATTTGAAACACTAAATTACTGGGTTGGAGTTTTATTTTTAAATCTTTATATATTTTCTTTATATATAGGGTTTATCACATTACAAAATTACTGCATATAACTTAAAAATCTCAATCTGATCATAAAATATTATCTAACTTATGTTATGGTATATTATTTATTTTTATCGATGACCTTACTTTTCTTGGAAATTAATGTAGATCTTAGTTTACAAAGACCAATATTTTATATCAAATAATAATTAATCATTCTTTTTAAGAAAAAAGGAAATATTTTTCGTATCACGCTTTGAAAGATTCATGCTTTTATCTGCACATAAGTTTTTTTTAAAGAAAAAATTCACCTTTTCGATTTTCATTCTGTTGAAAGAAAATGAAGTACAATTATTCTCTGCAAAAATACATCTTTAAATTTTGTTCAAACCCGATTAAACAATTAATTATGACTCCCACTTGATTAATATTCTCTTTGTTTTTTCTTAATGCCATAAAAAAAACAGACTTTTTCAGATCATCCTCTGCCTTTGCAAATTTGCTTTTGGCGACCCTAAAAATCATCGCAGATTATTACCCATGCCGACTTTACAAAGCCTTTATCATCGACCCTCCCTCCTTTTTCTCCTACATTTGGAAGGTAAATGATCATATTTTAACTTAAAGTTCATTAAGTTTAATAATCATTACTAATTGTAATTAGCTGGATAAACTCGTTTCGTATACTGAATTAACAGGGCGTTCGTCCGTTCGTGGAGCTATCAACGGTCAGTATGTTAGTCTCGTCACTAGACTTCGACGAACAGCTCGATGTTAGCCACGTGTCATCCTCATCTGCTAGATCTTCCTCCCTACGATTCGACGCATCGTCCATTAAATCAACGGCCACGATTGGTTCAGCTTCTTCAAGATTCGCCTTCACCGTATCTCACAACTCCTTGAAGCCGTGGTACCTTTCCTTCACCGACACGTCTCCTTATAACGCCGCCGTCGCCTCCTCCGCCTCTAAAGTTTCTCCGATCAGCGCACGGTCACTATCTTTCGCGTCTCCGGCGGCGCGTGGCTTAAGAGACGCGAGACCAGCCGCCTGCAGAAAGAGTCTTTTCCCATCGACGCCGTTGTCGGAGAAGACGAAAACTGTGCCGTACCGGAAAACTCCGCGTCCGTCGTTCTTTCAATCGCCGGCGATGTTTTTTCGCGGAGAGAAAAATGTCGGCGGAGGAGGCGAGAAGTCACGTGAAGCGTTCGTACCGTATCTCAAGTTTTACCGGAGACCGTACGATGAGATGGCCTATCGGTCTAAGCTGCGGGGTCCACGTGGATTTGTGTCAGTCGTGTCTTCGCACAGAAGATGTCGCCACGTGTCTTTATCTCAACGGTTCTTGCTATGACGTTAAAATGATGAGATTGGGGAACAAACAAGTATATAATTCAGAATCTCAGATATACATTAAATCTTTTCCGAATACTCTTTTAGTCTTTTTTAGACTGGTACAGTCATATTATTACTCAATGAGTTTTTTTTCTCTTAAGTATTATTTTCCTTAAATTCATCCAAATAAGTATCTTTTAAGTTTTAACTGAGGTTAAGTCAAACTTAATTATTTACTAGATCGTAAACTATCACTTTAACAAAGAATCTCATCTTGATCATTAATATAATTTTCCCTATCTCAATAATTTTAAATTTTATATTAAAACTACGAAACAAAGATCTACTTCAGATCTACCGATTAAGAGACACATGAAAGCTATATATCACCAAAACGATTTTTGAGCAAAGAGGAAAAACAAACGAAAAGGGACACTTAAGAAGAGATCAAATAAATCTGGTCCCAAGGATCATTAACTTCATGTAGAATCTCAACTTGAAAACAAAACAAAACCCAAAAATGCACGTGCGACGTTTGTAGGAATTCGAAGTCAATTTGTATTTGTTTGATTTAAGACAGCGTGGTCGTGACGTTGAACAATTTATCAAACATTGTTAATGTGGTCTATTGTGAAAATTTAAATAGAAACATGTTTTGCTCAAAAAAAGAAAAGAAAAAGGAAAATATGCATATTAAAAGGGCCTAACAATAGTCTGGCTGAATGATTTTCCACCACTCATGCTTTTAATTGAAAACCCCTTGTTACAAAAAAAAAATGCATATTTAAAATTCTGAATGTCATTCTTGAGTTGTACCTTGCATCTTGTTCTATGTCGTCATTAAAGGCTTTTCAAGGGCCGTAAATACAAACCCACCTTCGGTCGATAATTGTTATTGAATTGTACAGTTTGTCATGTCAGATTTCAAATGCGATTAAAATGATTACTAAGAACCAACCTTTTTTTTTTGGTCCTCTTCGTTTGATGTTCTTTCCTCGAAATTAAAAACTTTATCAAACTTTAATAAAGATTCGTGAATATAGCTTTATACTTATGACATTTTAGTTTTATTTTATTTTATCTTCTAAATGATCTTATGCGATTTTATTCACAGATGATACTACATGTAAACACTTTTGACTTTTTTCCTAAATAGATTTTTTATATTATACTCTGACATTATAAAGTTGTTATATGTCTACGAATCCTGCACAACACTCTACCACAAGCACACAAACACATATGGAAATCGACATATACATTGTTCGAGAAAAACCTATAGGTTAATTAATATGCAACAAATACTTTGTAATTAGTGACCAAATGGAAAGTAAGGAAATATAAGGAGTAAATATATTTACTTTGAGCTACCACGTATATGACATAGAATTAGAAACAATGGTTAACAGTAACATAAAATCAGGACAAATACACGCAAATCCACAAAAAAATGATGTAAAGAGAGACATAATTGTGGATTGAAGGAAAAAAAATATAATAAAGAATAGTTTATCTGTCTAGATTGAGACACTGTTAGGGATCCCTTTCCCAGTAAGCCCACCTTCTCTCGTGTAATCCGTAGTATTCGGGTACAACAAAGTATACGGTATGTTAACCGGTCCGGTTCGGTTCTTGAACCTCTTATCACCATTTCTCCGTATGATATTGTTCTCTATCATCTCCAGCGTCTTCCCAAACCGTTTAAACGCCTCTAAAGCCTCATCATCCGCCGTCCAATTCGGCGAATCTCTCTGTCCCAAATAAATCTCGTCCGTTGAATGCATCGACAAGATCTCTATGATTGAGATCCCAAGAAGCGTCTGTAACTGCGGCGTGATCGTCTTCAAGAACGCCACGTCCTCGTCTTCCGCCAGCTCAGTATACTCTGCCGTACCCGGTTCAGGCATAAACCGTCGACTGACCGTAGGCCGGTTAGGTAAAAAACCAGCGTAAGGGTATTGTCCGAAATTGACCGCTGCGTGAAGAGCAGAAGCGATCCAGATGATGATGGTGCATGTTTCGATGAGTTCGTCGAGGGTTTGCATCGATGGCCACCATGACTCGTGCTGTATGTCTCCGTGACCTTCGGTTCGGAGCTCGGTCCACCACGATTGGATCTCTGTATCGGTTTGGACGGTTTTGTCGTTCTTGTAGTAGAATGAACAGTAATCTGTAACCCACGTTTTGATCGCTGACCAAATCTCTAAACCGTCGACTGCGAACGGGTAATCCTCTATCAAAAGCTTAACTCCGTTATCTCTGCTCGGATCTTCAACGGCAACTCCTCTGCGAAAACAGAGGATTTTGAGATAACTTGTTCCACACGGAGTTAAGAAGGTTACTTGTGTCTCAAGAAATAAAAAAAGAGACTAGTTTCTATGTATATACCGTTTGAGGAGATCTTTGGGGAGAGCCTGGTCGGTGAAAACCCAACTCTTGTAAATCGAAGAAGACATTTCCATGGCGTATCGACTCGGGAAGACTGTTCTCTCCAAAACTCCATCTGCGTTTATGAGGATATGACGCGCCAATGCGTTGATGTTCATCGTGTCGCGGAAATGAGGATGAAGAAGCTTATAGATCGGATGGATCACACTAAGTTGTCTATTCGATGCGATTATAAACGGTTCAATCACCGCATGCGTCTGCAACCTACATAAAACCGGAAAATTATACCGAATTCAAGACTCGGTTCTTAAACAAGACGCTATAGCTGATTCACAGTTTTCACAATTTATTTACCAGTGGCTTATAAGCTGATGATAACCGGAATCATTAACCGCGGCATAAGCCTTAGCGAGCTGCCAAACCGATCCCTCCACGCCTTTCTCTGCTGGTGTGAAGACTTTGCTAACCGATCCGTGTGATTCGCCTTGTGCGTGTGGAAGACTCAGCTCTATGGCTAGAGGCTTTAATGTGCCGTCTTCTTGAAGCAAGAGAAGGGTTCGGGTCGCATAGGTTTTAGTGTTTGTTGAGTTTATCCGTGTCAAGTAAGGCATCAATGCGTCGTGGTGATCCAATATGTATAGCTTGTTTTGTTCCAACGCCTTTTTATATGTAACAGAGAACAAAAAACAATACAGTTTAACATTCAACCAAAAAAAAAAACAATACAGTTATGATAATGACAACCAAGAAAACTATATTATACTTACTTCTTGGACATTAAGACCGTTCATGTTTTGTTCTATGTGCTCTTCTCGTATGGAACTGTGTTGGTTTCCATATTTTGAAAAATCCAGATTGCTTTTGGGAGGAAATTCCTGCAATTTTTTTCATATATTCAAATTACAAATCATAGAGAGAGAGAGAGAGAGAGACAGTTTCGAAAATTTGAATGGTTAGATGAAGATTAACAAACCTGGAGACGACTAATCACCACAGGATTGAGTCCAGCAAGCATTTCTCTAGCAAACTCTTCGTCGGTCCTCCAAGCAGATCTACTCTCTGTAACAATACACGATCTATCTAAGTCAAAATGTATATGAATTTTTGGTCTGAATCGAAATTTTAGTTTAGACTGTTTAGGTTACCTTTGAGGACGTCAGGTAAAGGAAACTTCAAGAAACGTTCACCATCGTTGCGAACAAGCTCACGAAACATCTCCCATGGGATCACATCACGGAGCTTAGAAATGGTTTGACCATTGGCGAGTTTAATACTACCGTCGTAGAGATGGAAAACGTCTTCGAACGAGTCAAACTCGTTGATGGTCTTGTCGCAAACAGAGGCTATCTCAGGGACAAGCACTTGAGTCACCGATTTGAGTGCGTAAGCCAGGAAGTCAGAGAACTTCACATGGCTAAACCGCTCGTCTCTTGGCACGTATATGTTAAGGTTTAGTAATGCCAGCCTGCTCTCGGACTTAGGGTCTGTTCAAAACGGTGACGTACATGTCAAGTAAAGTAACCATGTAGTATAAGAGTTTGAATGTTGAGTTTACTAACCGGTTTTGGTGGGTTTACGTCCGGTTTTTCCACGGCGGGGATAAGGTAGCTCAGGTGAACCGCCTAGAACCGGACGGGCTGAGTCAAGACACTTGTCGGGAGCACCTAAGTCGTTGTAATAAGCGTAGTCGTAAACTCTGTCCCATTCTTTGAGCTCTCCTCCTTTCTCATTGCCTCTTAGATTCTTCAGCTCTTCTTCTCTTAGCTCTTTGACTAGCTCCGGTGTTTCACTTGGAAGATATGCCTTTTAATTTACATAAACGAAAAGAGATATAAAAAGTTAGTAATTATCACCGTTTATACACTAATCAATGGTTGTAATCTGGATTTAAGTACTAAAAAGTTTTAATCTGCAAGGCCGTATGCCTTTTTGAGTTTTGACTCCAATAGACGGTCCTACCTAAATGTATAGTGTAATTAAGTAAGGTTGATGTAAAAATAAATAGAAAAGAGTTAACATAATAGAGAATGTCAAATAAGCTTTTAGTAGTTAGTTGTCTATGTCAAGTTAAAAAAGATTCTCTTAACTAAAAAAATAATAGGAAGAAAGGAAGAGATGACTTGTAAAGATAGACCGTAAGGTCAGGTTTCATTCTTTGGTACAATAATGTTACACACGTACACGAATATTCCAAAACTCTATTTTCAATCAAAATAAATAACTCTAAAAGATTATAACATATGGATTACGATTGTGTTTTGTATACTTTATAATAATAACCTACATTTAACCACTAACTAATACCACTAAATTACATGAAATCATTAATTAATCCCCTCTACATATCCAGACGATTAATGAAAACAAAACAATTAGATTCTCAAAATCTATATATTATTTTTGTAAGATTAAGAATGACCGGGTCAAAGAATATTTTTGACAACTTTTGCACATGGACAATCTGAGCAATCTGGCGATTAGCTTAGAAATAATATATAAAATGCCAAGTAATGATATAAAATATATTAGTTAGTATCACCGGTCAAATAAAGCGTTACATGCATTGTGACACACTTTTCCGAATTCGTTTATAGTGGTTTTACCTTGTTAGAGAAGAAAACGCGGTCAGAGCGGTATCGATGGTTGGGATAGATCCAAGAATTGCAAACGAAATGTATCGGACCGCTTTCACCGCCGGGAAAGTTCCG